TGAATATTTCAGGTATAATTGAGGTTTCCCACTCTGGGCCTTTCTGGTACCCTTTACTCATGGCATGCTGCCTCCACTTCAGCTGGGAGCTCCTTAATGTTTGAGGCAGTATACAAAATCTTAGCTATGTCAGTCCCCACTTTGTTTTTGTCACAATTTACATCTTTAAATATTGTATGCTCATAAACAGATTTATAGTTTTTTTTCTTTTAAAGATTTTATTTAGAGGATCTCTGGGTGGCTCAGTGGTTCAGCACCTGCCTTTGACCCAGGGCGTGATCCTGTAGTCCCCAGATCGAGTCCTGTGTCGGGCTTCTGGCATGGAGCCTGCCTCTCTCTCTCTCTCTCTCTGTCTCTCTCATGAATAAATAAAATCTTTATTATTTTTTTTAAAGATTTTATTTATTCATGATAGACAGAGAGAGAGGCAGAGACACAGGCAGAGGGAGAAACAGGCTCCATGCTGGGAGCCCGAGGCAGGACTCAATCTGGGGACTACAGGATCATGCCCTGGGCTTAAGTCGGCGCTAAATCGCTGAGCCACCCAGGCGGCCCAGAATTAGTTATAGTTTTATGCAGCTGTGTTTTGAGTAAAAAAGTTACAAAAAATACATTAGTACTGCCTTTTATATTTATCTAAATAGTTACCTTCACTGGCATTCTTTGTGTGGATTTGCAATACTATTTAATGTCCTTACATTTTAGTGTTTAGCATTTATTTCTTGTAGGGATGGTCTACTAGTGACAAACTTGACATTTTTGTTTACTGAGAATGTTTCATTTTCATGGGGGGGAGCTATTTATTTATAAAAAATTTATTTTAAACTTCCACATAGTTAACATAGTATCGTATTAGTTTCCAACATACAATATAGTGATTCAACAATTCCATACATCACCCAGTGCTCATCATGACAAGTGCACTCCTCAGTCCCCATCACCTATTCCCCCCCCCCGCCGCCCCCTTCTGGTAACCATCAGTTTGTTCCCTATAGCTGATTCTGCTTGTTTTTTTTTTTTTTCCTTTTCTTTGCTCATTTTGTTTCTTAAATTTCTCATGAGTGAAATCATATGGTATTTGTCTTTCTCTCATTTTGCTTAGCAATACACTCTTTAGTTCCATTCATGTTGCTGTAAATGGCAAGATTTCATTTTTTATGGCCAAATAATATTCCATCATGTATCATTTTTGAAGTAGATTTTCTAGAAGTCACAGTTAATAGAGTTTTTTCTTTCACCTCTTTGAATATCATTCCATTGTCTGCTGGTCCCCATGGTTTCTAAGGAGAAAGTAGCTTTTATCCTATTGAAGATCCCTTGCACATGAGTTGCTTCTCTCGTTTTCAAGATTCTCTTTCAACAGTTTGATCATGTGCTTAAGAATGGATCTGAGTTTATTCCTTAGACTTCACTGAACTTCAATGTGTAGATTTGTTTTTCATCAAATTTAAGTTTTCAGCTATTATTTCTTCAAATATTTTCTGCCTCTCTACTCTGGGACTCCCATTATACATATGCTAGCCTTTTTGATGGTGTCCCACACATCTCTTAAGCTATGTTCCTTCTTTTAAGAAATTATTGTTACTCTGACTGGATTTCAGTTGGCTTATCTTCAAGTGCACTGATTCTTCCTTTTATCTGCTCAACTCCGCTGTTGGGCACCACTAAGTGAATCTTTTATTCCAGTTATGCTTTTTTAGTTCCACAATTCTTATTTCTATCTCTATTCCCATCCTCTATTTGGTAAGATAGCATTCTTACGGTTGCCTTTAGCTCTTTAAGCCAATTAAATCATTGTCTTGCATGTTCAATGTCAGGGATTCCTGGGGGACAATTGCTCTTATTTCCTTAGGTATAGGCCATATTTTCTTACATGCCCTGTAATTTTATTGTTAAATACTGGACATCTTGAACATTCTAACGTCACAACTCTGTAAATCAGGTACTACCCTCTTCATCCCAGGGTTCGTTGGTGATGTGCATGGTCATTAACATTTCTCAACTAATTTTATAAGGTGTGTATTGTTATGTATGGCTACTGAAGTCTCTGTTCTATTAGCTTAGGTTAGCTAGTGGTTGGACAGAGGTTTCCTTAAATGCCTAGAATCCAAAATATCTTCCAGTCTTGCAGATGAGCTCTGTACAATGCTTGTAAAACTTTCAACACTCAACCAGGAAGTTCACAGCTCTGCCTTAGTATTTACTTCTTGCTTACACAGAGCCTTAAAATCAGCTGGAGGTGGATCTTTTATTAAAGCTTTTGCAGAGTATGTGCACAGCCCTGGACATGAATGAGCACGGCTTTCTAGATACCCAGCAATATGTCAGAGCTTTTATAAGTCCTATACACCAAAGCATCGCATTCCCCAGCCTCTTTGCAAGCTCTTTGGTTAATCTATTTTTTCCCCAACTGTTATCCATTCCCCAGCCAGCAACAACTAATACATTTGCCTGTGCTTTTGACAAATGACCTCTAGGGTGTAACTACTTCAGTACTGGAGAGTTCTGAGTTAGGTAAGAGAAAGGCAAACTCTTTGAAATTGTATTCCAAGGGGATCCCTGGGTGGCTTAGCGGTTTCGTGCCTGCCTTTGGCCCAGGGTGCGATCCTGGAGTCCCGGGATCGAGTCCCGCATCGGGCTCCCGGCATGGAGCCTGCTTCTCCCTCTGCCTCTATGTCTATCATAAATAAATAAGTCTTTAAAAAAAAAGATTAAAAAAAGAAAAAAAAAAGAAATTGTATTCCAAGAAGCCACCAGGCAGTACAAAAGAAACAAGTAAAATTTTTTGCAGATTAGTTCCATTACACTCACTGTAGTAGTGGTATACTCATAGGGAATGTGGCTGTTATCTTCAAGGCTTTTGCTAAGGTAAGGAGAGGAGGATGAGGCTAGGGTAAGTTAAAAATACCACTATGCTGTTCTTACCAAGATTCAGCTGTTTCTTCTTGTGTCACCCTGGTCTGCAAGCTTTTAGTTTCCAGAGCTCTGAAAAAGTTGACTATGATAATTTTTGCCAGTTTTTCATTCTTTTAATGGAAGGCAGACTTCTTAAGTTCCTAACTACATTTTTGCAGAAGTCTGGATAGAAGATTTAAAGAACTATATAGGAGAGTGTATCCAACAAATTGCAGACATCACATTCTTTTCAAGTATATGTGAAACATTTATAAAAACTAAACTTTTGGGTTATAAAGCAAGTCTCAACAAATTTCAAAGAATTGAAACAGTGCATTTTAGAATGGAAATATCCTTTCCAACAGCAATGGGATTAAAATAGAGCTCAACGACATAAAGACAATTAGAATCTAGCATCCAGCCAATTACTAAAGGATGGTTGTAGTGAAGAACATGACAAGTTTTCTGGGGCTCTGGTCACATGCAGGTCAGAATTATCAGATGTCAGAGCCGAAATGCAGGAACATTAGAAATGTTCTGGTCTGACCCCTCCCCTCACCTTCACTTTTATGGGATTGACAGAAAACCAAAGAAAGTCACACTAGAACTGTTGGCTGAAATATTTCTATACCCCAGGACTCTCAACCCAGTGCTGATACAAGGCTGCCTCAAACCTTCCTTCATCCAGAGGTCTGGGCTGCCAGTACTCATCCTCCCCTTCCCCAGTCATATCCCCCCACCCCACACAATGGTAATTCTAGCTGTGTTTCCTGACAGTCTTCCATTTTCTCCCAAAGACTAGCACATTAAAAACAGGCTAATCAGAGATCTATTATTTCCTAAAGTTTCTGGTATTATCTGTTACCTAATGATATTCATGTCTGATAAGACAATATTTTAAAGATGAAATAACTACATAGTTACTATCTCAGGAAGCTGAAGACTGGTCAGCATATGAACTAACCATGACATTTGATTAATTTAACATCCTCCCCAGTCTTTCATTAGTTCCTCCTATACCTCACTGAATTTTCACCCAAAAAACTCCTGGAATTTCTGACTAATGTACTCAGTAATACAGTAGATTCTCTTTGCAGTCACCAGGCTAAAGGAAAACTGGCTTGCAAGCTTGCTAGTTCTAGTATCATCACTTCAAACTTTTACATACCCATTTGTTTGTAAATTTGCACCCATTTGTTTGTAAATTTGCAGCTATTGTTATAATTCATTAAAATTATCTCTTAGGTTCCTTTGGGCTTGACCTTTGGAAACAGCATGGTACAATACAGTTCATGTTCATGAAGCACTAATTTTCCCAAGTTTTATGCTACGTTCTTTTATATGAATTCTAATTTTTGTATTGGCAAATTACATTAACTACTGACTCAACAATCACCCTCTTCCCTGACTACCTTCACTGCCACTAGAAATGTCTACCTTGTTTTTCTACAACTCAAATTTCTTGGAGTGAAATAATAGAACAAGCCTAGGAGATGAGTCTTGACTGATCTAAGCGAATCAGCTAATCATGGCAACTAGATATTCAAGTTTTTCTATTTTCCTTTTTAACTAAAATTGGCACATGGCCAATGAGATAACGAAGAATTAATCTGTAGCTTCTAAAAAAGTTCCAATCTGTTAATTTTCCTGACCTTCCCCTGAATCCAGGTTTGTTCTATTGCCAATGTCACCTTTTGCCAAAACAGAAAGAGGTTAAATTGAGGAGTCAAACACAGACATAAATCTTGGGTTTTCTTTGTGAGCAATGCAGGGCAAGATACTAATTTCTGTGAAGACTCAGTTTTGTCAATCGCCAAATAGAGATTCATGTTACGACAGAACAATGGAATGAAGACTAAATGGGACAATGAAAGTGTGTAAAGTTCCTGGGGCCTATAGCAGAGCTCAATAAATGGGACTCGGTATCAAATTAAAATGAAAAAACACCTCAGCCAACCCGATATCACTGAAATATACAACAAAGCCTCTTACTCCATGACCCCACTAAGTAATTTTAGTGGTCAGCAGAAGTAAGCTTACTAATGAAGTAATGTTTTTCTTTTCCAGAGGCCCAGTTGGTAGGAAAAAAAACCACATTATGCAGATAGTTGACAAATTTCATTTACTTAATTTTTGTATCCACATGATTGTAAAAAAGCAAATAGTGCTAAATGGCTATTTTTTGGTAAAAACACACAGTGTTCAAACCTAACGATTACATTCTTTGGACAGGTTTAATTCCCAAAATATCGAATGCCTTGGCCATAATAGCAGCTACTGCTTCACAAAGCAGCATACGCCACATGTTTACCTTCAACACTTGTCCTGAGGAAAAAGAAAAAAAAAAATTAATTTGTCTTTTTCATTCTGCGACCCTCAGTAACCCTGCTTTTGTTAGAAATGTCCTGTTTCGAAAAATAATCCGGCAGAAAACAAGGGTAAGGGGGAGGCATTTAATGGGAGTTTCACTTCATACAACTTAATTTCAAGGAAATCATGGCTGTTTCACTAAATGAAGCTGAAGTTTCTCCTGGATCCCAGAATTCACACCATACTTACAAATACATTATCCAGCTATTACTTGATTTTAATGGGGTTGTTAGACTAGTGTGGGAAATGTGCTTTTTACTATTTTCTATGGAGAAAATATTTTCCAATGTAACAAACTCAATGAACTTTTAAAATACAATCCATTTACGTTGGAGCTATCGGTGCAGCAGTTTCTTTACAACTGTACATAAAATGCTTTTTCTGTAAAATTGAGTTAATATATAAAATACTGTATTATACCAGAATAAAGATATTAATATTTCGTAAAAAAAAAAAAAAGAAATGTCCTGTTTCTAGTTGTCTTCCAATTGGAGTCCTATGATTCCATGCCATATGCCTGAGGGTGGAGGAAGCTACTTTGCTTGGTAACAAGAATTCCATTTATGCTTCTATTAGATCTAGTTGAATTTTGTGTTATATAAGGGATGGAAAGTGTCCCAGGAATAAAGAAGTTGAAGACCATCCATACCTAATTCAAATAAATGCCTTGCTTGTGTCCCAATCCCAATATGACCACTGAGTGAGACACTCACCAGTTTGTCGATCCTTCTCTACACAATAGCAGCTATCATAGAATTCTGTGAAAGTAGTTGCCAGCTCATAGATATAATCACAGAGTGTGTGGAGAAGTAAGTCATCTAAAATCTTTTGGAGAATCTCAGGGAACCGTAAAATACACCGGCCCAGTTTCCATTCCTTCTCATGGTCCAAAACGATCTTGGTCTCTTGAGCAGCTTTCTGAAGCATCTCTTCATTAATATTGGCCAGGCGTGCAATAGACCTGAGAAATCAGGCAACAGCCATCATTTTCTTTGGTTAGGCCCATTCTTCTCCACTTAATAGAGAACACAGTAAGAAATAACTCATGTAAATTAGAAATCCTATCAATTGATTAAAAAAACCAACACTGTACAATTACCTGATTCTAGTGAAGGCATACAACAAATAAGCAGCTGTGTTTCCTCTGTCATCCAGCATTTTGTCAAAGGAGAAGATATAGTCATTCAACCGGTTATGAGAAAGATCAGCATATTTGATACAACCATAAGCAACAGATGTCTGAGCAGCCTTTAATTCCTCTGCAGTTAAGACCTTTAGAAAAAACAAAACAAACAAAAAAACAACTTCATAACTTACCGACCACTTCCTTTATCCTGGTGTCTCAGGCATAAGACACGCATCAGGAGCATCTAATGGTTTTCTTTTATCAGTAAACTTTAATAAATATGGACACTGAGAGAACACAGGCCAATCTAAGAACTCATCAGCTCTGCATAACAAAGTGTTTTTTATGAAAAATCTGATTTGTAAAATATGAAGTATCCACTCAAATACTTTCCCCACAACATATTCAGTAGATATGAAATAGAAAGCACCAATTATTAAAGACAAATACTTTAACAGAGAAAAACAAAAACTAGACCCACAAATAGAGAATAAACTGGTGGTTTCTAGAAAGGGCGGGGCGGGGGGATGTGTATAATAGTTTGTAAAGGAGATGAAGAGTACACTTATCTTGATGAGCACTGAGTAATGTACAGAATTGTTTTTTAGGGCAGCCCCGGTGACGCAGCGGTTTAGCGCCGCCTGCAGCCCGGAGTGTGATCCTGGAGTCCCGGGATCGAGTCCCACGTCAGGCTCTCTGCATGGAGCCTGCTTCTCCCTCTGCCTGTATCTATGCATCTCTCTCTCTGTGTGTCTCTCATGAATAAATAAATAAAATGTAAAAAAAAAAAAAAAAAAGAATTGTTTTTTAAAGATTTATTTATTCATAAAGGACCAGAGAGAGAGAGAGAGAGAGAGAGAGAGAGAGAGAGAGAGAGGCAGAGACACAGGCAGAGGGAGAAGGCGGCTCCATGAAGGGAGCCCAATGTGGGACTCGATCCTGGGACTCTGGAATCATGCCCTGGGCTGAAGGTGGCGCTAAACCACTGAGCCACCCGGGCTGCCCAATGTACAGAATTGTTGCATTACTACACTATATCCCTGAAACTAGTATTAACATTATATGTTAATTACACTGGAATTAAAAAACAAAACACGGTATCAGGAGTAGGAGAAAGAACTCATGCACTGTTTTAATATTTGGCCATGTATTCTCTGAAGCACTATCAGGACACAAGGCTATTGTTCAAAACTAAAAGCAATACAAAGATGTTTTCAGACAAATGCCAATAGAATTTATCACCAGTAGACCTGCACTACAAAAACAATACTAAAAGGAGATCTTCAGACTGAAGGAAAATAATCCCTGATGGAAGCAAAACACACTTCATTAGGAAGGAATGAAGTACACAAGAAAGGGTAAATACATAAATAAATTTAAGTATTTGATGGTTTGCAACAAATAATGGGTAAAAGACTTGAGAAGACCCTTCATAAAAGACATATAAATGGCCAATAAGCATTAAAAAGGCAATCAACACCAGGACTCATTGGGGAAATGCAAATTTTTCTGAGAGAGCATGCAAGAGGGCGAGAGGGAGATGGGGAAGGGAGGGGGAAGAGAAAATATCTTAAGCAGATCCCATGCTCTGCTGAGCCCCATCTCACAATCCTGAGATCATGACCAGAAGCAAAAATCAAGAGTAAGACCCTTAACCGACTAAACCACTTAGGTGCCCTGAGAAATGCAAATTTTAACCATAGTGAGACGCCATTACCTTCACCAGAAGACTGACAAATCAAGCATTGGTACCTATGAGCAACTGGAACCTACCATTAGTGGTAGGAGTGGATAATAGTTACAGTTCTCCTTGGCAATTTTTAATAAAGTTAAACATAAACCAACTTTCACCCTACAATCCAGCAATGATATTTCTAGATATATATCCAGAAGTAAAAGTGCATTAATCCATAAAAGGACTTTAAAAATGTTGAAATTAATATTTTATTCATAACAAAGAGAAACAACCCTAATATCCATCAACAGAATGAACAAAATGTGGTATATTCATACAACAGAACACTATTATTTAGCAATAAAAAGAAATGAACTGATACATCTAGAAAACAGCACCTACTCTATGATATCCTAGAATAAACCAAAGTGACCTATGGTGACAGGAAGTTTTCTCAGGTAATAGAGATATAACTAGATTGGCTGGAGTTACCAGGCATACATTAGTGTAAAAAATCATCATGCTTCACATTTTATTGTACGCAAATTGGCCAAACAAATAAAAGAGCCAAAGCAGTTTTTACCATCATATGGAGTGAGCAAATTGGTTAGATGACCAAATTTTCCACCTTTTATCTGATTGTGCTACATGTGCCTACACCAGGACTAAAAGGAGAAACTATTCTGTAGATACCAGTTGTGGAGACTTGACAACGACCTAGCAGAAGCAGAGAGAAAAGCTATTTTACATTTCATTTTGTTTGCAATTGAAAGGGGGTGGGGTAGGGGGGACTACTACGACAATGTAGCCTCATGGCCTGCCTTCATGCTCTCTGGATTGTCAGTGACCTGAACCAAACAAAAGAGCTTTTCCTCAAAGGACCTATTTTTGTGTTTGGTTCTTTCATGTCTATATTTCATCCAATTCTATTTCTCCTTCTGTAATTGTACGGTCAATAGTAGTTATGTTCATTCCAAAATATCACTTGACTTACTGAATAGTAAAAGACCTTGAATCTCAATCCTTGACCTTCCTATCTTAAAAAGATTTTGTCAAGTTTTCTTCATTTATTTCAATTACTTAAATTCCACACAAATCAAACCATAGTCCTTTTCAAGGTGCTATCTAAGCCTATTATGTTGTTGCTTACTCTGATGGCTGACCAATGGCCTTGGGTGTAGGTATTGACTGCTAGGACTACTCTTCAAATGCTCCCAGAGAAAGGATCTCAGCAGATGAGATCTTTCTGTAGGCTGTAGAATCTAACCTCTTAATCTGAAATAGTTTTGAATCATTGGTTCAAAGTAGTGATAGAATGCCAACAAGAAACAAAGATATGATGCCACATTAACACAGGAGGAAACACAGCCTTTTGTAATAGCCAAGAATTTTATTTTCAAACTACATGGTCAGTAATGAAACAAACTTTTTGTGCAATAATATCTGAGTAATATAAACTTGTCTTAGAGGTAGATTTGTTCCTCATAATGTTCTCCAGTTCTCTTGATAAAAACAGAAACGAAAAAGTCACAACATGTGGTACACAATAGGCAAATAAGGCTTTGGATTACCTTGTCTCTTTCTTTTTCCTTCAATTTGTCCATGGATCGTTTTAGTCCTTCTTCCAGAAGGTCTATGAGGCGCACGGTTTCACCTGAACGTGTTTTAAACTTCTTCCTAAAACAGAACTTCCCGCTTAGAAATGAAGGTCTGACACTTATTCCAACTGGTAACCAGGAAAGATGTCAAAGAAGTGGTACTTTTAATTACCTTTCTTCTATAGTCCTCAACTCAAAGCTTTTTTTTTTTTTTTCTTAAGGTTTTATTTATTATTCATGAGAGAGACAGAGAGGCAGAGCAAGAAGCAGGCTCCATGCAGGGAGCCCCAATGTGGGACTCAATCCCAGGTCTCCAGGATCACACACTGGGCCCAAGGCAGCGCCAAACCGCTGAGGCCCCCAGGCTGCCCAACTCAAAGCTTTCTATGCTTTAGGGTCCTAATAGCATTCTGTTCATGTTAATCTATAATACATTCCCTAAAAGGGAAACAAAGATATTTGTTAATTTGTTCATTTTCCTGAACAGAAAGTTTGGCTTATTTTGCCTTCTTTGAAAAATTAACAAAATACATGTTTGCTCCTAGAACTGTCCAGGAACTAGCAAGTTCTTAACTGGAATCTCATTTGCATTTCTCTAGATAGTAATCCCACCTGTTGAATGGCAATCAACAGAAATCAGCTGAAGAGTTTAAGAAAAGCCAGGATGCCAGGACTCCAATCACAAAACGAATCTCTGAGGATGGGGCAAAAGCACTGATTAACAACTGTTCTGTGCAACACTACCATTAAAATCATTTCTCAAAAATTGGATTTTATTGGGACACCTGGCTGGCTCAGTTGGTAGAGCATGTGATTCTTGATCTTGGGGTCATGAGTGCAAGCCTCATGTTGGGCAGAGATTACTTTTTAAAAACTGGATTTTACTATTAAACAGAAGTTTATACAATACTGAGTTATAAGCTTTTTTAAAGTTAAAAATTCTTTGGGGTGCCTGGCTAGTTCAGTCAATAATACAATGTATGATTCTTGATCTCGGGGTTGGGAGTTCAAGCCCCACATTGCATATAGAGATTACTTAAAATCTTAAAAAAATTCTTCAAATGCAATGGTACAAATGAAGCATGCTTTCCTCTTCAACACAAAGCCTACCAAAATCAAGATGTTTCTTATTAAAGTTGTATTTTCAGAGTTACCTTAGAAATGATCTTCTTGCCCTTTATCGCAGAATAAAAACTCCTTTATTACCCTATGAATACATTAAACACTTCTGTGGCTTTCCTTATTGCCATCCCCTACTGAGTACTAGAGTGTTCAGCAACTTCCAATTCTGTCTGATAAACTGTTACCCATCATAAAGCTAGTCAAAATGTTAAGGGAGGCCTTCTCTTAATGTCTCTACAATAACGGTTCTTTTGTTACTCCCCCTATCTGTACCTGTCTTGAATTTTTGTGGGTTTTTTTGGCGCTCCTTTATTCCTCAGACCAGCGATTCTAATATAAGGATCCATATCTGAATATCAGAAGTTTTAAAGTAAATCCTTAATACCTGCTTTAGAACCTAATGTGTCAGTAAACTCCCCTGATGGGGCCTGGCATGTATAATTTAACAGGCTCCCCAGGGAATTGCTCCCCTTCACAAGACAGGCCCCTTCAAAGAAAAGGTCATGTTCTACTATCTGTGTCTGACACCTGCCAATGCCATACACAGGAGCTCAATAACAGAGGAGTCTAAGGAATAAGATGATGATTAAAGGGTAAACTATTTACTATAAAAAGCTTTAACACAGAAGATTTTAGGGCATCTGGGTGGCTCAGTTCAGTGTCTGACTCTTGATTTTAGCTCAAGTCATGATCTCAGGGTTATGGGACTGAGCTCTATTCAGGTTCTGCACTCAGTGGGGACACTGCTTGCACTGCTTGAGATTCTCTCCCTCTCTCTCTGCCCCTCACCCGACTCATGAGGTCTCTAAGTTTTTTTAAAAAAATAAAATGTCACTAACAGCAGAACTGGTGAGCATTTTCATGTAAATATTTAAAACATGGTAAATTGACACTGGTTAACTATCGCCAAAATTATTTTTCCTTGGGACGCCTGGGTGGCTCAGCGGTTTAGTGCCTGCCTTTAGCCCAGGGCCTGATCCTGGAGTCCAGGGATCGAGTCCCACATCGGGCTCCCCACATGGAGCCTGCTTCTCCCTCTGCCTATGCCTCTCTCTCTCATGAATAAATAAATAAAATCTTTAAAAAAAATTTTTTTTCCTCTTCAGTGGCCTAAGATGCTATTAATTACATGACACTGCAGAAATATGAAACAACAAAAATCAAGGAAAAAATTCCGTAGAATTACATGATCAATAAGTTAAATGACAAGATATGAATACTGGTGATAAATATAGATATAAAAGTAAATTCGACAATTTCACCTAAGAATAATCACCTAAACATCAGTCCAAAAAATCAACAGTTAAGAAACTAAAGTATTATAATCAATATTCAAAGTGCTTTCTTAGGACCATGGACACTTAAATAAGGACCAGGTGTCTTTTGATTGCAACAAATGCTGCTCTATAGGAGAGTCACACATTATAATATAAAAGTGTCTGATGCTGACTCCAGCAAGGTCTTTGATATTCATATAATCAGTATCTAAAATAATACCTCAACATACCTAGCCTGATTTCTTTAAAGCTTAATTAGAGCTTTTGTACATTGGCTAGCCAAGCATCTTGAGCAACTTCCTGTGGTTTTTAAAATCATCACCACCTTTGTGTGATATTTGGGTTGTATCATTAAATCTAAAATGCCACAGATTTTAAGAGACATGATAACTAAATACCTAAGTGATCCTAAGACATTATTAAATGCAACATATTAAACATTCCGTGCCTTTGAAAATAAAAATGTGTGCCTTTGAACTGATGAATGCTGTCTATATTTGCTTGTATTTGCCTTTTATTTCATAAACTGAACAGAATGTGGGGAAATGACTGGAAAATAGAAAAACTAAAAGCATGAATTAATATGTAGGTGTTAAACTTAGTATTTTTGAGAGAAACATAACAAAAGCTGTAAATTTTAAAACTCAATTGGAATCTCAATAAATGCATACCTGCTGACCAGGTGTTCAACTATGTAGGAAAAAACCAGACATTTACAAAATGCTTGAAATATACCATTGAGTATTTTGTGTGAAATCTGAGAAGGTTCTGTGATAGACTTTACAAATCAGATCTATACAAATGAAAACCCTCTTTATAATCTGTAAAGTCTATTTCATTCAACTTTGTCCAAATCTCCCTAAAAGGCTACATTCTCCAGCAGTGATAAGATATAGGTACAAAAAGGCTCAGCCAGATTCACCACTATAGCATATACAGACTAAAGAAAATTGTGCACTTAATTCTAATATGGTATCAAATGAAATGTAGCTTCTTCCAAAGAAATCTGGGGGTTAAGAATGTTATTAACACTCAGACTCCAGACTTACTTGTCTTCTCCCAGAACCACACCAAATCCGGCATGAGATACTCGAGTTACCTTAGGATCATACCAACCAATCATTTGAGCAGCACCAAATATTGTCTGGAAGTGCACAGACTACAAAGAAACAAATGGAAAGTTACCTGCTAAACTTTCTAATTACAAAAAAAGGACTTAAAACTCTGTGCTTAGGGATAAATATTTACGAACACAAATTTTAAAAGGCAAGTATAAGATCTTTTCTTTATACCTAATATATGAAAGAACAAGAACAGGATTGTTATACTTTTTATGTACAAAGGTTTTCAAAGTGCCTGAACTAAGGGTAGGTTCATGTGCAATAAATAATCTCAATTAAATTTTAGGTCTCACAACCACCCTTTCAGATAGAAAGGGTCACTGATGTTCAGGAAAGTAACCCTTTCCAGTTTATGGAAAACAAGATCAAAAACTGGGAAGTATTAAAGCGTGGCCAAATCCATACCTGTTTTTCCATTTATGTTATACTGCATTTCTGGATTTTAGTCTTGTGCTAAATGCCACAAACCTCATCATACTGTCTCAGCTCCAATCAGATAATAAAAGAACATAAACCAATCTGCGTGCCTGGGTAGCTCAGTTGGTTAAGCATCTGCCTTCAGCTTCCATCACGATCCCAGGGGCCTGGGATCAAGTTCTGCATCAGGCTTCCTGCTCAGCAGGGAGCCTGCTTCTCCCTCTGCCCTGCCCCCACTCATGCTTGTGCTCTCTCTCTCTCTCTGGGGGAAAACAAAAAGAACATAAACCAATCTGCAAACTCACTTGTCCATTGTCTACCACATAGATAATCATATCTGCTTTTTCCTCAAATAGTCTTTGTTTAATAGCAGCCAGGTCAGATGTATCATAGGTATAACCTCCATCTGATTTTACTATGGTTAATGGTACAGAACATCCTGGGACAAACACAATTTTTCTGCCATCATCCACTTGCACAAATCCTAGGAAAAAAAGCTTTATTAATAATGTTAATTAAAAAAAATAATGATGTTAATAGAATCCTGAAAGAATGTAAAAGATAAGCCATTATAAGATATTTATTAGAAAGCTCAAGAAATCACATTCTTTCCCCTCAGTATGATCTACTATGAGTCTTGGAAAATGGCTATTGTCAAGGTTGTCTGGGCATCCGTGATGTTCTCAGGGCACAGGTGAGCTATCCCAGCAGTTTACTAGACTCACACTATACTTGGCTCTCAAACTCTTTATAAAAAAACACATCACAGGGTGTCTGGGTAGCTCAGTAGGTTGACCATCTGACTCTTGGTTTCAGCTCAGGTCATGATCTTGGTATCTGGGGATTAAGCCCTACATTCTACACTCAGAGCAGAGTCTGCTTGTCCCTCTCCCTCTGCTCCTCCCCTTAAGATCTCTCTCTCAGAAATAAAAATAAAATATTTAAAAACAAAACCAAAAAAACCCAAATGCCTCACTGGAACCTACCTATCCTACCCATTGACATAGAACACGGAAATCCAGGCTCTATTTTCAAGGTAGAGCCATATACTTCCTTTGGGGAAAAAGTGCAATTTCTATCACTGTCTCTTGAAATGTACTGAAAGGAAGTGAAAACTGTACCAGGGTCCAAGAAACAAACATGGCAGGGTTTAGCATTTGGAATGATTATTGGAAAGAAAAAATAAAATCATGTTCATATATTCACATTACAAAAGGCAAAACTCTTTGATGCAATAAGGGACAAGAACATGATGATAGTAACAAAGTTTTTTTGATTGCTACTATGTACCAAATTCCATTAAGTCTAAAATTCAACCTTCACAATAACTCCAGGCAGCAAATACTATTAGTATTACTTTCTTACCTTTTAGGAATCTGGGATTTGATAAGGCAAAGGCAGTATAAAATTATAGTTAAAAACAAGCTCTGAATGTGGTGAAAAGGGAACCCTCTTGCACTGTTGGTGTAAATGTAAACTAGTGCAACCATTCTGGAGAACAGTATGGAGGTTCCTCAAAATGTTAAAAGTAGAACTACCCTACCATCCAGCAATTACACTACTAGATATTTATCCAAAGAATACAAAAATACAGATTCTAAGGGACACATGCACCCCACCCCGATGCTTATAGCAGCACTATCAACAGCCAAAGATGGAGAGCCCAAATGTCCATCGACTGATGAAATGGATAAAAATGTGGTGTGTGTGTGTGTGCGCGCGCACTCACACATATACACAATGGAATACTACTCAGCCATCAAAAAGAATGAAATCTTGCCATTTGCAATGATGTGGATAGAACCAGAGTGTATTATGCTAAATGCAGTAAGTCAGTAAGAGAAAGAAATACTGTATGAGCTCACTCATATGTGAAATTTAAGAAAGGAAACAGATGAACATCTGGGAAGGAGGAAAGAAAAAAAGGAGGGAGGGAAACAAGCCATAAGAGACTCCTAACGATAGAGAACAAACTGTTGATGGAGGGAGGAGGGTGGGGAATGGGCTAAAGTGGTGATGGCCGTTAAGAAAGGCACTTGTGATGAGCACTGGGTACTATATGTAAGCGATTAATCACTGAATTGTACTCCAGAAACCAACACTTCACTATATGTTAACTACCAAAAATATAAATTAAAACAAACAAACAAACAAAACCCCCAAACCCAAGCTCTGAGGCTAGACTGCCCAGGTTTGAATCTCAGACTTATTATTAGCTGTGTGACTTTGGCGAATTACTGATTTCTGTGCTTCCTTCTCATCACTAAAAGTCCCTAAAATTTTATTACCTTAAAGGTGTAATCCCTAGGCCACAGATTGTGATTAATAAAAACCATTTCCTATTCAAGAGACCAGTCTTTCTTGGAGATATCCGGTTAGCTGAATTTAGATCTAAGGCAGGAAATACACAAAAAAAATCTTAGAATATTGTGTACCTGAAAGCAAGTAAACTATCAAAGACAATAGAATATAGGGGTCAAGAAAAAGATAAAAAACAAGAAGCCAATTTGAGGAGGCTATCTTTAGCCAAGAACGGGACCGTGAACATTAATTAAAAAGTATAATTAAAGCAAATGATTGAGAAATAAAATATATTAAATCCTGTCTATAATAATGCTAAAAAATAACTCAGTTGATCTGGAAGATGCTAAGAAACTAATTTACTACTCTGAAATTGAGAAATTAAAAAAAGAAATCACACATTTATACTATATGTCTTTGGTTAACTGTACTTTAGAGCAACCAAAATAATTATGTGGCAAAGCTCTGCACAGGGCAATTCAAGATAACAAAGAAGGAATAGAACACTACCATTTTCCAACCTCTAATGAAGTAATGGATCAAAGTCCTGATCATGAACAGCTGCTAAAAACAATATGGGGAAGTCTAACAGGAAAATCTGTGGACAGATGAGGCTGACACCTGAACCTACAAATCCATCTCAATGTAGAGAGTCAACCAGACATTGCTGACATACTTGCAAATAAAAAGACAAAACAAAAAAACAAACCCGAATTTGATCAGCCTCTTCAGAAGATACAGACGGAGGAACTGTTTTAATACCATATGGGAATTCTCTTAAGACAAATGGTCCAGTTTCTTCAAGAATAAGAGAAAAAGCAAGGGTAGGGAAGAACCCTATGGATTTACAGAAATATATATATATATATATATATATATACACACACACACATACACATATATACATATATAAACAAATGTACAGACTGAAAAAAAAAACTGATAGATTATTTTAACAATCTCTTCACTTTTGCCTCTTCGAAAATTTCCATAATGAAAAGCTTAAAAAAAAAAGGTAGAATGCCTACCTTTATCTTCAAATTCTTTTACAATGTCATTCATCCTGTCTTGATAGAAGGATTCCCCTCTCTCTATTAAAGAGATGTCCAATGCGTCATAGATTTTATTAAACTCTAGGAAAAAAAGGTCACCAAAAAAAAAAAAAAAAAGTTTAAGAATTTAAATAGGAGACATACACCATACATTACAAGAAACATACTATTTAACTGCAACATTTTACTTAATTAATGTATTTATTAAGTTGGCTCCATGCCTAGTGCAGAGCTTTAAGTAGGGCTTGATCTCACCACCCTGAGATCATGACCTGAGTTGAGATCAAGAGTCAGATGCTTAACAGAATGAGCCACCCAGGCACCCCTGTATCATATATTTTTTAATATAATTTTCTTCCTTTAAAATGTTGCAATTAAAGTTGTCTATTTCTCTATTCTATTTTTCACTTTCTGTTGTCTATTTCTCTTCACTTTGGTCTGACACTTTCTATGTGAATTTATTCCAATGTGTTTTATAGCTTTGATGGCCACTATGAATAGGATTGTCTCATTTTCCTTCCTACCTCATTTCCCAATTAAAAAAAAATTTTTTTTTTGAATCGAAATTTTTTCCTAATTAATTTTTCCTGGTCTAAGAAAGTTAAAATTTGCACTTGACTCTCTTAATGAACTTTCTTAATAGTTGTTTCAGTGTTAGAAAATACTTAAGAAAAAAATCTATTTGCCGGTCTTTCAGAGTTTAACATTTCATTAAAGGTCAACTGAGTAAAGACTCAAATACTTGCAACAGTATTTCTTGGATGAATGAATGAAGCCCAGAAACTCACCTTGGCGGGAAACATCACAGATAAGCTTCCAAGCTTTTATAATATCTGGATTTTTACTTTGGAGCAGAACCACACACTGGTATGCTCGCTTCTTAAATTCCTCCTCAGTATCAAATCTCTTCTTGGATTCCTGTGTTTGAGGGGGAAAAAAAAAAAAAAAGAGCCAACTTTGTATTTCTAGGTAAAGAATTTATTTATTTCTAAAACAAAAAACAAATACAAAAAAACCCAAAGTGAGAAAAGTGAAAATTTACAACACTAGTACAAAAGCAACAGAGTAGGTGCTCTATTTCAATTAAGTCAATAGTTACAAATTAATGTGCCAAAGAACCCTATTATTTGTTTTGAAATCATTTCTTGAAAATGCAAAATTCTCACCAGAGCTACCTCCACTTTTACAATTCACAAAAACCTTCTTCACACCAATATTCAAGAATAATAAAGAATAACTAACAGGTGGGGTTCAATTTTCTGCACTTCATTTTCCATTTTGGATGTGGTCCTGGACAAATAATTTTTGTAATTAAAAATAAAATTGCTTTCATTGTTTATGTCTATTTTGAAAGCAACACATGCTTACTGCAGAAAAAAGAAAAAAAAATTTGTTAATCCTACTCCAACCTAACCAGGGATAAGGTTTTGCTGCATTAATTCTAGACATTTCTTTGCAAATACATACCTATGTATTTTAAGCAAAAACTGGAACATACAGTGTTTTTACAACTTAGTAACGTATTATAAACACTTTTTGCATTAACAGATCGGCCTTACTATACTTAGAGCACAGAATTCCAATAGATTATAACATTAGTTATGTAATTTACCAGTTTCACATGAATAAACATATTGTTTTCAATTATTTCATTAGAAAATGGTTACTGAGACAAACCCCAAAAAACAATAACAAAAAACTCCCACATAGATATTTACACTTTAATGCTGTAATCCTATTCTTGGGAAATGATCTATCATAAGGAAGTGATTTTTTTTTTCAAAGATTTTATTTATTCATGAGAGACACAAGAGAGAGGGGCAGAGATATAGGCTGGGGGAGCCACCCAGGTACCCCAAAGAAATAATTTTAAAAAGAGAAAAACTTGTATGTACAAAGTTATTTACCGAATGTATAAAAGCACTCCAAAAATGGGGAAAAAACCCCAACAAGAGGGATTAATACAAACTTCAGTATATCAATCCAACAAAACAATGTGCAGCCAAACCATACAGTAATGTGAAAGTTGATAATGAAACATTAAACACAAAAAAGTATTATAATCACAAACAATGTAAAGATTGTTTTTTTTAAGATTTTATTTATTCATGAGAGACACACACAGAGAGAGGCAGAGGGAGAAGCAGGCTCCATGCAGGAGCCTGATGTGGGACTCGATCCAGGGTCTCCAGGATCACGCCCTGAAGGACTGAAGGTGGCGCTAAACCACTGAGCCACCCGGGCTGCCCCAATGTAAAGATTTGTATATGGATGTCACAAAGTGAAAGTATATTGACCACAGTGATTAATTTAAAATTATGGTTTATAGTACATCTGTCTTTTTTTTTTTAATTTTTTAAATTTTTTTTTTTTTTTTTATGATAGTCACAGGGGGGGTGGGCAGAGACATAGGCAGAGGGAGAAGCAGGCTCCATGCACTGGGAGCCGACGTGGCATTTGATCCCGGGTCTCCAGGATCGCGCCCTGGGCCAAAGGAGGCGCCAAACCGCTGCGCCACCCAGGGATCCCGTACATCTGTCTTTTAAAAACTATTCTTACGTATACTATAAAATTTTCAACATATATATATATATATTTTTAAGATTTTATTTATTTATTCATGAGAGACACACAGAGAAGCAGGGACACAGGCAGAGGGAGAAGCAGGCTCCATGCAAGGAGCCCGACGCGGGACTCGATCCCGGGTCTCCAGGATCACACCCTGGGCTGCAGGTGGCGCCAAACCGCTGCGCCACTGGGGATGCCCAAATTTTCAACATATAAAATTGAGAAGAGTATCAAAAAAATTTTAAATACTAAAATATCTTTTGATTACCAAGCTCCTGAATTCACTTAATGGATAATGTGGTGGCACCTAGGTGGCTCAGTGGTTGAGCGTCTGTCTTTGGCTCAGGTCCTGATCCCAGGGTCTTGGGATTGAGTCCCACATCAGGCTCTCCACAGGGAGCCTGCTTCTCCCTCTGCCTGTGTCTCTCTGCCTTTCTCTCTCTCTGTGTCTCTCATGAATAAATAAATAAAATCTTAAAAAAAAAAAAAGGGTAATGTGGTAGAGTTCAATTTTTAACATACACCAATTAAAAAAGCAAAGATGCGGTTAAGGGGCAGAGTTTAGTTTTAACCCCACAGTAGTTTCAAATACCAATTTGAACTCTCTAAAGAAAACTAAAAATTATGATGAATTGGTAAACACACAAATACTGTAACAATAAATGGTATCTAACCTTATAAAAGGCTTGAAGATCCCCAATAGGAGGTGAAACTGTTAGGTAATCTGGAAATTTATCTTGCAGGTGAGCGATGAGCATGCCAAATTGGGTTCCCCAATCTCCTACATGGTTTAATCTAATGCCAATCAGAATACAAAATTATTTTAAAATAACATGCTTAAACTAGACAAACTATATTCCATTAGGAACCACTAACATTTAAGTGCCAGTACATCACATTTAGTAACATCTGTTTCCTTGGCTGTCTCCTCACTGGTATGCATACTTTAGGAGAGGCGAGGACAACGTCTATACGTTTAGAAATATATACCCGCTAACAGAGGTTGCACATGACAGGCCTCCAGTATTTGTGGTCAATGAGGTTCCTATTGATAGACTGATCTGTTTTCTGAGTAGTTAACTGAGACATGGACAGATGAGTCAACGTTGATAATTACCACTTTATGAAAATTTAACTTCTCAGCCAACTATCACCCTAAGACAATTAGACCAGCGGTTCTAAAACACCAGTGGATAAAATTCTTCAAAATGTGTCTATCCAACCACTTTACACTCCTTATTGTTTTTAATCCCAAACCACCAGATCATCTTTTTTTTTTTTTCTTCACCAGATCATCTCTAACTGGATTGTTGTCATAGGGTTTCTAACTTACAGTTAGGCCTTCTTTGCCTTATTTCTTAACAGAAGCCAGACTAATCCTTAATTAGATTGTATTGCTCCTCCTAATTAAGACTCTCCAATAGCTTCCCATCACACTTAAGAATAAAATCCCAATTTCCTACCATTGCCTACAGGCCCAGCATAATCTCTTGCGTACGCCTTTCCTTATTAGAATATAACCCCGTGGATACAGGAAGCACTCAAGTACTTGTGGAATGAACAGGAGAGTTTTTACTTAGTTCCATCCCCAGACAGCCTACAAGTTAACAGTTCAGAGGAGCCCAGGACATAATTTATTTAAAAAGCCCACTTGGTGATTAGAAGCAGAACCATACTTACAAATCACTAATTTAGTCAAAGATTCTATCTCAAACAACATTTCCCATTTTCTATAGAAATTTCTAGAAGCAAGAACACATACCTTAGCACATCATATCCTGCAAATTCAAAGAGGCGGGACATGCTCTCTCCTATGATAGTTGATCTGAGATGGCCTACATGCATCTCCTTAGCTATGTTGGGAGACGAGAAGTCAACTACAACCTGAGACAGAAAGAAAACAAAAATTTAGACAATATTGTACTTTAAAGTGATAAATCTAGGTTCAATGGCAATTATGTTACAATATATAAATGTATCAAAGTTTAACACCTGTATATCTTAATTTTGCACAATGTTATATCAAGTACCTTCAATTAACATTTTTTAATTTTTATTTATTTATTTAATTTTTAAATGGGCATAGACATTTTAGTCTATTAACATTTAGTAATAACATTTAAAAATAAACTCAGAATAACAGCTTGGATTGCAGTTCAATTGTGTTAGGTTTCTAGTATACCTACTTGTCCATTATTAACTGAAAAAGAATTATATCTGTTTATACAAATAATCTACCCTATTTTAGCCAAACCTCATAAATACCAGCTGGCTACCCCAAATGCTCTGTGGAATACAGTAAAAAGAAAAACCAGGGCAGCCCGGGTGGCGCAGCAGTTTAGCGCCGCCTGCAGCCCAGGGTGTGATCCTGGAGACCTGGGATTGAGTCCCACATCGGGCTTCCTGCATGGAGCCTGCTTCTCCCTCTGCCTGTGTCTCTGACTCTCTCTCTGTCTCTCATGAATAAATAAAATCTTATAAAATAAAATCTTATAAAATAAAATAAATAAAATAAATAAAATAAAATATAAAATAAAAAATAAAATAAAAAATAAAATAAAATAAAAAATAAAATAAAATAAAATAAATAAAAGAATATAAAGAAAAGAAAAACCACATAAGAAGCCAAGACCCAGGAGAAAGGTTATTTCAGCAATTTTCATAATCTTGAATACCAATGATTAAATCTCGATATAAGAAAATAACTGCCAGTCTCATCACAGCCCTTGTCCCACAGTTGTAAGGTGTTAATGTATCATTGCAAACTGTGTACATACCTTTTTATTCTCTCCAAGGGCAGGTAGTTGAACACCATTCACCAGAAGATTGGTCAACTGTTGTGATACAAAGTCCTTTCTTAGGTGGACATTAATAAAACCTAATGAACAGTAAGAGGAAAGAAAGAAAAAATCAGATGGTTTCCTATCTTAAAGGTCTGCTCACTCCCAGTCTTTCTCAATTTCACTTATGCTGGCTCCAGAGTGCTGATCTGGCTCTGGCAAAACTTAAGGATTCCACCACCACCTGAAGCCCTCTTGTAATTCCTTATTTCAGTATCTGTTTCAAACATTACCATTCTCTTGAAGTTTCCTACTTAATCCTGGGCCCCTTCACTCTCAGTATATGATCTGTTCACCTCTTAACAGAAAATTGGTGCCCCTTTTATGATAGATTTATCTGCCATTATCCATCTCCTTCATGCTGTTGAAAAACCCAGTCACAGGAGGTAAAATAACTCATCCAAGACCAGGCAAGTCAGTCCAGACTAAAACCTCAGTTTCCTAACTTCAATCTGAGGTGTTTTCACCACCTTATACAGTTTAAGCCTACATTCATATATTATATGAATCAATATTAATACAACTCCTTAAGAAGGATAACACTGTCATACCAGGGCCAGCAATTTCAACTCTTTCAACACATTCATTGTCTGGGAGGTGTTTGGTAATGTTTTCAGCAATTTCTCTTGGATTAACTTTCTGTTCCTTGGTTTTGAGCATCTATAACACAATATAAAATGATTCATTACACAATAGATTCCAGCAAGTTACTCAGAAATACACAACTGATAAAGAGGTACATTTGACATTAAGACCCATCAAGAGGCACAAGCATGGAGTCCAACAGCCTTCTAAATGGACAGATTAAAGCATTAAACATCAATAGGGCCAAGAGGAATACAAAAATGCCCAAACCACATGATCTCCATTTCAAAGTGAGCTGCCCCACATACCTAGAACTCTTTTACGAAGACATAACAAAACCTTTAGTTATGATGTTGGTTTCCAGGATATTTATATTTGGAATTTGCAAATCATGAAAAGTGTGCAATATTCAGACCTGGGTAATAAAAATAGTACCCTTATAAACTTAACCCCAATGTAGACATATAAAAATTATCTAGAAGAAAATCTGGACATTTTAAATTAAACCCTTTGACTCAACAAAGAAAGGAAAGCAAAATGTCCCAAACCAGGGCCAATTAATCACAAACACAGTATACAATGCAGCTATTAAAAATGGGGAATTCTGGGGCACCTGGGTGGCTCAGTCAGTTGAACATCATGCCCTGCACTCAGCACGGAGTCTGCTTATCCCTCTCTCTCTGCTCCTCTCTCCCCCAGCGCGCTCGCTCTCTCTCTCTCTCTCTCTCTCACAAATAAATATTTAAAAAATGTAGGGGCGCCTGGTGTCTACCTTTGGCTCAGGTCATGATCCCAGGGTCCAGGGATCAAGTTCAGTGGGGAGCCTGTTTCTCCCTCTCCCTGCTGCTCCTCCTGCTTGTGCTTGGTCTCTCTCTCTGGTAAATAAAATCTTAAAAAAAAAAAAAAAAATTTAAAAAAATTTTAAAGTAACTCAAATTGCTTCTTAAAAAAAAAAAAAAAAAAAAAAAGGGCAGGAGAAGATTCCTCTAACTAAAAATGAAATATTTAGGTCCAACCCAGAGACCCCACAGCTGCACCAAGCATGTGATGGGGACATTGGTTGATAAATGGCTCACTTAGAATCTCTCACTTTCCAATATTCATCAATGATAACACAAAGCAATCCTGGACACAACAGGAGGCAAGTACCAGGAGTATCAACTACCACTCTTAAATACTGAAAATACATATAAAATTTAACTGAATATTCAAACTTGTGTTTTAAAATTAAAAACATCCCCTTTGCTCAAGTTTTTCAGAACTGTGGAAAATCTTCTTTTCATTGAGAATACAATTTGCTACTATTTATGTAAAAGTAATGATGATTAATACTTAAGAAAACCAAATCAGTAAGAATGCTTTGAAGTAATGCAATCACCTGAGAGATACCCATAGCACTATTACACTGGTAGTCCCCAAACTTGGGCTGTTGACTTGGTGTCACTATGAGAGGAGGGTTTTCCAAATCTGGATATGCAGCCTTAATGGCACAACCAAAGACTTCTTGCAGTCGGCTATTGATGTTAATCATATTTTTAGTTGGTCTGGTTCTTTCTGCTTGAAGACTCTAAGAAGGAAAATGTCAACAAAATATTAAATTATCATATAAAATATTCCCAAATATTGTAAGGAATCTTCAAGATCTTGAGAAGGTAAATACCAAAAGGTAACATACACTGTGCAATGCTCTCATATCTGGGACATACTGAAAAACATAACAGGACAACCATCCAGTAAGTGTTGCTAAGTCAGAGCACGTGACCAATATGACCCAGGGAATGAAGGTAGAGTGAATGAATGGGTGTCTGACACAGTATTTTTATTCATCTACGACTTGCTGGTTTTTGTTGTATACCTTTTCTTCAGGTACTATTACTCAGTAGGGCAAAGTATTTATGAAAGAATCAATGTGCCCACCCACCCATTACACTGACAGCATTGTAACATTTACACATTGGAGTCAATGTGCATTATGGAAACACATGTATATTAGAATATACTGTACTTGGAGTGCCTGGTTAGCTCAATTGGTAGAGCATGGGACTCTTGATCTTGGGGTTGTAAATTCAAGCCCCATGCTGAGTGCAGAGATTACTTAAAATCTTAAAATAGGGGTGCCTGCCTGGGTGGCTCAGTGGTTAAGCATCTGCCTGTGGCTAAGGGTGTGACCCTGGGCTTCTGGGATCAGGTTCCGCATCAGGCTCCCCATCAGGAGCCTGCTGCTCCCTCTGCCTAGGTCTCTGCTTCTCTCTATGTATCTCTCATGAATAAATAAAATCTTAAAAAAAAAAATCTTAAAACAATAATACAATGTACTTTTGTGTTTTTCCTCAGACCCTCTACCAAACATGAGGCATCTAATAATATTTCTGAATTAAAATATAAAAATGAATATAAATAAGTACAGAATAAGTGAGGTAACCAGAAAGCTGGGGTATTTGGGGGAAGACTCCATGGAAAAGAAATGTCATTTTAGAAGATTCAAAGACAAAGTTATTTCAAGCAGACTAGATCACAAGTAGGTGATAAAAAGACTTCATGGGAGTGGAGTGGGTAGAGCCTAAGACAAGAAAAATGGGGTCAGCTTTGGAAAAAATATAATGTCAGTGTAGCCTGGCTAAGAAGTAGTATATACATACTGGAGAACAATTATGCCAGTGAGGTCATCTCCCAGGATGTGTCATCAGCAGACATGAAAGGCAGGCCAAGAAATGAAAACCTCCACTAAAACAAGCTAAGTTCTTTGGCAAAACTGATAAACACTGTTAGATTATAAGATTATTAAATAACAAATACAGCACAAGCTTCTTAGGAAAAAGAAGTTCTGAAATAAAAGTGGAAAAAAAATGACTCCGAAATATAAAAATCAAATTATAAAATAACCAACTTAGGGCACAGAAAGACTGTGCATATGTTCTATATTTTCTTTTGATTGAGGCAATTATTAAAAATTCAAAAAAAAATTTTTTTAAAAGGCACCAACATAAACTATTAAATGTCTCAACCTATTGGAAGCCTACTTCAAGCGGGCCAAATATTTAGCGTATCAAACATTTCAAGGGGCCCTGGAAGGACAAGTCTACACCAACTTCTCCATTACTTGCAACAACTTAGTCCTAATTAGTCTTAGCCGGGGGGTAAAAGATAGGGTTTCTTTCCTCATGTCTCCAAATTCCTCAAGGTATACTTTCTGAATCTTTGACAAAAGTTTTTTTTTTTTTTTTAAATACAATAATTCAAACTATAAAACGAAAAACAACCCACAGTACTTACCTTTCGAAGGATTTTTAGTCGATACTTTAATTTTAAATTTTCTTCTCGCAACTGCTCCAAATCTGGAGAAGCTTCTAAACAGCCACAGTTTTTTAACCGATCTATTTCAGCAGTCAGAGACTTAATCTCTTTTTCCTATGAAAGCAAAGGCACTTTGTTCAGTCCACAGTCCACTTATGACTGACAACTTTCGTTAACGTGATAAATTGAATTGTACCGTCAATTTCTTTCTTTTCCTCTTTCCAACAGCAAGGCAGAGGTGATGGGAATAATGGGCGTTTCCTTTGATAAGCTGTGATTTTCCCTCCTGAGACTTTGCACTACATTATCATACTACCCTTTCAATGAAAGACTTATGTGCGTATACCGGAGAGGAACAGGTGTGTTAAGCACATAATGGGATAAGCCTTATTATCCTGGTGTGTTTTTTTTTTTTTTTTTTTTTGGTCTCAGTAAACCACTCTGATTTAGTGAAGAGGACTAGTTAAGTTCAAGGGTGACCAACCTTTGTTCCTAAATCTTAGGACTTGGGGTTCTTTTAAAAAGGAAATGCCTCGGGCAGCCCTGGTGACTCAGCGGTTTAGCGCGGCCTTCGGCCCAGGGCATGACCCTGGAGTCCCGGGATCGGGTCCGACGTCGTCGGGCTCCCTGCATGGAGCCTGCTTCTCCCTCTGCCTGTGCCTCTACTTCTCTCTGTGTCTCTCACGAATAAATAAATAAGACCTTAAAAAAATAAAAATACAAAGGAAATGCCTTTTGTCACATGTAATATAGCTCAAGTGTCTGCCTTTTGCCCTTTCTTAGACAAAATGATCTCCCAATTCTTCCCTTAGTTTCCCACTGTGTCTCCGGTCCTAGGCCAGGTTTCTAACTCTAACGCCTAAAACTAAAAAACAGGCCAATTCAGCGGCATCAGAATCACTAAGGGGGAGACTCTCCGCTGAGATGTGAGAACGCTTATCAGGAGGTGACCACAGCAAAACCAGGTTGCCCGACGCGAGCATGTTATGTTCCATGCACTCAGCTAAACATTTTCCAAACGTCGAGGTCTTCTTCTTCCTTTTTTTTCCTTTCTGGTGTCTGTAATTCTTTATCACAACCGAAGGCTAAGGTACCTGTACCCCGACCCCGACAAAGAACACAGCGCTCGGCAGCAGCGCGAACCTTCCACTTTACTTGACCGAGCTGTACCCCGAGCCCGAGGGCGAGGGATGTGCCCCGTCGCGGCGGTCCGCTGCGGCCGCGGCGCCCCAGGAGCCCTGACGCCGCAGGTCGGGGTGTGTCGACTCCCGGGCTCCCGCCCCCGCACCCCAGGCGGCGCGTGCGCGGAGGGAGCGGCTCAGGGTCGGCCCGCACCGAGCACGCCGCGCCCCGGAGACGGGCGCCGCCGGGGGGCTGGGCTGGCCTGGGCCGGGCGCTGGAGCTCGCGGCGGGGGGGGGAGGGGGGAGGGGCGGGCTGGGGGCGGGGCCGGGCTGGGGGGGAGGGGCGGGCTGGGGGGAGGGGCGGGCTGGGGGCGGGGCCGGGGGCATCCCGGCGGGGGCGCTCGCTCCGGGGGAGCAGGCCCGGGTCTCAGGGCGCGCGGACCAGCGCGGGCGCCGCCCCCCTGCCGCGCCGCGCCCCGGCGGGCGCAGACCCTCCTCGCTCCCCGCCGAGCCTCCTTCCTGGCCCCAAGCGGTCCTACCTGCTGCAACAGCCTCGCGGAGCACTGAGCCACCAGACCTTCCATCCTCCCGCCAGCGACGAACGCCCCAAGGGGCCGGAAGCGGAAGTGACCGGCTCTTCTCGGAAGCGGAAGCCCCGGGTCCTGCGCCTCCCGCTGCTGCCCACGGTGTGCCGCCGCCTGTGCTGCCCCCTGGCGGGATCCCGGCGACACTGCGGGGCCGACGACGGGGAGGTGCTGGGCGCTGCCCGGACTCCAGGGGCGCGGGCGCTCACAGGGACGCGAGCGCTCACCGGGGGCCTCACGAAGTCACAGAATCAACAAAATCCGTTCGTGTGTGCAGCCCCCACGTGTCGTGCGCATTAGCGTGGCCGACAGCGAGCGAGGCGGGCCCTGGATCAGCAGCCGCGTGTAAGGCAGGGCGGGGAGCTCCCGGGGGCGTGCTGGAGCCCGCGGCGCGCTCTCAGGGTCGCTGCCAGGGAAGCGTCAGAACGCAACGCTCAAGCGAGCCCGGGGGTCCAGTTGACTTTTCACCGAGTGGGTCGCAAGGCAGCCTCGCATCTCGCAGTGGGGGGGGGGAGACCCAAAGGGCTACAGAGAAAGAAAGGCCTTAAAAGTGAGACGGAGAAGTCGTGAACAACAACAAGTATTTGGGGTGAAGTCGCCTTCCCTGGGAGGCCAAGGGGTCTTAGTGGGCGCACTGCATCTGCCTTTTGTTTTTTGTTGTTTTTTATTTATTTATGACAGTCACAGAGAGAGAGAGAGAGAGAGAGAGAGAGAGGCAGAGACACAGGCAGAGGGAGAAGCAGGCTCCATGCACTGGGAGCCCGACGCGGGAGTCGATCCCGGGTCTCCAGGATCGCGCCCTGGGCCAAAGGCAGGCGCCAAACCGCTGCGCCACCCAGGGGTCCCTGCATCTGCCTTTTGGAGGGTGGAGAGGGCCCATGTGACAGGTTATCTTGTTGGTTCTGACCAGAAGAAAAAATTTCTAAGATTTTATTTTTTTGAAAAATCCCTACACCCAGCGTAGGGCCTGAACTCACAACCTCGAGAGCAAGAGTCGCCAGTTGCACCGGTGGAGCCAGCTAGGCATCTCCCTGACCAGAAAATTTGTGACTCCAACTAAGGCTGTGATTCTGGGGGGATCCCTGGGTGGCTCAGCGGTTTAGCGCCTGCCCTTGGCCCCGGAGACCAAGGATCGAGTCCCGCATCGGGCTCCCTGCATGGAGCCTGCTTCTCCCTCTGCCTGTGTCTCTGCCTCTCTCTCTCTCTCTGTGTCTCTCATGAATGGATAAATAAAATCTTAAAAAAAAAAAAAAAAAAAAAAGAAAGACTGTGATTCTGGGAGAAGTTGAAAGTGCAGTTAGGCTAGGTGTTAAGCTTGGTGTGGTGATTTGTTGTAAGTGACACCATTTAGGGCCCTGCAGTTTTCTTTTATCAAAGATAATGTGGTAGAGTGACTTGGGTCAGGAAGACCTCTGTTCTGAGTTAAGATCTTTAAACAGCTGGGACGCCCGGGTGGCTCCGTGGTTGAGCATCGGCCTTCGGCTCAGGGCATGATCCCCTCTGGGGATCGAGTCCCACATCGGGCTCCTCTGCCTGTGTCTCTGCCTTTCTCTGTGTGTCTCTCATGAATAAATGAATAAAATCTTAAAAAAAAATTTTTTTTTAAACAGCTAACCTGGGATTTAAGGTCTGAGAAAACAGGGACATGAATGGTCTTTCTCACTCTTCTCTATGCCCCAGTACTTAGCAGCCTCTAAACTTTATTGCTTCTATGTCTTATAAAAGAATTTTAAGAGATTATATTCCAATAAAGATTTTTTAAAGTTGACACCCCAAAACTCTTGTCACAACCTTTTATTTTATCAGGATTTTATTTTTTAAGTAACCTCTACACCTGACGTGGGGCTCAAGTTCACAACCCTGAGATCAAGAGTTACTAACATGCTGTACCCACTGAGCCAGCCAGGTGCCCTTGTCACGATTTTAAATAGTGGCAGTGGCCTATTTTCTGGTGTGATGTTTCTTGTATAAGTGCTCTCCATGTATTTTCATCAAAACTGTAGAGCTGCAACAAGCAAACAAACAAAAACTGTTTGTTTAACAAACAAAAGCTGTATATAACAAAAGCTGTATATTTAGCCCACCCAGAATGTTATCATATTAATTAATCGGCAAAGACAGTTCTCTTTGTCAAACCAAATAATTCAAATCATATGTACTTATTTTTTTTTGATTTAAAAGTTTACCTTTATTTTTATGTTTTAGAACAAGTGAAAGTGAACATATGTTCCTGTGACACCTTCTTCTTTCTAAATTCAAAGAGAAAAAGATGAAGACAAGGAGGGATGAGTTGGCGGATGGACGGATCAATGGACAGATAGACCACCACCTTTGAAATAAAGCAGGAAGTAAGGGCCATCTTTTTTACGAAGTATCTTTCGCTGGGTGCTCAAGGATTTGCCTTCAGGAGAGGTGCATTCTCGAAATGTACTTTGTTCAGTTCCTGTTATTTTACACCTATAGCAGTGGGAGAGGTGGTAAGCCTTTTCTTGTGAACAGGGGAGTATAAAAATAAAGTTGGATAACTGCATTGGTGGGCAAATCAATTTTAGGAAAGAGGATACAAAAATTCAAGATCTGCAGATGGATTTCTCTAATGTATCCAGATCCACCTACCCCTAGGAATATCTTCCTATATGTCAAGATGCATATAGGCAGTTTGGAAGATCGTTTACTTGGAGTGTGCTTGTCACAGGGCATTGCTCAAAAACTGCTTCCTACCTGAATGAATAGGAGGGTTCTCAGTAGAGAGGTATTCAAAGCAAATGACCTGAGGCAGGAGCTAAATTTACTTAGAAATAGAAGAGAGGGGGATTGGATGTGAGCCAAGTGGAGAAATTGGCAAAAGTGAAGCATATAGGAACTTATAAATCAGAGCAGAGGTTTCTAATTTTATTCTAAGCATGATGGGAGCCACTAGAGGTTTTGCATTTTTGTTTTCAGAAAGGGATGTGTTGGGTTTAATTGTATTCCCCCCAAATTCATGTCAAAGTCCTAACCCCTAGTACCTCAGAATGAGACTGCATCACTGCGGTGTGTCTCCCAATCAGTTGGGGACCCCCCAAATGTTGGGCGAAGATCTAGTGGAGACTGATGGCGTAGGCAGAGAAAGGATTCACCCAAAGGCAGAACAAAGCAGATGGAAGTTTAATGAAAACACCGCAAGGGAGCTGCAAGCAGGACAACAAATGAGAGACTGCAAAGAGGCAGTGGGTAGGGGTTGTTTTTAAAGGGGAATATGAAGAGGTATGGGGATGTATGGAATTCTCCCTTTCTTGGGAGCTATGCCTGGTTGTACATAGCCCGTTAGCTAATTAGGGCCTATGGATATTTTGAGGGGGATCGGCCTGTTGGGCCTGTCTGTATTCAGCCAGGTGGTGGTCACTGTAGGCTTTTGCCTTGATCGAGTTTCCACTGCTCAAGCCTATTGTCTAAAAGTGGCCTCTGTAGTTACCTATCAATCTATCATAGCCATTAACTCAGGAAACAAAAGAAGCCCTGGAACACTGCCTCTGCCAACTACTCTGTCCTAGAAAATCTTGAAGGGGCTAGACTCATCAAAAGCATAGTTTAGTTCCTGGTTGGGTTTGCCAAACCTGTTGCCAAACAGAACTCAGAAAAACTCATTGCAAGAGAAGCCAAGAGAGATGCCTGGGTAGCTCAGTGGTTGAGTGTCTGCCTTCGGCTCAGGGTGTGATCCCAGAATCCTGGGATCATGTCCCACATCAGGCTCCCTGCATGGAGCCTGTTTCTACCTCTGTCTATGTCTCTGCCTCTCTCTCTGTATCTCTCGTGAATAAATAAATAAAATCTTGAAAAAAAAAAAAAAAGAGAGAGAGAGAGAGAAGCCAAGAGATGAGGATTTGGAAAACAGAAAGGGAGAAATTTATTTTGGGTGCTGGCAGCCAGAGGAGACGGCTCAGGCCTCAAAAACCAACCTCTTCATCCACAAGATGGACACCTAGAGTTTGACAGGGAGAGAGGTTCAGGGGTACATGCAAGAGAGCAGGCAGGGGTCACATGATCGTAGGTGGGGATTGGTGGGGATTGGTATGTGTTCAGTGCCTGATCCTGGGCAGGGAAAGGGATGGAATGTGGTCTTTAAGGCATTCCGTTGCTATCAGGGCTTTTCTGGCCTGACAGTTGGAATGTTCCAGTCATTGTAAAACATCTTCATCAATGCCTTAAGGAAGTGTGATAAGAAATAAGTACGATGGGTTTTAGTTAGAGCATGAGTTAAGCAGCCCTGTCTATTTCTGGTTTAAGCTGAAGGGTGTCTATAGTTGAGGAAGTGGGCTAGCTGACAACTGTCTTTGGAGAGAGGGTTCTTAAAGAGGTAATGAAGTTAAAATGAGGTAATGAGCATGAGACCTAATCCAATCTGATCCATATCCTTATACACACAAACACACACCCCACACACACCATGTGAAGACATAGGGGGAAGAATTCCATTTATAAGCCAAGAAAAAAGACCTCAGAAATAACCAACCTTGCCTGCCAACACATCGATCTCAGTCTTCTAGTCTCCAGAAGTCTAAGAAAATAAATTTCTAGTGTGTAAGCCCCTGGTCTGTGCTACTTTGTTATGGCAGCGCTAGCAAACCAATATAGGAGGATTTGGAAGTCCAATCTTTCCCTCAATGCAACATTCTTTTTTTTTTTTTTTTTTTTTTTTTACGATAGTCATACAGAGAGAGAGAGGCAGAGACACAGGCAGAGGGATAAGCAGGCTCCATGCACTGGGAGCCCGACGTGGGACTCGATCCCGGGTCTCCAGGATCGCGCCCTAGGCCAAAGGCAGGCGCCAAACCGCTGCGCCACCCAGGGATCCCTCAATGCAGCATTCTATGGGAATTGGTGATGGTGCCTACAGGATCTTCTGTGGCCAGGATGCAGTAACATCTCTCAGTTGCTGCCGATAAGGTGTACAGGTTTGGGTGCCTTGTTTTGTGTAACAAAGGCTATAGCTAAGTGATGTCTTGTTACCCAAAAAAAGAAGAAGCCCTTTAGTTTCCTCTCCAGGTTCCCAGATTCCAAGTTGAGAATTGCTGGTGGAAGTTCTCCATCATTTGTTTGGAATCAGCCCACAGTTGCATTCTTTGGGCCTGCAGGTTCGGTTCTTTCCACACCCCCTCAGATTATTAGTGGGGCTCCGGGAAAACAAAAGGCCTCTTTAAAAGAAGTGGAGTTCTTTAAATCTGGGGCGGTGAGCCTGCCATGTTCTGGCACACTTTGTTTTCTAAGAACCATAGTCTCAGAAGTTGCAAATATCTAGTAAAATGGCAAAATCTTACTAAAGCCAACCTAGAATTACAATGGCCACTATGGGGAATGGTCCAATTAGATGGAATCATTTGTGCACTTGAAAGCAAGAGTTCCCAAACTAAACACAATGGGAATTGCATGCAGAAGCCTCAAGGAGTTTACAAATTTCCAAAATAGTTTTATTGAGAGATTCCTTGCAAAGGTCTCGTGAAGAATTGAGAAGAAAGTTACCTACAGCCAAAGACTATGAGACTGATGTATAAGACTGACATAACTTCTCCTGCTCCCCTCTATCCCCCTTTACCCGAGTGCTCATTCTCGTAATCCTCTGTCTGAATTGCCTTTCTACTTGGAAGAGACTTATTAAAACATTACCTTTTAACATAAGACAACCTGAGACTACAGGCAATCCTTTTCAGGTATCTTTCTTTCACTCCTTGGTCACGGCCAAAAGAATTTCTTAAATCCAGGGAAGATCCTCAAAAGTTTTTGTAAATAGATTACTTCCTGAGCTCAGCAGAGAGATAGAGAGAAGAAAATAAAATTTCATGTTGTCCCGTCCTTTTCGAATCTAAACTAATTGGTTATTGATCCTTTCTCTCTCAGGAATAGATAGCTATTGCCTTCTTTCTTGTCTCATTTCAGCATCCTAAGGACTTGGCTTGGCTTTTTGTCTGCCTGGGACACGTAGGTTGTAGGTCCTTTCTCTGGCTATATTTGAAAGTGACTCTAGATCTTGTGAAGATAGTATCTTTTGCGCCCTCTTTGAGGACACTTCTTGGGTCCATGAAGTCACTTAATACTGCCAGAAATATTTCCTGTTTGTCCCAGCTGAATCCTGACAAGCTATTTGAAAGAATTTAATGACTCTATGATCAGAAATTTGGCTAAATTGGAAGGTGATTCAGAGCCTTCTAGGAATTTCTTTAAGCATTCAACCCTAGGCTAAATGTACCCAAATGGAAAGGAAAGCATCCTAACAGAGGTGAATGAGGGTGTCAGTCCTTGATATCATTTAGGTGGCAACCCAATTCTTTGATGAATTACAAACAGATGTTCTTATTTTACAAATCTAGTCTTTGCAGGACCAGAGGTGTGGTTCCAGAAACAATTCAAAGTTCACTAATCCTTTTTACTAATCCTTGATTTTTCCCTGTTTATCTCAAAAGACTTGTAAGTATTGTAAAAACTCTGGCCTTAAAAGAAGTTCTAGGAGAAGCTTGCTTTTTCCACCACTCCCACCTATGCCTTTGAGATATAAATGGTATATCCAGAACCTTTTCCATAACTCTTACCTAAACCATCTCTTTGATAGGCAAACTTCAGGGGATGGAAATTTCTATCAAAAGAAAAAGAAAAAAAAAAGTGTGTGTGTGTGTGTGTGTGTGTGTGTGTGTGTGTGTGTGTGTGTGAGAGATTTGGAACTTGACCTATCAAGGACAAATACAAACCTTTAAGTGTCTTTTCCACAAATATTTTACAAAGTTCTAGCCACCTAGACCGGTAAACTTAGTCTATTCCATCTTCCAGAAAGCAAACTTCAATCCAGTTTATAACTGGTAAGTTTTGTATTATCATATCTATTTTATGGCAATAATTTAAAAACAGACTTTTGCTGTCTTCTGATGTCCTTGTACCACGGCAACAGTTTGCTCCTGAATCAGAGAAATTAAGATGGATAAGCAGGTGCAATAAATTAAACAGTTGGGGCTATAGAGAATCCAAGACAGATCTTCTCTGCTACCTGACAAACCCCATTTTTCAGTGTTTGCATTCCTTCACCCAACACAGCACGTTTAAGATGACTTGGATTATGAATAGACCTTGGCAGGGAGACTTCCATAAAACTGCAGAAACAGAGAACCTGCAATGTCTGATCTGTCAGGCCCATAATCCTGGAAAAACTATTTTTATTCCCAGTGGCCTCAGGCTTCCTCTCTCTGGACCCTCTGAACATCTGCTGTGAGACTTCATTCAGCTGCCACTTAGTATGTCTTATCAATATGCTCTTGTCATATGTATGTTTTCTGAATAGGTTGGTGCCTTCACAGTGGCAAAGGAACCATTAGAGACTGTTTCCACTTGGAGTGCACCCTCCATAATCTCCAGTGATGGAGGCACCCACTTTGCTGGACAAATCAGATGAGCCTTAATGAAAATCTTGCAAACTTTGCAGAATTAACACTGTTTTATCATCCTCAGTCATCAGGCAAAGTTGAGAGAATGAGTGGTGTTACCAAACCATCACAGCCACTAACTCAGGAAATGAACAGGAAAGCCTGGGCACTGCTACCACCTACTTTATCCCAGGGAATTCCAAGGGGGATGTGCAAATCAAAACCACAACTCCTGACTGGATTTACCAACACTGTTGCTGAACAAACTCAGATAAACTCACTGCAAGAGAAGCCAATAGCTTGAAACATGGATTTGTAGAAGAGAAAGGGAGAGATTTATTTGGGTGCTGGCAGCTGGGAGAGGTAGCAAGTTCAAGCCTTAACAACCCACTTCTCTCTTGACAAGATGGACACCTAGAGTTTTATAGGAAAAGGTTAAGGGGGGGTAAATGCAAGAGAGCAGATAGGGAGCATGTAATCATGGGTGGTGGTCAGTGTGTGTTCAGCTTGTGACCATGGGCAGGAATGTGGTCTTCTAGGCGTTCCACGGCTATCAGGGCTTTTCTGGTTTGTTGACTGGAATGTTGCAGTCATTGTCAAAGCCTCAAGAAAGTGCGATAAGGAATAACTGTTGTGGTCCATAGTTGAACAAGAGGGCTCACTGATAATGGGATCCTCAAACTTAAAGCTTCTAATCTTACAAAAACTACAGGACTTTCCTGGCCAAAGGTATTGCCTTTGGTCTTGCTGACTGTTTGAAGTTCATCATTCTGGAAACATAAACTCATGTTGCATGAGAGTCACTGGCAGACCAATGTCTGTTGGCATATAACCTTCTGCTGATTCCTTGTCTCATGCTAGTATGACTAGCTACTCAAAGTCTCTGATATCTTATACTCAAGACTGTCATCAGTTTTAAGAATTCTTGGATTCCCAATTCAAAGGATCCTATTGGTCATGAAAAAGGCCTTTACCCCCCATTTTGACTGCAAACTTTCTCATTGATTAAGTTCTTTACTACTTGTTGGACGGCCCCGGTGGTACAGCGGTTTAGTGCCGCCTGCAGCCTGGGGTGTGATCCTGGAGACCCGGGATCGAGTCCCACGTTGGGCTTCCTGTATGGAGCCTCCTTCTCCCTCTGCCTGTGTCCCTGCCCCTCTCTCTGTGTCTTTATGAATAAATAAAATCTTAAAAAAAATTCTTTACTATTTGTTAACTCAGGCAAAAGACCCTACTGGCAAAGCATCCTGGGAAGAGAACCAAAACTACCCCCTCAACAATAAGGACTGCCCTGAGCCAGTAAGATCCAGCCTGTGATGGATTTGACCTTCACTGCCCACCTGCATACATCCACAAACCGTTGTTTTACATTTTCTTTATATAAACCTGAAGGTATTTTCAGCACTTTGGAGACAGTCTTTGAGACACTAGCCCACTTTCTTTTGGTGTTGTCCTCACCAAAATAAATTCCTTTCTTGTTTCACCACCACTTGTCTCTCTGCCTTTGGAGTTTGTTAGCAGTGAGTGGCCGGATAATGGTCTGTTTGCAACCCCTGGAGCCAGGTGCTCATGTACCCTAGGTACAGTCACAGTGTTAAGCCTGGTGACTAGATATTCTGGAAGCATATAAAAAGATGGCCCTAGACTCATTAGAGGATACCTTACCGAGTGCTATTTTCAAAAGATTTTATTTAGTATTTGACAGAGAATGAGGGAGAGAGCACAAGCAGGGGGAGTGACAGGTGGAGGGAGAAGGAAAAGCAGGCTCCTCACTGAGCAGGAAGCCCAATGTGGGGCTTGATCCCAGGACCCTGGGATCATGACCTAAGCCAACAGCAGATGCTTAACCAACTGAGCCACCCAGGCACCTCTCAAGTGCTCGTGACCACTGACATTGCTGGAGACCTCCCCATCAACCTGAAAAGAGAGATAAGTAGCTGGTATTGACATAGACTGCTTCCACTTCATATTGTGAACACTTTCTCTTCTTATCCTTTCCTTTACTCTGACATTCTCTTGGGAAAATAATGCCCTCATCTATATTTCCTATAACATTGCTAAGAGGGATGGGTAACCTGAATTTACAACAACTTTCATGTCAGGCTACAAGAAAATCTAATTGTCCCTAATTTTTCACAAAGTAAGAGATCTCATTGGTTGTACGTCGCCCCCACCCCGAATTTATACTGTGGAGTTAGAAAGTACCTAGCAGGAGACTTTCAGGATTCAGTATTCACTCCTCTGGGTGGGTCCCTATTTCCCTAGCTAAGGATAAATGAAAATAAAGTTTCTGTTAGAAATTTCATAAGTCTTGAAATCATTGCAGAATTTACTACTAAAGCAATAGCTGCCTGGCAAAGATTCTTAGCCTGTCTGGCCAGAGTTGTTTTTGATAGTAGAATAGCTCTTTATTATCTTTTAGCTGAGTAAGGAGGTGTCTGTGCTATGCTTAACACCACCTGCTGTATCTGGGTTAACACTTCTGGGGAAGCCGAACCTCAGTTATTAAGATCACTGAGCAAGCCACCTGGCTTAAAAGGCTGACTCCTGCAATGGGGTCTTTGATTGGTTTGGGTCTTGGGTTGGGGACCATGGCTCCAAAGTAAACTCTAATATAATCTTCCTGGTGCATTATATTCTTAAGAGTTTTTTTTTTTTGTTTTTTTTTTTAAGGGAGTGCGTACACGTGGGCAGGACGGGAGTGGTAGAGAGGATGCTGGGCAGACTCTATGCCCAGACAGCATGGAGCCAGAGGTGGGGCTCCATCTCCCTGAGACTGGAACATTGAAGAAGCAACGAGAATGACTGATTTAGATGATAAGCCTGGAGTTGGGATCTGAGAGTATCACAGGGTTAAGCAAAAAATATCATGACCAGTGGATACCACACAAAGGGAGAAAAGAAACTGCAAGAGCTTCAGAGTGGTAGCTGACAGTAGTACTAATGCCTTAAATTTTGAGCACATCTCTCAGGCTGAGAGTCTAATCAAAAGAGGGGAATTGTTAAAAAGAAAACCACAGACCTTAAATGGTATCACTTAAACCAAGTCACCAAGTCTACACTTAATACCTAACCTAATTGCAGTTTCAGCCTCCCCCAGAAATGTAGTCTTAACGGGTTGGTCAGGAATTTTTTGGCCAGCTTCAATGAGGTAATCCGCCACATGAGCCTCTCTATCCCTCAAAGGAATAGGAGATAATCTTCGCCATAAGACTCCCTGCCTTCCCCAAAGGTAAGATGATCTTGCCCGAAACAATTCTTTTCTTTTGTTAATAACTTCTTGTCCTGCCCTCCCTCCCACAAAGCCTTCCATTTTGTACAACTCCTCAGAGCACCCTGGTATTTGCTAGATGGGATGCCATGGATTCATGAATCACTTAATAAGTAAATTAGATCCTCAAATGTATGCAGTTGCATTTTGTTTAACAAGGTCAATTATTTAAAGTGGAAACTACTAGATTAGCTAGTATTCATTGTAGATTCCAGAGAATGAGGGTAACTTTCATATCTTATGTCCTGTAGTACCTGCGTTTTCGTTCATTTACCATGTCTCTTCCTTCCTCACATAATAATAGAAAACAAATTCTAAACTTAAAAAAAATAAAGGGCACCAAGCTCCTATACTGAGGCTCTAGGTAAGCGCTAGCCTCCTTTCTTACCCTGGTGGTAATGAAAATCCCCTCAGCACAGTGACTTCTACAGAGAGGGGCTGGGGCTGGGGCAAGGCCCTGACCTAATAGGAGGCACATCCTCCCCAACGCATCTGAAAGCCTCCTTGTCCCCTTCCTGCTATCAGAGAGATGGTACCTGCCTCTCTTTCCCAAGGATCCGTCTTGTGTCTGGGTGCAGTGTCACAGTGTTACAGGATTACAGGGTTCTTGTCTCACGGAGTCCAAGACTGAATCTCCCGGACACAAAAGAGTGAAGTGACATGAATGTTTATTAAGTGAAGGTGAGCACAGAAAGGAAAGTAAAAAGCTCTCTAGAGTGAGAGGAGTCCCGAATGGGTTGCCACTGAGGGCTTTTACTGGCAGTCTTTTATGGAGAACTGACGAGGGAGTTTGTGGCCTTGAAATTCTTGGGCCATCTTGGTTTGAGCAAGGACTATTGATAACATCCTTAATGGCTTACTTCTTGGAGGTCTGGTCATTTTCTGTGATTACAGTGAAGCTGCCAAAAAATATTCTCCCTGACATCCAGGGCCAGGTGGTCTGGTTTCTTCCCTTATCTCTGGTTTTATACACCTCAGAGTTTCTCCATCTGGGATTTCTGTAAGCCTGGTCATGTAGCCCCCTGCGTGAGCCTAGTCCGGGGAGTCAGGGACCTCCAATCTCTCCCTGCCTAGACCTTAACCCTTTCGTTACTCAATACCAGGATTCACACTCACGCAGGAGGAAACCAGAGAAAGTTTGGGAGCCTTGGGCAGTGGCCGTTTCCCTTTAACCTCCCCCAGGTTGGAAAAGCACCCTTGGGATTCTGAGGGTTAAAGGGCAGAGGTGGGCATAGCTCAGCCCGACATCAACATCTCCCCATCCCCTGCCATGTTGCTTCCTTCCTTCACCCACTTCCTTGTTCAACAGTCACTGTGAACTAGGATGCAACGGGAAACTACTCAAATCAGAGGGCTGAAAACTATCAGCAGAAGGGAGGAAAGGCACAAAGCAGGAAGGGAATGTGTTTTGTTTTGCAGAACCAAGAGCTCCAGCCAGGGAGATGCTCAACTAGTGTTTCACCTGATAGCCCTTACATGAGTCAGTTTGAGCTGGATCAGAGCTGAGGACTTGCAAGGAAGTGCACCCCACCTCCCCACCCCACCCCTCGGCAGCTGACCTGAAGTTACCTTTGCTCATTATAATACTAAGATCTCCTTCTGTGGGTAGAGTTTTCTGCCATTTCTTGAACATACAGTGAATGTACTAGAATGTTGACAAGCTAAGCATGTGCAACTGAAGTAGGGTGCTTGTGCAAGTTCCCTGCCCTTAACCCCTAATACACTGAATAAAAGCTTCCTGTACTAACCCCATCGTGAAACAGCCAGTGCTTTGAGAGCTATCTCCCTGTGTCCTGACATCACCAGCCCCCATGGCTCAGAACTGGGTGCTGGGGACACAGACGAATTAGACATAGTCTGTATTCACAAGGAGCTGACAAATCTAGTCTATTGGGAGATAACTCACATCAAACTTTTTTTTTTTTTAAAGATTTTGTTTATTTATTCATGAGAGACACAGTGAGAGGCAGAGACATAGGTAGAGGGAGAAGGAGGTTCTGGCAGGGAACCCAACATGGGACTCAATCCCAGGACCCCAGGATTATGCCCTGAGCTGAAGGCAGCCACTCAACCACTGAGCCACCCAGTGCTCCTCAAAATCCATTTTTAAAAAAAGATTTATTTATTTTAGAGCGAGTGAATGTTGTAGCAGGGGAAGGGGGGGGAGAGGGAATCTCAAGCAGACTCCCTGCTGAGCACAGAGCTCGCCACCTGGCTCTGATCCCAGGCCCCTGAGATGATGACCTGTGCCGAAATAAAGTCGGCTGCCAAACCAACTGAATCACGCAGGTGCACCTCACATTAAACAAATCTAGAAAAGGAAGATGTGTGTTGGTTGTTGCTGGTGGTGGTGGGGAGGCCTGGGTGATAGGTGATAAGGAGGGAGGGCTTCTAGAGGTGATATTTGGGCTGGGTATGGGAGGAGGAGGGACATTCCAGTGGAAAGGAGCATTGCTGGTGGAGATAGGCAGGTGGAACCTTACCCTCAAGGCCAAGTTGAAGGATGGGACTCGGGGGTCAATATTCCCTCTAGGCTTCTGGGTCTGCACTTGGAGAAGAGGAATGAGTTCTGGGGGATGGTGGTAGCAGGGTTACTGTCACCATTGCTGGAGCCCCATGACAGAACCAGAACTGTCATCTGTGTTCTCTCTTCTGTCAGTAATAGGAGATGGCTCAGATGTGGGGGCTGGCACCAACACAGAGGTTGGGCCTAGGACTGGGGAGAGGAGGCAGGGAGGATGTTGCTGCTGTGGTTGCTTTCTGCTGCCTCTTGCATTTTAAACTAGATCAGTAATTTCTTTCCTTCTTTCTTTTTCTTTCTTTCTTTTGTTTTCTTTCTTTCTTTCTTTCTTTCTTTCTTTCTTTCTTTCTTTCTTTCTTTTCTTTTTCTTTCTAAAAGATTATTTATTTATTAGAGATAGAGAGCAACAGGTGGAGGGAGAAGCAGGCTTCATGCAGGGAGCCTGACGTGGGACTCGATCCCAGGTCTTCAGGATCAGGCCCTGGGCGGAAGGTGGTGCTAAACTGCTAAGCCACCGGGGCTGCCCTTATTTATTTTATTTTTAAAAATATTTTATTATTTTGAGAGAGAACATGAGAGAGAGGGAGCACAAATAGCTTAAAGGGAGAAGCAGACTCCCCAACTGAGCGGGGAGCCTGATGTGGGGCTCCATCCCAGAACCCTGAGATCATGACCTGAGCCGAAGGCAGGCAGACAATAACTGACTGGGCCACCCAGGCACTTCTAGATCAGTAATTCTTAAGAACATAGGTGGGGGAAGGGTTTATTAAAATTTCTAGATGAGGCAGATATATTAGTAAAAAGCATATTCCATATGGTGATTTTAGATTGGAAGGGGCACTTAGTAATATAAAGTAGAGCAGATGTAAACTTTTAAACATGGGAAGAGTTACCAAGAGCTGTTTATTGCTGGTAAGCCACGGCTCCTGGGCCTGCTCTCCTTATCTGTGAAATGCAGGATCATGCAAGGTGACCGTTTAGATCTATTCCAGATACATTAACTCAGACTTTCCCAAATGTGTTTCCATTATCAGTATTTTTGCCATTTCTTTGTGCCACGATATTATGTGATTTTTTTTTCTTAAATTGATTCACTTTAACTTAAATATTTATCCTCATCCAAAGCCATAATGTCTTTGAGTTCATGGGTTTGATGTGCATGTTAAAATAAAATTATAAAAAAAAATTCAGTTAGGTACCGTCTAACATTTTATTTGATACTTCCCTTTCGGAAACACTGCATCAAGTCATTGTTATCAAGACAGCCTGTTGAGAGGGTCAAAAACCACTGGAAAGTATTCACCCAAGTTCCTGTTGTTACTTTGTAGGACTAGAATGAGAACTTTGGTTTTAGCCTTATTCATTCACCAAAAAATTGTTTGAGGGTCAGCCCTCTGTCAGAGACTGTTTTGGCCCTGGGGATTAAAATAGTGAAGACATGAATGATGCCTGCTTTTCCATCTCCAACATTGTCATGAGCAGCCAGCCAAAAACCCAAAAGATCAAATAGGTAAATGCAAGTGGTAAAAAATACTATGTCAAGCTTATGTCCTCTTGTTACTTCTGATTGGCTATATACATATTTTGCTTATAAACTTAAGACTTATCATTGTCTCCTACATAAATTTATTTAGTCCCAAGTGCCCTAGAAGAAGTCTTAGTAATGGTGTTAGGACAAGCTTTCAAATTTATTCTCGGAAGTATCTGGTATATAACAACTAGAATGTAGTCCCCTGCTAGAACATAACTTCCCTACCATTCATTAGCAACTTATAACTATCTGTTCAGTATCTAAAGTGTATTATCTCTGCTACTCTCTATTATTTATCTATCTATCTATCTATCTATCTATCTATCTATCTATCTATCTATCTCTGCTACTCTTCATGCCACTTAGTGAGGGTAGCAAACATGCTGAGAAGAAATGTCCGAGAGGCAATTCACACTTTCATGTGGAGCTCTGATGGTGCATTTCAAAAATGTAGGCAATACTTAATCTATGGATATGCTCATACACATGTGAAAGGATGGACGTACAAAGACCACTTAGACGCTGTAAAAGGAAGAGACTGGGCTACAACATCAATGTCCATCAATTAATTTATGGTACACCATTCAGTGGAATACTACATCATTGTTAAGAAGAATGAAGTCGTTTACAAATATACTGAGAAATGGCAAAGTATAGGACATTACATTTCACATGCATTTTGAGGTGGAGAAAATGATACACATAAGATTAAATATGCATTCATCGCATATATACAATATATTGCCTATCTCTGGGAGGATCATGGGATAAACTGGCAATATAGAATGTCTTGAAAGAGGAACTGGTGGTAGCAGAGGTAGGAAGTCTCTGGTCACTGTAAAGAGGTGTCTTGAGAACATACACTGGGTTTAATCCCAGTTTCTACCACTTACCATCTGTAAGATGTTGGGCAAACAACTCCTCTGAGCTGGTTTCCTCAATGGTAAAATATGAATGATCATAACGTGCTTACCTTGTGGGGTTGTGGTGAGGATGGGTTCAAAATAAGTAAACATTTAGCACAGTGCCTAGGTCTACTGTGAGTGGAAGAATTTGCTACGGAAGCTCTTATGTACCCTCCCGATTTTGTGTGGTATGTAAGTATTAGCTATTAATGCAACACAACTAATTGTTACAAGAGAGGAATGATTTCAGGGTAAATAACCTGACTTTTCCCTCAAAGAACATAAACATTGTGTGTGTGGGTGTTAGCCATCCCAATCACTTCTGCTTCTTTACGCTCTAGGGTGGTGTGTGCATGTTTGGTGGGGCAAGTGCAGAGCTGGATCAGAGAGGTGTCCACAACCCAGCACCCCAAAGAACGCCCTTCAGTACTCTTATTCCACCCAGAATCTTCCTTTGCCCTGGTCAGGCCTGACAAAGGGAGTAAACACACCTCTGGGGGAGACATTTGATCTTGTTCATTTATTCCACAAATATTTATCGAGCACCCACTCTGCATCAGACTCAACAGAGAGCACAGCAAACAAAGTCCCTGTTTTAAGATCTTATATTTTAGAGGGAAGAGATAGATGAGGGGATGTAACAAGATTACTGCAGAGAAACAGCGTTCTGAACAAATTGGGTCATTGTGTCAGAGAGTGACATATGGGAGGGTAAGTTGGATAGGGTGGCCCAGGGTTATGGGGAGAGGTTTCTCTAAGGGGTCAGGCTTGACCTAGGATCAGAATATTGATAAACAGAGAGCCGTATGAAGACAGGGTGAAAACACGAAGGAAGAGTGAACTGGGCAGAAGGAACTAGAACTTAAATACAGAATACAGAGAAGAAATGTGGGAATACAGGAAAGAAAAATTAAGGAGTCTGATTAGCAGGGGGACAGGTAACTAGACAAATCTTATTAGTTTTCTTGGATGCAGGAAGCACAAAGATTGCTAATGTGTACATTGCAAAAGGGTTTATGGTCAAAGGCAACCACTGGTTTTGTGAATGGGTCAGAGCCGGTCAGTTTTTTCTCAGGCCAGTGTCCTAGTCACACCACCTTTATCGTACCTCCCTATCCTCCCCTGCAGAGAAACCACAGGATTTCATGACTTCACTCTTCAAAACCAAATGTTCAAATTCCCTTTGGGTAGGGCCCACATGTGACCACAGTGCCATGAAACAGAGACCAGCACTGAAACACAAAAATCATTTCGGAGCTAGATGGTATTTGTGTCCTAGCTCTGGCCATTTCCTATCTGAGAGACCTAGAGCAGATCTTTCCACATTTCTGAAACTATATTTCCTGAAGATTCTGGAGAACATACGTGCGTGAGTCTGAGTGGAATTTCTTTATCTATTCTTCAATTTCTCGTCAGGCAAATGACAGGATGTATTGCTGGTGTGCCAGTGAACTGTTTAGAGAATCCAAGGCTATGGTGGACAGAGGGCCGCCTGCAAATGCTCTGTCAGCTAAAGCAATACTGAGACATAGTGCTTGGGTAGGAGGATTGGTTCCACACAGCCTTTCCCCCACATGAGGGGGGTGTGAGCAGCTCTGCTTCCCAGAAGCTGATGCTGTAGGAGTGTGAGGGGCTGAGCCTTGCTGGGAGAGATGACCGTGGATGAATGTGTGACCGAGGGGAAAAAAAATGGTACTGCATGACCTTCACATTTTTATTAGCTCTTTCTCTTTTTTAAAGATTTTATTTATTTATTTGAGATGCAGAGAGAGAGAGAGAGAGAGAGAGAGAGAGAGAGAGAGAGAATGAGCAGGGAGCCAGACAAGGGGCTCGACCCAGGACCTTGAGATCACAACCTGAGTTGGAGGCAGACACTTTACTGACTGAGCCACCCAGTGCCCCTTTATTAGCTCTCTTGATCTGGTTCACCAGACAGACTACAGCTAGAGAGAGAATGGAGGATTTAAACCCCAGGTCAAGTCCTAGTTTCCCCACTTCTTATAACTGCTTCTCTCTGAGAGGTTGATCCCAGAAAAGTGAACCATGGCTACAGATAGCTTTGGGAAGGGAAAATTTAGTCTCTAACTTTCAGGTAGAAATGCTGAAGAAGGGCACTGGTTGGCCCAGCTAGGGTCTCATGCATATCCTCGCTCTAATTGTGACAGCCAATGGGATGGGTCACTCTTGACTATCCAGTTTGGGTCCTCTGCTCCATTGCTGTAGCCAATGCCCTTAACACCAGGGCAGGGCCAGCAAGGACAACATCTCAAAGCTCTGAGCGGTACAGGCACCAGGGGTCACAAGACAGCAGGGACACAATCCTTGTGTCCTTGGGCCTATTGTGATGGATCAGGGACAGTGCTGACACTCATTTGAAGAAATTGCAAAGCCAACCCTCAACATATGGGGTGGAATTTCACAGAAGAAGAGAGAGTGCACAGAAGTGTGGTGTGTTTAGAGGGTGCAGTACTGGGGAAGGGGGTGGCCCTGGGTTGATGGTGAGAAATTGGACTGTATTGTTGCAGGGAGTCTGAGCTATCAAAAACCCTGGAAACCATGTGGGGGAATAAGGATAGATTCTACACCTCTATAGGTTTCTCCTATGGAAGAAACAGCCAGGTAACAGATATAGAGGGGAAGTGGGGGAAGAGTCTCCACAGCCAAGGGAAATGGTCTTGACTCTCTCCATCACTCCCTCCTGTAATGGTCCTCAGTGGCCTGGAGAGGGCCATGCATATTAGTGTGCCCTGTGTGACTCTCTCCTAGGCTGCAGGGCCTCACCATTTTGCCCCTGTCTTTGCCTGAGCTTCCTTTGCATTATACTAGTAGGTTCCTCAAACTTTGGTGTGCATATTACTTCCAGTGGGAACACGGATAAAAGCAGGTCTTTGGGCTCATCCCAGGTGAGAAAGGGTGGCTCAGAGGGTCTGGGGAGGGGTTTAGGAATCTGTATTTTACAAGCTGTGTGAAGCGATTCTGATGTGGTTGGTGGTATGGTGTACCTTGAGAAAAGCTGCACAGGATAGTGTCAGAAAAAGCAAGGAGGAAGGGACCTGGCTACTTGTTTGTTAAAGGCTGATTTCCCATTATCTGCAACAGCCCTAGCTGAGCAGTGTTTTTTTTTTTTTTAATTTATTCATGAGAGACACAGAGAGAGGCAGAGACATAGGCAGAGGGAGAAGCAGGCTCCCCGCAGGGAGCCCGATGTGGGACACAATCCCAAAACCCTGAGCTAAAGGACAGATGCTCAACCACTGAGACACCCAGACGCCCATGAGCAGGGGGTTTGAATCCAATGAGTGAATGAGTGGTGGTGCCTGTAAGGGAAAAACCATCCCCTGGCCTGTAGACAGGCGGAGAGGAAATGGTTAGAAAGGGACAGGTAAAAAATGGGGGAGACACAGATGAAGTGAGGGGTGGGAGAGAAAAAGAGAGAGCGGAAGTTCGTTCAGAAAGGCCACTTTATTGATGGAGATAAAACCGAAAGGAGTTCTCCACAGCCCTCCCTCACTCACTTCAGTGGTTTCACTGGGCATCCGGGACCGGAGTGGGCAGGCCTGTCACCAGCACGGGCTGGGCTGCTCGGCCTGCTCCGTGCTGCCCATTCCACGTCAGGCGGCCACATCAAAACACACCACAGCTCATCAAGACTCGCAAATGTACCTCAGAACCCCCCAAATGGTTCCAGGCATTTTTTTTTTTTTTAATATTGTACAAAATGTGTTAAGTAGGAAAGGTCAGCTGTGCTGTTGACACCTGCAGGGGACGTCCTTTAAGGATCACCGTCCCTGAAACATTACTTCTTATTGCAGTGAAACCTCTAGAAGGTAGAGCTGTACAAAAAAAAAAAAAAAAAAAAAAAAAATCTAAACAATTTTAAGAAGAGCAGCAACTTAACACTGCTTGAGTTCATTTAAATTTTCTTTCTCAAAAATACATTCCTAAATATACAAACTATACAATCTTGTCATTTTAATGCTGGTTTTTGTTGTTTTTATTTTTTTATTTTTTATTTTTTTAATAATAATAGAACCCAAACTAAAAAAAAAAAAAAAAATCTGTTCATCTTCAAACCGACAAGAGCGCTAGAGGACTCATGACTCAGTACCTTCATATAACACCACATAAATAACTTTAGCCACAGTCTATGTTCACAGCGTGGTCAGTGGAACAAAGGAAATACTTTTCTGGCGATTAGACATCGTCGGCAGAGAGGGTCGGGATATTCATTCGAGGCTGGGTAAAAAATGCCATCTTCTCCCTGCAAGAGAGGCCAGACCTTCAGAGCAGGGTTTTCAACCTCACTGTATAGATATTATGGGCAGGACCATTCTTTGTGGTGGGGGCTGTCCTGCACATTGTAGGATGTTTAGCAGAATCTCCCACCTCCAGCTACTCAGTGCCAGTAGTACCCCCCTCCCCTTCTTCCTTCCAGTTGTAACAACCAAAAACGTCCCCAGGCATTGCCAAAGGTCCCCCCAGTGCCCAAATCATCCCTGGTTCAGAACCACTAGTTTAGGGACATTAGCAGGACCAGCCACCTTCAGTTCAAATCAAGGGCCTGAGTTTAAAAGGGCCCTTGGGCCACAGGTGGGGCTCATTTTGTTTATTTTAGACTCCCCATTGGTTAAAAATTAAGAGATGTCCCAATACAGTTACACAAATGACAGCATATTTTAAATATTTCTATTCCAGGAAGTTTTTCTTTTCTTTCTTTTTTTTTTTTTAAAGCACATACACAACCGTGAGTGCCTTATCTAGGACGGTATCATGAGTCTAAACGCTGTGAATGGGAGGTCCTAGCCAAAGGGCATTTGGGGCCCTCCCATGACATGCCTGGATCCAGGCAAGAAAGCACCTCCCTGAGATCCTGGCAGGCAGCAGGCAGAGTCAGGGAGGCCCGGCAAGCACCCCAGGCTTATTTATCATTCAGCCAGTCCTCCATAATTACGGGTGATGGAAACACTCAGAGGGAAGGCCGGAGCAGGTGGCTCATTCGTTAAACAAGAGGATCTAACAAATTAGCTCGAGTTGTGTGGGGATTGATAAGGACAGCTGAGGGAAAGCACTGCGGCGCTCACAGACCGCCTGGGGCGGCTGGGCAGAGGGCACGCATCTGTTCCGAGGAGGGCTGGTGCTCTGCTAGCGGAGGGAGCACGGGCCAGGGCTGGTGAGACAGGCTGGGTCGCGCATGTGAAAGGGGAAGGTGGGCTGGCCAGGTGCCCACTGCTTACCTGAAAGACTGCACTTCTGGGGGCTCCTTACAGCTCTGGCCTCGAAGCCTGTGCACATCCTTGGCAGCTGCCCGCATCATCTTGTCTGTCTGAAGCTCACCCTTGTGCTCTGCTCGGTCCATCTGCAGGGCAAAGCAAGCAGGGCTGTGAGGTGCTACAGAGTCCTCAGGGCCTCTAGAAAGGGGCAGCTAAGGACAGCTTTCTAGCACACATGAGGAGTCTAGTGTAGTCAAAAGGTCTGAGGGTCACAGAACAGGCATGCTCACTCCAGTTCCACTGCTGGGTCCTCTGTTTAGAATGGTGAGAAGATATGACCCATCATGTGTCAGGGTGGACAGGCTTTTGGGGCCAGGGAACTGAATACCTATGTGTAAGGAGATGAGGGCTGCCTAGTGAAATGTGTGCTACCTTTCTAAGCCCCAGGGCCACCTAGAAAGGTACATTTTATAATTACTTCTGTATTATAGAGGAGGAAACTGAGGCTCAGGCGTGTTAAAACATTTCTTTGATGATGTCAAACAACTAAGAAGTGTTGGAAACACAATTCCAATCATGCAATTGTGTTCAAGGGCTTTAGATATGCTGTATCCCTTCCTCCTAATGCAAACCTATGTAAGCGCTTTTGAGAACAAACCACAAAAAGCCCTAAAATATCCATGTATCACATAACTTGAAACTTAATTGCATGAAGATGGAATTTTGGTCAGTGAAGCCATCTTTTTTTTTTTTTTTTTTTTTAAGATTTACCTATTTATTTGAGAGAGAGAGAGAGAGAGAGAGAGAGAGAGAGAGAGGTGGTGAGAGGAGAGAATCCCCAAGCTGAATCCCCATCGAGCATGGAGCCTGATGTGGGGCTCAATTCCAGGCCCCTGAGATCACAACCCAAGCTGAAATCAAGAATCAGCCACTTAACCGACTGAGCCACCCAGGTGCCCCAATGAAGACATCATTTAAATGGTTATTTAGTAAGCCATTATCAGACAGTCACGATGTACTATTCTTTTGCTATTTGAGAGGTCAGGTTTTTTTCCTTTCCCTTTCCCTTTCCCTTTCCTTTCCTCCCTCCCTCCCTTTCCTTCCTTCCTTTTTAAAAGATTTTATTTATTTTCAGAGAGTAAGAGCGAGCGAGTGAGCACACAAGCAAGGGGAGCAGCAGATAGAAGGAGAAGCAGGCTCCTTGCTCATCAAGGGACTCGATCCCAGGATCCTGGGATTATGACCTGAGCTGAAGGCAGATGCTTAACCAACTGAGTTACCAAGGCACCCCCCCCCCTTTTTTTTTTCTTTAAAGGCATTACCTATTATAAGTATACAGGGTATAAATATTAAATTAGAAAGAAATAAACATTGCAGGAACTCTTGAATTACCAGAGTCAATTTGAAGCCCCTCAGCTAGTCCAGACCCCAGAAGCCCACCACCACTTTCCTACTCTCAGGCATTATCACTGGCACCGAGAGCTGGGGCTTCGGCTAACGGCTCTCCCAAAAAAATAACCCAGGCCGGTACCCTCTGCAAGGTGCATTGTCTGGCTGTACGCAGAGGAAACCAGCAAAGGTCATTCCTGCATGGGTGACAGTCCAGGAGTGGCAGATATTATATAAATGAGTTGAAGATGGCTTCTGTGTACTGACCCTGTGTTGTTACGTCTTCATGACAGGCTGGGACCTGTCAGCTCACTGGTGCGAAAGGCAAAATTTTAAGGCATCCAATTGCTTTAAATGTGGTTCAAACAAGCAGACTTTTTTATCCATTTAGAAACTGCCAGCTTTGCATACCCCATGAAGTTGTGCCCACTATCTGCTAGCCACAGATGAGATAAAGCCCAGAGCCATGAAAGATCTGAAGCTGCTCCTGCTTTGGAGCACCCTGACCCAGAGAATCCTCCTGTGCTGCTGAGGAGGACTGCCCTCCTCCCTTCTAGGTGGTGGCCCAGAGCAGTAGCCTTTGGGAGATCTCCAGCATGAGGGACTTCCTCCATGTACGAACTTGTATCTTTAGAGAGAGCTACTCTGTGGGATCACATGGGCCGACACTGGGGCAGGTCAGTGTTCTGTATCTACTCTATTCAAGTGTGTGGCCAAGTGCAGATTTGGTACCCAATGTTTGATGAATAAAAGTCTGAATGATAAGGCCTTGCACACATAAATATGGAAATGCAGAAGGGCCCGGCAGCCAGGTCGAGAGTTAAAGTTTACCGGGCAAAGGGATTCCTGGATGGTTTTGATGATGGGAGTGAGGGGCCCTGGGAACACTCTTAGTGGGTCACAGGACTGTAGCACCTCTTCAAAGCTCTGGCCTCCCTTCCCTGCAGCACTGGGCAGTCCCTCAGGGCAGAGCAAGCCGCCTCCCTTGCCTCTTGCGTGGCTCTCACCCGCTTCTCCAGCATCCTCAGCAGCAGGCGGAAGCGCTCATCCTCACGCAACCACTGCGGCAACTCCTTCTCGCCGTGGCTCTTGGCTTGTTCAAGCTGCTCCTTGAGCTCCTTCAGCACCGAGATCTCCTGAGTCAGCTGGCTGTGCCAGGTCCTGGTCGCCTGCAGGTCCAGCTCGAGGTCCAGCGACGTGCGGATCAGGCGCTCGGCGCGCAGGGATTTGACCGACGAAGGCTGCGGGGGGAGGGACAGCTTTGGCTGATTATTAGAGGGCTGGGTTCCGTGAGCCCCAACAACCCGCCCCCCTGAACCTCAAATACCCTCCTTTGTTCATCGGCAGGCTCCTACTTCAAAAATGGGGCTCGCCCACCCCCAGGGCCTATCCCGATTTCTCCCATGTCCTCAGCTTCTGTTCATTGAGCATTTTTATGCCCCAGGCAGGGTGCTGGGTGGTTAAGTCTGAGATTCCACCCAGGCAATTGGCTCCAGAACCCCCTCACTCACTCCCCACACTGCCCCGTTTCCCTGCCCTCAGTGACCTCAACATTTACACTTGGTTAATGGGTTCTTGTCATTATCCTGAAGTTGTTTCCTCAGTGCAGGTCTGTGCCCCCCGGAAAGGAGACGTCATGGACATCTGTTGTTTCTGCATGTCCAGCGCCTGATTCCCTGGTCTGACGGTAAACAGAGCCCATAGCTTCCCTTGGGGATCCACTCCTCCTGCATGCTCAACCCACAAGGTGGTTCACATGGGATTTCAGGGACAGGGATGTGACCTGAACCTGGACAGTCAGAACCTCAGTGACCACTTCAGGGGTGAGTATGTTGTCTAAACCCAGCATATAACCTCCAACTTTGGCACTTTTGCTGAGCACCTTGGAAAAAAGTCTTTACACAGAGGTTGTGAGATCAGCAAGATATAGACTTGGAACTGATCATGGCCATCTTTCCCACTATATGTGGTGACCCTTTTTAAGAATTAAGCTATCTGGGGGGACAGTGCCATGAGAGGAGGACTGAGGCTTGATGAATTATCTTGATGAAGGATCAATTCATGCCTGAAGGTAGTCCAAAATCCTGGGGTTTTCCATTAAATGAACCAGTAAATTCCCTCTTGCACTTTCAAGCTATATATGCATTCTTCAGTTATCTTTATATAGAAGATCCTGAGTAATGCAACCACTTACTTTCCTTCTCCTATCAAGAAATAGTAATGATTACAAAATAACTACATAACTGAGGGAGTCAGAATTCTAAGTTGGGCCCAAGTTTCCCACCCCTAATACACATTGATATACATGCCTGTGGAACGCCCTCCTCTTCAGGTTTTTTTTTTTTGGGTGTGTGGGTGTGTGTGTGTGTGTGTGCTTTGAATACCATGGGATAGCACTCTCATGATTAAGTAACTGATCCGTTGACTCTGAGTTACTCAAAGGGGAGATATTCCTAGGTGGGCCTGACTCCAATCCAGTGAGCCCCACAAAGGTGAACTGGGCCATCCTTGGAAACAGATCTCCTGCTGGCCTCAGACTAACAATATATTGTGGAAAGGGCCACATGGCAAGGACCTGAGAATAACCTCTGGGTGCGTGAGCAGACCCTGACCTGCAGGCCTGCAGCTAGCAAGAAAACACAAGACAAGGGGTGCTGCCAATGTCCCAAGGGAGCCTGGAAGTGAATCTTTCCCTACTCAAACTTTCAGGTGAGGATGCAGTCAACACCTGGATGTGAGCCTGGTGAGACCCCGAGCAGAGGATTCAGCTAACCTGTGCCTGAACTCCTGACCAGTGCAAACTATAAGGTAATGAATTTGTATTATTTTAAGATGTTACGTTTGCTGTGATTTATTATTGCAGCAACAGAAAACAAACATGACGGCTGACAGAGTTGAGAAATGATACATAAAACATTACTATGAGAGCTGCCCTCAGGTAAGGCTGGCAAGCATACTTCTGGGGCGATGAAGCAGCTCAGTGCAGAACTGCTAGGGGGAGACCACTGTCTAGCCTGTGCTCATAAATGAGCAGGGTCAGGAAATCCAGCTGAGTGATCTGTGTGACTCAAGTTCTCAGAGTAACAAACGAAGGTTCTTTTGTTTTGTTCTGACTGATGATGCCCAGTCCCGGAAACTTGCCTGGACAGGCTGAAGCAGAGAGACAGAGACAACGTTCAGGCACTGAGTAGAAGGACTGTAGTGCCCAAGGGCTCTGGCCCAGCCTCAGGACTCTCCCATGTCTCAGATCACAGTTAGCACCTGAAGGAAATGTGGGCTCAGATCTATCAATCAAAGGCTCTCTCAGTAGGTTTTCCTCTTGGGTAAGGGGAAGAAGAGGTGAAGAAGGGGGAACTGTGTAGGCCTGTCTTGATAGGGAGCTGTCGGCAATGCAGGGAGAGCAAGCAGGAGCTTCCAGGGGCATTTCTCCAGGAGTGGATCCTGGAACACCGGCTCTAGAATTCTCCAGGGAGCTTACTAAAATGCGGTTTCCAGGACCCCACCCCAGTGCCTGGGAGTGTGGCCTGGGAAATGTGCATCGTCAGTAAGCCTCCCGGCCCCCAGAAGACTTGGTGCTCCAGGGACTCTGTAGCACCAGCTACAGTAGATAAAGGTGTAGGAGGGGACCCCAGGCAGGCAGTTGGCCATCCCTGTCACCTGAGGCCATGGCTATATTCCCCTGCAGCCAACACTCTTGCCCTTCCCTGTGGCTCTCTAGGTCTGGAGACTTGTAGGTGGGGGGGTGGGGGGGAGGCGGCACAGTGGAGACAGACAAAGGACCTCGTCCTGATAGTAGCAGGTCTGTAGGAAGTATGGAGGAGCCTTCCCCTGCTTGGGGCTGTTGGCACTGCCTCCCTGCCCACTCTTTTTGTTTTGTTCTCTCTACAGGTCTTTCTGACATTCTAATGTCTGTTTCTTCCTGATATTCAGTCAGTCCTTTGCCTGGTGGCTTCTTGGACAGCGTAGAACTGTCACTGTCACTTTGGTTCAGCTGCAGGAGAAAAGTCCTGGGGAGTTACTTGGGACTAGGGTACATCTGGAAGGCACCCTGGGGCCAGAAAGATGGTGGGGTTTCCATGTGGTCAGCAGCACAGTGGGGCTGACAGCAGATAGTGTGGCTCCAGGCTCTAATGCCCTCCTGACCTACCACCGCAAGTCCTGTTTGCACTGGCCCTTCCCTGTCACCCACAGCAAACTCACCAGAACTGCTGTAAAGTCTGTCTATGCTGAAAGCCCAGAGTGGGAAGGGCCCCTTTGCATCTCCTGCAGCTCTGACTTGTTCCAAAGTGCAGACCAGGAGTCAGTCCTTTGCCTGACACTATCCTGCCCTGGTCTCTGAGCCAAGTCTCCATAAGGCAAGGTGAGATTTCTCTGCAAAGGCAGCTGGTGGTCTCTTCCCAGTGCTTTTCCAGCTGGACTGAGAGAAGCCCATTTGCACCTCCCTATTTCTGGTCACAGCTTGGAGGTACCTGGTCCTCTCTGCCAGCAGGGAGGGCTGTCAGAATCTTTGCTCAGTCAGCGGGATGACATGCTGAGCAGAGTTGCATGAGAGGCAGGCTTCCATCAGTGACCGTGACACCTTGAGTTGGTTAGTCCTTAGTGACTTTGATTTCAGGTCTGATCGACTCATCATCATCATGTTACATTTACCCTTTGGCACCTTTCCCAGTGCCTACATAGGCCTTACAGTTCATAAACACCATCATGCTTGCCAAAGCAACTTTCTTCAAACCAGTGGCTGAGAAAAAATGGTCAGACACTGGGGGATATGCTTGGGGAAATGATGATGAAGCAGACACCTGAATAGCTTTGAGGTGACTGTCTTACCCGCTTCATCCGGACACTGCGCCGCTCCAGGGAGTTTCGAACAAAAGGTGGCTTCTTGGACAGCGTGGAACTGTCACTGTCACTTCGGTTCAGCTGCAGGAGAAAAGTCCTGGGGAGTTACTTGGGACTAGGGTACATCTGGAAGGCACCCTGGGGCCAGAAGGGTGGTGGGGTTTCCATGTGGTCAGCAGCACAGTGGGGCTGACAGCAGATAGTGTGGCTCCAGGCTCTAATGCCCTCCTGACCTACCACCGCAAGTCCTGTTTGCACTGGCCCTTCCCTGTCACCCACAGAAGCCTGCTTTTATAGCTCAAATGGAGCCACTGTCAAGATACACATGTATGCAATGTATAAGATGAGCAGAGAGGCTCTATTAGCAATCCCTTCCTCAGAATCCCTTCAATCACTTAGGTTAGCTGTACTTTCTGCAGAGGGCTACTGAGATCATGCTTTCCTGCTGAGAGTGCCCCTGACAGAGGAGGATTGGAGAGAGAGGATATGCAGGACAGGGGCTTCTTTTCTGGGTCACATTTGCAAGGTGGTGGGATCACTTCTGTTGGTGGGATCACTCTGTTGCCTCAGGCTGAGGCAACAGAGCCTGCTCGTTCTGGCAGTGGTCTGCGCACTTCTCAGGTGTCTCTTGAGAAGCTGTCTGTACTGTGACTTTTGCGGTTATTGATAATTATTAGTAATAATGCTATCAATAGTGTCACAAGGTTGATGGACACGGCAACCCCAGGGACGTAAGTGACAAAAGCTACTGCAGGAGGCAGAGTCCTCATCGGAACCAGGACAAGAGTAACAGAAACAATGATAACGATGTGTGTGCTATGTGCCTTAAGGACAGTTACATTTAATCCTCCAACAGTCCTAATGGAGGGAACGGAGGCCCAGGGAGATTAAGAAGCTTTTATAAACCACAAGGCTGATTAGCATCTGGACAAGAGTTTAAGGTCTGGTCAGTCTATGTTCGGGCATCCTCTTCTGGCCCCCTGGGGGGTGCACGGAGCTGATGTGCATGTGGTGGGGGGTGGACCATCTTGATGGGGGTGGACTCATACAAACTCACTGGCTGGATAGCATCCCGGGAGGGGGCTTTATACCACATTGTTCCAATCCAAAGGAGCAGACTATATGTCCCAATGACTGGAAATACTCATCAAGGCACCTGATCCTTAAGCTGTAGTTGTTCAGGAGTCAACAATGATGTTAGAGAAGAGGGATAATAGCCACATTAGATCTTTAAACTTAACTTTTCCTAATGTAGGGATGTTTTGCTGCATTTAATCTCCAGCAGGGGAGAGAATATTGTTGCTCTGTTATTACTTCCACCTAATAGCTAGGGAAACCAGGAACAAAGAGGTAAAATGACCGACTGTCCCAGGCAGGTAGCTCGGGAAGGAGAATTTTGGAAGGACTGTGTCCATCAGGTAAGGGTGAGCTGACCAACACATATGACAGCGTTGCTGGTGACTATGTAGGTGTCAAATACCCAGGCAGTGTGGAGAGCTGGAGGGAGGGTCATACATTGTTCCTATGCTCTCAGACTTCAAGTTCAGGGCGGGGCCCAAACATGGGAAACTAACCAGATGACACAGGCTGTGCTGAAGCCTGTCAAGGAAGGGAGACGGCCAGCAGAGGACACTTGGTATGGAGAAGGGTGGCATCAGGCCAGCAGAATAGACAAGTCATAAGTAGGCTGGGGAAGGCAAAGGGAGCCCTTCAGGCGGTGGCTCCGAGTGATAGAAAGGCTGTGGGCTCTGGAGTCAGACTCCTGGTTTTGCACCTAATAAACTGTGTGACCTACAGCCAAGTGTTCTGACTTTCTGAGACTCAATTTCCACAACAATATGAAATGGGGTAAACACACTTTGTCTTGCAGGGTTGTTTCTGAGATTAGATGATACAGAAAACATGTTTTTTTTTTTTTTTTTTTTTTTTTTTTTGTGGGGAAAGGTTGCTGATGAGCATCTGAAACTTCATCCCGTGAGTGCCAAAATCCCCAGCTTAGACCTCACGGTGGGAGACAAAGCCCACCTTCCATTAAGGAAACTGGAAGTGCCGGAGTCTACCTTTCCCAGCCTTGTTTGTGGCTACAAGCAGGCACAGGACTAGGCTCTGTCCAGTGGATGCAACTGCCCCAGGCTTTTGAATCACAACCTGGTCAGCTGGACCCAATGCTCTGCTACTGGGCCTCTCAGATTTAATCAGCCCAGGTGCTTTTGCTCCATGAGCATGCCATGTCTCTTAGCATCTCAGGCAGATAAGGAGTGGTGGCAGCAGAAGCAAGCAGAGCTGCTCTGGCCTCCTGCAGGGGCAGGAGCCTCTGGGGAGGTATCAATGTTGAACCCCAGTGGCAGCAGTGGGACCAGCTGGGCCCAGTTTGGCAGCAGCACTGGTATTATCCTCACCTGACTGATTTTGTGGGACGATTCTGGCTGTGTTCTGGTCTCTTCCCATCTGATTCCGAGGCTGGTTCTACAGCCTTCCAAGTCTTCCAATGAATATGTGAGCTACTTAGTTTCTTTAAAAAAAAAAAACTCTTTCCTGCATATATTGCTCACAATCTGTTTCTGTTGCTTCTATTAAGAACCTGACTGGCATAGGACTTGATGACAGGAAGTGGAGCGCCCCAAGTCCCAGACCGGAAAACAGGGAGCTTGGCTGTGTGCTGGAGGTAGGGTGGGGCACAGACCCCAAAATTTCCTGTACAGAATTTGTCAATACTCATTTTGTGGGTTCAAAATGGAAGGCTACATTGTTACCAGACAGCATGCTGACAGAGTTTTATGGGAAATGACAGGATAATATTAAGGGTATTGTACCACTGGCCTCTTCTTGCAGCCTTCAGAAAGATTTTACAAGAAAGAGATAACCTTGAGCTGAAGTGGGACGGTCAGAAAGCAAGAAAGGAAAAATGCAGATACCCCTACTTTTTTGAAAGTTCATGTTACATTAGTTTGCTTTTACAAAAGACCTACGTTAGTATCTGTTTTTGCTGGGTGAAAGAAATGTAAAGAGGATTTTCACTTTTATGAAAAACACATAAACTAAAACAACATGCGGTGTTTGCTTTGCAGTGAGCCCTTACGGAGGCAGCGGTGGACTGAGTATGACAGGGCCCCACCAAGCTCCTTCCTCAGAACTATGCTGAGCATCTCAGCACCAAGCTCCCATAGTTTTGAACTGTGTCTATGAACATCTATGCTTTATCCCGGTTTATGCTGCACATCTTTTAGTGAAACGTGTCCTAAGGCATCAGAAAACCATGAGAGGTTATGTTTTAGGTCTGGGAATGCTAAAAAAATTTTCCATAAGGATGAATGGTAACTGCTTCTGCACTTTATGTCACTTTGGCTTTGTTATAAGAAAGGCCCTTTCTGCCTGTTGCATGTGATGGGGATTTCTTCCTTTGTAGCCTTGCAGGGTTGGAAACTGGTCCAGATAACAGAATATGGGAAGGGCCCCCTATAGTGCTAGGTGTGTTACAGAGGCTTAATGAATAGGATCAGAGCTCCTGGTTATTCAAAGATGCCAATCCTGCGAAAGGGCCACTTAAAGTGAGTCCACCTAAACAGCGGATCAGAATTTCATGGTAAGTAAAGGGGAAAAAACTTTGAGTCTTTAGTTGGGAAGGGGAAATGCTTTACCAAAGTTATATCTTTTGTCTTCCATTTGACAAAATTACAACTGCAGTCTAATTCTGATGAAAAAGAATGCATCAAACACTAATTTCTTTTTGTGTGATTTTTCTGACAAGTGATATTCTTTAGTTTGTGTTTGAATTCCACTGCACAGTCATAAAAATGGTAATTTTGCTCAGACCAGAGGGCTTCAACCATTAGCCTAAAGGCTTTTCTAAATCCTTCAAATTATTCACATTTGCAACATGAGTTGGATTTTTCTCTTCTTCACCTGTGAGCTGGCTTAATTGCAGGATTCTTCACCTGTGATTCAGGAATTCCCTAACATCAAAATTACATTTGGTGACTTTAGGAAACTCTGTACTTTTCCCAAGATATGCAGCCAACATGCAAATGCTTACAAGCTCAAATGATTAGCTAAAGGCTTGACACAGAAGGGAAGGGTTTATGTTATTTCTGGGAGGGACCAGGGGAATGTTTTGGTGGGGAGTAACGGGTAAGTGGCTAGTAAATTAGTGACACTGCCATATCATGAAAAAATTAGCTTCTCTACTCAATCTTATAATCTTTGTCTTGGATACTGAATATCAGATATTGAAAATGGCCCTGAAAATCCCCTCTCCCTCCCAAATTACAATAGATGGCAGGTTGATGACGTATGCCGGGTTGCCTGGGCTTCTCCTTCTGTGATGACTTCTTGGAATATTAGACAAGGAAGGTTCTGTCTATGCTTCTAGCTAATGTTTGCTAGTTCTCTATGGCAGAGGGTCAGGAAGGATGTTGACACATCACCTGAGCCCAGGACTCAGGTGAGGTGTGCATGTGTCATACCTGTGCCATCCACGTCTGAGGAAGGTTGGGAACCCCTCAGATGTGGTTAAGTGCTCAGACCCGCCATTTATAGTAGAATGAAAGAAGGAGGCTGGCCTAGGAAGGGGTAGACTAATGAGATGGATACTCAGGGAATGGCATGAGGGAGCAAAAGCCTACCGTAGGACTTCTAAACTCCAGGGCAGCCTATTAGAGAAGGCCAGCAACCAAAATAGCTCAAGAGGGCCAGGTGGCCAGGGTGAACTTGAAAGCCCCTTCTCGCCAGTCATCTAAGGGTGGCTGGTGCCATTGCTTAACTCCAGATAATTGCTGCCATGAGAGAATGTGTAGCCCATGATGTAGCCCACATTTCTCTTTTTCAAGAGAAACTAGAATTTTACATGAAATCTCTTCATTTTTATTTTATTTTTAATTGCCTTCCCTAGGTTTTCAATGTTACCAGCAGGTTCAATTAAAACTAACCAGCCAACCTGTGGCATAATAGTACAGGTATGTTGTTTTTTTGCAACCTCAGGCTGTATGCCAGGATCACCCTGGAAGTGGGGAAGAAATGCCTGCTCAGGGACAGTGAGGGGTCCATCTGATCTCAGCCAAGTGGTTGTGTAGAAGGGAAGGGCAGAGTATGAATAAGAAGGAGAGGAGAGTTGGTTGGAATTAAAAACAAAAACAAACAAAAACATTGGCCTGGTACTGGTTACCAAGCTTTCCTAATTTAATCCCTAAAACGATCCTTTGTGGTGTACTAACTCCACATGCAGTGATGCGTTAACTCATCTGAGGATAGCGGACAAAGTAAGAGTAATCAGAATTTGCACCCAGAACCCTGTGAGCCTGCAAGCTCTCACTACTACTCAGGAGGCAGGTGTTCTGGGAAGAGGGCAGTACCATGCATTTGCTTACCCGGCACACATACTGGCTTTGGGGTCCTGGGGAGAAAGTCTTAGAGCGGATGATGGTGCTCCCTCGAAGAAAGGGCCCTGGGGATGGTGTGCCTACCCGTCGGTCCTTGGGCCGCACCACTGTGGGAGATGGGGCTGGGGTCTCTGTGTTGGTCTCTTTGTCCACCTGAAGAAGAAGTCAGAGCTCTGAGACCATCAAGACTCATGGGGCACAGTCTCCAGCTGCTCCCCACTCCCATCATCTGGCCTTTGACCCACAGATACAGCTGGGGGCTTCCTAGGCCCTGGCCTTGCCAGCCAGGACAGCGCCCAAAGCCCCACATGCTGGCCCCTATTCTTCTGTATGGGTTGGAGCATATTCAGTCCCCAAACAAGCTCACATGAACAGTATATGGATGGATGTCCTGGACTTCATACCCTCAAGACGTCTGTGCATTTTAACAAAGCCACACCCAAGGCCTCTAGCGCTGCAGCTAAGAACTGCAGATGCTTTTCTGGAATTATGGAGGCAATCAGCAAATCTCAGCCCTTTTCAGGTTTTCATACTGTCTTTTTATAGTCATCGCCAGCAACAGACAAACAAACAAGAATGCCTAAATGCAGGCCCTGTTAGTCTACACAGTGCCTTTGTGTAATTTTGCAAAAGGTGCCCCTTTAGGCTGGAGAGACTGCAAAAAGACTTTCCTCTTGGTGTGGAGCAGTTGGAAGGTGGCCCTAGGTTCTTCTCTAGCCCCTCTTGGCCAGGTACCTTTGTGCAGTGCACAACTTGCAGCTCCACCCCTGGCTGCCCTGCTTGCATACAATGGGTGCTCTATTTCCTGCCAGTGCAAAAAAGAGGGATCTCTATGGAGAGTGAGTCTGGTTATAGTGTGTAACCCTAGTGCAGCAGGGAAGGAGGTGGCGAGGGGAACGTGACCGGACTCCTTTTTCCTATTGTACTTTGGGCAGATCCAAACAAAGAAATACATTCCTCTGAAACCTTAGAACCTGCCTACAAGGTTGGCATTATTGTATCCATTTTAGAGATGAGGAAATGAAGGCTGGAGAGGGATGAAGTCACTTGCCTAAGACTATACAGCGAGGGAATGGCAGAGCCAGCATCTGAACCCAGACCCATCTGGCTACAAAGCTTGAGGTCTAGAGAAACAGGGGAGCTGCAGAGGGCAGGACAGAAGAGGGGAGAGCCAGACTCTCCTTGTTTACTGTCACTAAGATGACCTGAACTACAGGCAGGGACACTTCTATAGAACTTTCTGCAGGTCACCCTATTCCAAGGACCTGTCCCCTGATGCTAGAGGAGCCTTTGTGGAATGCCTGGACTCAGGCACCGAGGGCTACTTCCTCAAGATGGTTCTTCCAGTCTCCCTGGAGGTGCCTACCTTTAACGCTGGGCACTCGTCCCTATCAGGTGAGGCTTTCTCAGCGAAGATATCCTCCTCTCCTTCCTCCTCCTCCTCCTCCACTGCCACTTCATTCTCGCTGGTCTCCTCGTACCTCCTGTGATGACAAAGAGCTTTGGTTACCTGCCCAGAGACCACTCTGATCCACTCACTTGCTTTTAAATGTACCCAGGGCAGGGCTTCCAAGCCTCTTCACCACTGAGGACACATTTAAATAAACAAAAGTGAGGTATAACTGACATACAACACAATGCATTTTCATTGCATAGTTTCAAGAGTTTCCACCAACGTATTCCCAACCAATATACTCCTCCGTGTAACTACTACACTTGAGGTAAAGAACATTCCATTATCCCCGAAGGTTTCTTGTACCTTTGCCTATTTAACCTTTCCTTACCCTCAGCCTACCACTGATCAATCACTACAGATTGAATCTGAGTTTTCTAGCATTTCATATACATGGAATCAGACAGTATGTGCTCTTTTGTCTCTGGCTTCATTCTCTCTTGTCTAAAGTTTTTAAGATTCAACTATGTTGGTGCCTGTATCGACCCTTTTAATTGCTGAGTGGCAATCCCAACGGATTGGGTATATCACAATTCATATAGTTATTCATCTATCTGGTGATGTATTTTTTTTTTTTTTTACAGATTTTATTTATTTGACAGAGACAATGAGAGAGCACAAGTAGGGGGAAAGGCAGAGGAGAGGGAGAATCAGACTCCACGCTGAGCAGGGAGCCCGATGCAGGACTCAATCCCAGGACTCTGGGATCATGACCTGAGCTGAAGGCAGGCGCTTAACTGACTAAGCCACCCAGGCACCCCTGGTGATGAACATTTGAATGGCTTCCATTTCTTAGCACTTATGAATAAAGCTTCTTATAGCCATTCACCTATAAATCTACGTAGATACAGGTTTTCACTTCTCTTGGATCTTGTATTAGTCTGCTGGGGCTGCTGTTGCACACAATACCATGGACTGGGTGGCTTAACAGACAGAAATGTCCTTCTCATGGTTCTAGAGGTTAAACATCCAAGATCACAATGTGGGCAGATTTGGTTTCCTCTGAGGCCTTTCTGCGGCTTGCATGTGCCCACCTTTTTGCTGTGCCCTCAAAAGGTCTTCCCTCTGTGTGCATATCCTTCCTTTTACAGAGATACCAGTCATATCAGATTAGGATTCACCCAAATTTTTATGGCCTCATGTTAACTTACTCATCTCTTTAAAGGGCCTATCTCTACAGTCACATTCTGTTTATGAGGGTCACAGCTTCAGTATATAAATTTGGGTGAGTGGGTGGGTGAGTGGGGGAGTACAATTCAGACCATAACAGATATACACCTAGGAGCAAAGCAGGGTCCTATGGTAAGTATGGTTTCATCCTTTTAAGAAACTGACAAACTGGGGCACCTAGGGGGCTCAACTGGTTAAGCATCTGCTCTTCACTCAGTGGAGAACCTGCTACTCCCTCTTCCTGTGTCTCTCTTCCCTCTACTCCCTGGTTCATGTTCTCTCTCTTGCTTGCTTGCTCTCTCCCAAATAACTAAATAGAATCTTAAAAAAAAAAAAAAAAAAAAAAAAGGAAACTGACAAACTTTTTTCAAGGTGGTTGTGCCATTTGACATTTCCACCAGTAATATTATGTGAATTCCAGTTCCTCATCTATACTTGGTACTATCAGACTTTCAAATTTGGTCATCCTGCTGGGGGCATATTTGTATCTCATTGTGGTTTTAATTTGCACTTTCCTGCATTTACTGACCATTGATATATTTTCTTTTGCAAAGTGTCTGTTACAATATTTAGCCTGTTTAAAAACTGGGTTGTCATTTTATTATTGAGATGTCAGATTTCATTACATCTTCTGGATATGAATCCTTTGCACATATTTGCTCCAAGTCTGTGGCTTGTCTTTTCATTTTCTAAATAGCGTCTTCCAAAGAACAGAAGCTTTTGATTGTGATAAAGTTCAATCTATCATTCTTTTTCTTTTATGGTTTGTGCTGTTTTGTCTTACCTAAGAAATCTCTGCCTACCCCAAAGTTGCAAAGAATTTCTCCTATGTTTTCTTTTAGTAGGTTTATAGTTTTACCATTTATGTTTCACTGTATGATCCATTTAAGATTACTTTTTGTACATGGTGCTCAGAGATTATTTTTTCCTATATGGATATCCAATGGTTTTCTGGAACCGTTTGTTGAAGAGAGTTTATTTTTGGTGACACTTTTCATAATTATTATTTCCCTTCAGACTCCAGGGTTGGGAGGAGTTGTTGTGACAAATGGACTGCATTTGTTAATTACTAATTTATCTTTACTCCCATCTTCTCAAAGACATACAGAACTGCCAGGCATCTGATCAGCAGGAGACAGTGTTGCCATACTGAGCGGAAGGAATTCCAGCCAGAAGAATCTGACATCCCCTTAGGTGGCTCAGTGAGACTCTGGAAAAACATAAAACCTCCCTTGGGCTTTTCCTGATGTGGAGGAAAGACCTTGGATCACCAGCTCCAGCCCCATGACTAAAACCTCCCCTGCTCTTAAATGGGGACTGGTGCTAATGGACCCTCCTTACTTTCCTCTTTTGCCCTCACAGCTTCTTGATCTACTCAGAAAAGGGTCACTCAACATGAGAACACACAATAAGCACCTCCCTGAGAATCTGACAGATGCCACATCAATCGGCATTTATTGAAGGCTTAACAAGCACCATGTGCTATGCTAAGGCCTTACAACAACACTGAAGGCAATTATTCTTTCCATTGTATAGATTGGAACGCTGAGGATCAGAAAGTTGATAGGCCTTGTCCGGCATTACAGACCACTAAGTGGTGCAGCCAGGTTACCAATACAAGGCTGTCCAACTCCACTCGGTGCTTAACCATGAGGGAAGTCTTTTCTTTTTGACCATGTGTCTGATGTAAATATTTCCAGAAAGGAAAAAAAATCTCAATTGTCAGGAGGAAAATGATTATAGTAGACAACATCTTTTTACTCATTAGAGTGGCAAATAAATGCTGGTGAAGGCATGGGAAATAGGCATTTCCCTGCAGGGAGTGTATATCAGAGCAGCCAATTTACACTCTGAAATCAGTTTAGCAGTATCTGCTAAGATGAAACATGTATGTATTCTTGATTAAGTACTCTAGTTAGAGTATACTGAGCATCAGAGAGGGTGTAGGTTAAGGGTACTCTTAATGACTGCTGGGGGGGGGGCGCATTTACTAGTTCAACCTTATTTGAGAACTATTCTGCAATGCCTATTAAAATATAAAGCACAAATGCCCTGGGACCCAGCAATGCCATTTCTCAACCTCTGCCCTGGACAAACACATACAAGTTCCCAAGGAGGCAAACACAGGACTTTCACCCTAGCATTGTCTGGAATTATAGTCTATTTTCTAATACTCTTAGAATTTTGGTTTGCTTGTGGGTCTTAAAATAATCCAGGCTTGTGATTATATGCGCTAAAGAAACCTAAGCAAATAAAAGGAGGGAGTGACTATGGCATGCTGGCCCTTGGGTGTTGAGAGAGACGGAGAGGAAATTAGAAGGGAGGGTCAGTCTTTGGCAGACCTCTGCACACGACTCCAGAGGGGAGCAGGCACAGCAAAGCTAGTTAACATTCCAACACCAAAAGAAGCCTCCAGTCTGGGGGTAGGGGGGCTGCGGATGGATTTACTCCAGTACAGCAGCTCTAGGATTCCCGGTCCTCTTTGTAAGTCAGTGTCTAGGGAAGTTTGAATGGCAGGGGTGGGGAGAGAAGGAGCCACAAAGGGAGAGAGAACAGAAGGCAGTTGCTAGGGGATGGCTTGAAAAGTCTCACCACAAGCTTGGAATTTGGCAGAAACCACTGATCTTGTGCCAGGGTTTTGGACGACAGGTCCTGGGCCTGTTTCCGGCATCAGACCTTTGCATAGCCCACCCTAGCCCAGCAGCAGTGTGCCACAGAGAGGAAGAGAGAGGGAGAGGCGAGAGAGGGAGGGAGAAAGAGGCGAAGTAGGAAGGGATGGAAAGGAAGAGGAGAGACAGGAAAGATAGGGACACAGGGAGGGAGAAAGAGGGAAAAGGAGAAAATGACACAATTGAGAGAGACCCCTAAAACAAACGAATTAACATACAAAAATTCAGGAACCTTGCCCTACCCTTTAACACATGGAGAAATAAAATAGTAAAAAAGAGTAAAAGAGGGGTGAGGTTGTGGGCAAATCCAGCCTGCTGCCTATTTTGGACAGCTGTAGCTATGAGTGGTTTTTCTTTTTTTCTTTCTTTTTTTTTTTTTTTTTTTGGTTTTTCATTTTTAAATGGCTGAAAAAAATATCAAAAAAAGAATGATATTTCATGACATGGGCAAATTAAATGAAATTCAAATTTCAGCATCCATTAGTGAAGTTTCAATGGCAGAGACATGATGATTGGTGCATATGTCATCGAGGGCTTCTTTCATACCACAACCGTAGAGATGAATAGATGCACAGAATCCACATGGCTCACAAAACAGACATTTATGAGCTATTTGGCCCTTTCCAGAAAACATTTGCTGACCCCTGGAATAAAAGATATTATGGAAAGGCCCTTTCTGGGACTAAATGTATAACTGGGGGCTGTAATAGAATAATATAGAAGAGTTACTAAGTGCTTCTTGTGGGACAAAGTCCGTGCTAAGTGCTAGCGTGCATAATTCTATTGAGTCTACAAAATACCCCAAGTGTTGTGGCCATTCATCAAATCTGTGTTTCATGGAGGCGGAAATGGAGGTTTAGACACATGGTCTTCAGCCCTAGCTATACATTAGGATCATCCAGGGAGCTTTTAAAACTCACTGATGCTCGGGCCTCACCCAGACCTAGGATCCCACAGGAAGCTGGCTGAGCAAGACTCCAAATCCCTAGCTGTCTGAATTCAGAGCATGTGCACTTAAGCCGGACCCTACTTCCTCCCAAATGGCAAATTCACAGGCTGTGGTCATTTCTGAGATGGGATTTGCCTTCTGCCTTCCTAGCTGGTAGTTGGCATGGTTCCTTCTCATTTTCCAAATGATAATTTCTACCGTCCACTATGAGCTTTCTGCTCAACCTTCATTACAGTGGCTTTCCCTTCAGCCCTCTGCAATGAGTCCATGAAGTTGGTGTGATATCCTGCTTTTCCAGATGAGGCTCAGATAAGGTTAGACAGGTTAGAATGATGTGCATGACAGCAGCTGCCCCTGGGGTGGAGGGCAGGGAGAGGAGGAAGCCCAGAGTGGGCTCCTAGAGAGCTGCTTATGATTTGCTTCTTGATTTGGATGCTGGTTACATGGATACTTTGGCTTCTGAAAATTCACTGTGATGTGTGCTTAGGGCAAATTTTATTTAAGTGTGAAAAAGTTAAAAATGCTTTGCCAAAGGTGACACAAAAAAATGATGAAGCTAAGGTGTGAACTCTGGTCTATACCACTGTTTCCTAAATGGGTGATGAGACCTCTTTTTTTGGGATAAAAGAGACTAAGAAGCATTGAAACAAACAGAGAGAAAGCTGTCTCCAGTTCTTCTTTGGACACAAGGAGAAGTCTCTCTGGCAGTGGCATGTCTTTAATATTGCTGAAATACTGACTAATCTTCCTGTTATAAAATGACAGAAGACATCAGGTCTAGAGCCTTAGCAAGCAATAGGTCTAGGTGGGTTTTAATATATTTGTTGTATTTTCATTAATTTTCCAGTTACTTTCTGAGGCAGACTTGCTCATGGCCCACCCAGTATCCACCTCCACTCTATTCCTTGGTAATAGAACCCTGATTTTTGTACCCAACTTAACAGATCTCATTTCCCAGCCTTCCTTGCAGTTGGATAGATCAAAGATCAAATGTCTAAGCCTGGCCAGGGAGAATCAGGCAGAAATTGCTGGGTGGGACTTTTGGTTAAAATGCATACAGGCATCTTTTGTCTTTCCTCTTTTCTGATGGCTGCCTGATGGCTGGTGATGGGGCAGCCATTCTGAGCTATAAAGCTGCCTCCCGTGATGGCAGTCACCTAGTAAGCAGAGCGAAGAGGAAGGAGAGGAGGAGCCTGGGTTCCCAGCAACATTTGTTGCTGACAGATGAACCTAGGATTGCTTTTTCCCATTCTTCTTTTTAAGTAACAAAGAAATAAACTATCTTATTTGAGCTGATTATTTATCCTCTCTATTACTAGTAGTCAAATGCAATTCCTTACTGAAACATCTTCAATTTATGGCAGATTATACTTACTTTCCACTTACAGTAATAGGAAACTTTTTTTTTAACCAAAGTAAACATCAGTGAGTCAATGCAGACACTAATATGTGAAATAGCATGAGTGATTTATAGATCACAAAATGACAAATTGGGAAGAAATTCTGGGAACCATCATACCAGGCTACGTACAGTTGATCTTGGAACCACACAGGTCCACTCATATGTGGATTTTTTTTTTTTTGATAAATATCCTACGGTGCTGTACATGTATTTTCTCAACTTTTTTTTCTGGCTTACTTTGTTGTAAGAATACAGTATATCAAACATATAATATAAAAAGTATGTATAGATTTTATGTTATTGGTTAAGACTTCTGGTCAACAGTAGACTCTTAGTAGTTAAGTTTTGGGTAAGTCAAAAGTTATATGTGTGTTTTCTGTGTGGTGGCTTGGTGCCCCTAGTCCCTACATTGTTCAAGGGTCAATTGTACTGCCTTGTCACCTGTAGAGAACCCATGTGGAGAGAGGTTCTGTTTTCCCCGGGAAACACTTCTCTTGGTTGCCCTGGAGTTTGGGCACCTCATTCCTGTGTCCAGGTCCAAGCCAGATCAGTTCCTGAGGGCCCAAGGGAGCCCTTGCTTACCAGCTGTCCTCCAGCGTCTGTGAGTTGCTTCTTTCCTCCTGCCTCTTCTCCAGCTCCACTGCTGTCTGTTCCAACAGAGCAGATACAGCATCCTGTGGAAACAAAGGCCCAGGGGTTCATCTGCATACCACCAGGGCCACCTTACCTGGCAAGAATCAGAGCTTAGAGTGTGACCCTCCCCATGAACTGAGAGTAAAACTGAAGACCAGAGTGAGTAAGCCTCTTGCCCCCAGGTCACTTATAAACTGGAAATACAGCACTTAGTTCATCTAACTGGCAGTTCTGAGAATAACCCCTATACGCATGGACAGACTTTTGGAAGACAGTCAAGTTTAGTAGTTGAGTGAGGCAGAATTAAGATCTCTGGCTGTAAAGAGATTATGGTGTAGTTGGGGAGACCATCACATGAACTGTCAATAACAAAACAATGTGATGTTTAGGAATAAAGGAACAATGGCAAAGTCAGCTTGGAGGTTGCATTCAGGGAAGACTTTCTGGAGGAAGAACATCTATACTGAATGGTGTCTACAGTGAGGAAGCCTGTGTGACTTGAAGAAATTAACCTCTCCGAGACTCAGTTTCCTCTACAGTAGTTTCTAATAACTACTATAAAGGGTTGTTATGAAAATTAAATAAGAATATATATATAAGGTATAAAGAAGAACACTGAGCACATAATTAGCACTCAGTAAATGGCAGATAATAGTAAAGCAAAAACTGATCTTGTAGTTTTCTGAGCACATGGTTAATTTGCAAATACCCTGGTACTGTGGGCCCAAGCCTGGAAAATCCTTGAAATCTTTTGGTGAAGAGGGAACAAAAACCAATCAAAGGCCTGGTATACATCAGGCCCTGATAGATAGCTTATGTGTAGCATCTTATTTTATCTTAACAACTATTCTGATAGGTAGTCCTTATGATTTATTCCCTTGAGAAATGGGAACAAAGAAACTAATGTGCCTAGGGTTCACATCACTTACCCAAGGACAAGCTCTAGAAAACAGAGGATGTTTTCAAGACCTTTGCCAGCTCACTGACTCCTTTTTGGAGTGAGGGAGACCTAGCTTTGTGTGTTGCTAATTGGATGTCCTTAGGTAACCTTTTTGAGTCTTGGTAAATGGCATATGATAAGCAGGACAGTGCCTGACACAAAAGGAAGTGCAGAAAATGATGAGGATGATGAAAAGGTAGGTGGGAGTAGGGAGGAGGAAACAGGTTTAATCCTTACCCTTATCCTCACCTGTACCACCTAGCCTCTCCCCTCTATTGAAATTCTGGGCAATGACTATACAAAGTAACCACGTACTGACTCTTCTTTACATGTTCTCCTTCAAATCTTCCTAATGACCCCCCAAGACTCAGATTAGACATGAAAAAAATAGAGGCTCACAGAAGTGAAATGACTGACCCGTCACCCAACAAATACCCAGTCTTCTGACTGTCCTTCCTGTGACTTTCTGCTGCCTTTTAGACAAGTCTTTACTACTGACCACTATGCAAATAGCAGCATCTCAATAAAGGTTAAGTTTCTTTCTTCCATAGGTTCCTCCTTTCTTCTCCACTTCATTAAAAAAAAAAAAAAAAAAAAAAAAAAACAACACATAAATTTAAGGTTTCTGTCAGGTGAGTTATATTATGTCAAGCAAAGTGCAGAAGGGGAGAGAGCACAGATGTGGAAGGGGCAAAGTTGCAGATGGGGGGGCAGCCTGCCCCTTAGCAGAGGCCTCTCCTATCCTGCCCTCCTCTCCCTCTCTGTTCCAATACCCTTTGCTGCTCCCCCCACCTCTGATGCCCAGCCCTCTCCAATTCTGGGAGAGGCTTTTCCTTCCATCCATCCAGCTGCTGCAGACATAGAAGGGTGGGGCTAACCCAAGACCCTGCTCACCGTGCTTTCAGGCCCTGGGGTGGGGACCTTGGCTCCCATTGGTTTGGTCTCCCTGCTCTGTTTCTTCAAGTATTTGTAGCTTAGGAGGTTGTACCAGCGAGTCGACCTCTCCCCAGACCGACAGACCTCAGCCAGGCTTATCTGGGCACCTCCCTGTTGAGGATGGGAAAAGGCAAGAGTATAAGCCAGACTGACAAGGTATTCTGGGGAATTTGGCTCCTGGGAAAAGTAGGAAAACTATCCCCAGAGGGTATAGGAGCTTCCGCAAAGAGGAAAGGGTTAGTTGCTAATCATTTCCTATAACTCACTCATTCACTAACTTACTATTTTACTCATACACCAAATCTTTATTGAACACCTATTGCATGTATTTTTTTTATTATGATAAAAAACAAAATTTACCATCCTGTCCCCAAGTTTTACTGAAATATAATTGCCATGTAATGTTGTACTAGTTTAAGATGTACGATATAAGGATTTTGCGGGGTGCCAGGCTGGCTCAGTTAGTAGAGCATGCAACTCTTGATCTGAGAGTCATGAGTTCAAGCCTCAGGTTGGGTGTAGAGCTTACTTAAAAAATAAATAAAGAGTTGGTATAGTATTTATTGTTAAATGATCACCACGGCAAGTTTAGTTAACATTCGTCATCTTATGGTTACAATTTTTTAAAAAAGATTTTATGTATTTATTCATGAGAGACAGAGAGAGAGAGAGAGAGGCAGAGACACAGGCAGAGGGAGAAGCAGGCTCCATGCAGGGAGCCTGATGGGACTCGATCCTGGGTCTCCAGGATCATGCCCCGGGCTGAAGGCAGGCTCTAAACTGCTGAGCCACCTGTGCTGCCCTACAATTTTTTTCTTACCATGAGAGCTTTTAAGATCTACTCTCCTAACAACTTTTAAATATGCAATACAGTGTTGTTAACTATGGTCCCCATATTATGTTACATGGCTAGAACTTATTTCCCTTATAACTGGAAATTTGTAGCTTGTGACTCCCTTCACCCATTTCTCCTACCTCTCTCCACCCCAGGTAATGACAAATCTGTTTTTTGTTTCTATGAACTTGTTTTTTTAGATATCATGTGGAAGTGAGATCATGCAGTATTTGTTTTTCTCTCTCTGGCTTATTTCACTTAATATAATGTTTTCAAGGTTCATCCATGTTGTCACATGAACTTTGCCATCTTACTTTTAAGTATCTAGTTCAATAGAGTTATGATTTACATTGTTATGAAACAGATCTCTAGCACTTTTTCATCTTGCAAATCTGAAACTCTATACCCATTTGAGCAACTTCCCTTTTCTTTTTCCCTGGTCCTAGTTACCACTTTACTTTCTGTTTCTATGAATTTGACTACTTCTGAAAACTCAAATAAGTGGAATCACCCAGTATTTGTCTTTTTGTGACTGGCTTATTTCACTTAACATAATATTCTTAAGGTTCATTTGTGTTACAACATGTGACAGGACTGCTTTCCTTTTTAAGGCTGAATAATATTCCATCATACACAGAGATTTTTTTTTTTAGAGAGAGAGAGCATGCACAAGTGAGTCAGAGGGCAGAGGGAGAAAATCTTTTTTTTTTTTTTTTTAAGATTTTATTTATTCATGAGAGACACACAGAGAGAGAGGCAGAGACACAGGCAGAGGGAGAAGCAGGTTCCATGCAGGAAGCCCGATGTGAGACTCAATCCCGGGACTCCAGGATCATGCCCTGGGCCGAAGGGAGGTACCCAACTGCTGAGCCACCCAGGCATCCCAGGAGAGAATCTTAACCAGGCTCCACACGTGGGGCTCGATCTCATAACTCCAAGATCATGACCTGAGCCAAAACCAAGAGATGGGATACTTACCTGAGTGACCCAGGTGCATCAGAGACCGCATTTTTAAATCCATTTATCTACTGGCACACATTTGGGTTGCCTTTGTCTCTTGACTATTATGAAAAAAGGCTGTTATGAACATGGTGTACAAGTATCTCTTCAAGATCTTGGATATTGATCTTGATCAGTTGTGAGACTGGTAGATCATATCGTAATTCCATTTTTAATTTTTTTGAGGAATCTGCATACTGTTTTCCATAGCAGCCCATCAACAGTGCACAAGGATTTTCTTTTTTCCATATCCTTGCAAACATCTGCTATTTCTTATCTCTTTGATAATAGCCATTCTAAGAAGTATGAGGTAGATTTGATTTGCATTTCTCTGATTAGTGATGTTGAGCATCATTTTATTGTACCAGTTGGCCTTCTGTATGTCTTCTTAGGAAAAATGACTATTTAGATCCTCTGCACATTTTTAAGTTGGATTGTTTGCTTTTTTACTATGGAGCTATAGTTCTTTCTACATTTTGGATATTAACCCTTTATCAGATATATGACTTGCAAATATTTTCTCTTATTTGGTAGGATGCCTTTTCATTTGTTGATTTGCTCTGCTGTGCAGAAGCTTTTTAGTTTGTTGTAATCTTACTTATTTTTGCTCTTGTTGCCTGTGCTTTTGGAGTCAGATCCAAAAAATTATCATTAAGACCAGTGTCAAGGAAGAAGATTGTGAACAGGTCAAAGCTCCGGCAACAGGGGACTGGAGGAATAAACTATAATATCTTTACACAATGATATTATTATATTATATAATATAATCATATTATATAGCTATGTACAAAAAATGAGGAAGATCTCTAGATGCTGATGTGGAGATATTTTCAGGCTGTTTTGTTAAGGGAAAAAAAACACAACAGTGCAGAATGGAATATGCAGTACGCTACATTTTGTATAAGAAACGGAAAAGGCACCTGGGTGGCTCAGTCAGTTAAGTGTCTGCCTTTGGCTTTGGTGGTGGTCCCAGGGTCCTGGGATGGAGCCTCATGTCAGGTTCCCTGGTCGGTGGAGAGCCTGCTTCTCCTTCTCCCTCTGACCCTACCCCCCTGCTCTGCTCTCTTTCTCAAATGAATAAATAAAACAATCTTAAAAAAAAAAAGAAATGGAAAGAGGGATAAGAATATATATATTCCCTCTAGATACATACATATATTTTGCAACATATTTGAGGTGCAAGGGAGAGTGAACATTATCGCATGAACATATGTGCAATGAGAAATAATGGAAAGATAAAGATAACACTAATCAAAGTGGTTAGCTATATAGGATAGGTGGTAGTATTGGGTGCAAGGGCAGGGACAGCAAGATCTCTCTTCAGTTAATCTTTATATACAGTTTTTCTCTGAATTGTGTAAATGGATGCCTTAAGATGAAAATAAACTACTACATCAAATTAGCCAATCTGAATATAACCTTCTAGAGAGAGGATTTATTTCCAGTGACATACAACCTTAGTGGTAAGGATGATAAAATAATTCTAATCATTCCTCAGAGGGTTTTTTGTTTCAACATGTTCTCTTTTGAAGAGCCCTGATCAAGTCTGGGGTTTAGTTGATTCACCATCCCCAAACACAGCAGTTGCTGTGCCAATGGGTAGCAGAAATGCCACAGGCCCATTTATGAAGTGGGCCAGTAGTCAAGTGGTGGCTTGAGTGGCATTGGGGATGAGGAGAGGGCTCTCCAATCCACCTGGGATCCTTTTCCCCAGTTTTTCCTTCTATCAGGATGGACCAGGGTGTGCTACAGACTGTGTAAACCCATTGTGTGGCTAAAGGTTAATTTCTACAACAGTGGTGAGTAAGTGGAGAACACAAATTCCTACCTGCAGGACTACAGTCAATTCAGGTATTGAATGCCTGGTGCATTTTAGGCACTTGTAATAAATTTAAATATATACAAATATGTAATATAATACTCATTTATTCATTTAATAAATATCCCCTGAGCACTTTGCAGACTCTGGAGCCACAGAAACATGTAAGACAGGCTTCTGCCCTCAAGGGACTCAGAGTTTCTCAGGAAGACAGACAAATGCATCAGATATTACAGTTCAGAACATGCCAGGCCATGTGTGAGGGGCAAGGGGGAATGAATATAAGGACCACTTTGAGGTATAACACTGCCACCAGATTATTATTAATTTCAGCAAGATACACGGTCTACTTTAGGCTGGCTCATAGGTGAGAATATGGTCCACTTTGACTTTGGTAAATCATGCACTTTGAGGGCATACATTTACCTAGTTGATACATACATACGTGCTATGTAGCCTCTATGAACCAGGCACTGTTTTGGGTGCTGGGGATACAGCAGAATAAAAAGGTCTGCCCTTGTGAGCTTACGTTCCAGTCTCAGGGAGTCAGATAAACAAATCACTAAGTAAATGCTATATTGTGTTTCACAGAATCGAAGTGTCATCAATTAGACGATTCACTATTTTATGCACCCTAAGAAAGAAAAACAGTTTCCAGTTATAGTACGTGACTTGTCACCTACTATAAATTGCATCTTGATTTTAGTTATTTGATAAAATATGAAAATCATGTATCCCCTAAAATCTGTGATATAGACAAATGCTAGGTGGGGGAACGTGCTGCAGGAGAAAAACAATGCAGGGAGAGGAGATGATGGGTACTGAGAGAGGGGAAGGGCGGGATGTGATTTGAAATAGGGTAGAAGGAAGACTGCACGGAGAAGGTGACATTTGGGCAAGCCCAGGATGAGGTGGGGGAGTGAGCCTTGCCCATCAGTATATGGGAGGAACAGAATCCGGTCAGAGGGCACAGCTGGAAGTATGGTAGTATGCTGATGTATCCAAGGGGCACGAGGAGGCCCAGGATTTCATTTTGGGACGACAAGGGGCAAATCCCCAAGGGCCTTGGGTGGCAGGCAAGGGGCCCAGGAATTAACTTTAGGTGGAGACAGAAGCTACTCTAAGGTTTTAGGTAGAGGGGTCACACGCACAGATTTGCAATTTAATAGCATCACTCTGGCTACTGTGTTGAGAAGAGATGAATGGAGGCAAGGACAGGTGCAGGGAGACCCAGTAGAGACTGCTGCACAATCCAGGTGACAAATGGCAGTGGGGCCAGTGTGGTGGTAACCAGCTGGGGTGTGGGCCTCTTCTGAAGATGGAGCTGCCAGGAGTTCCTTTCTTTTTTTAAATGTTTTATTTATTTACTCATAAGAGACACAGAAAGGCAGAGACACAGGCAGAGGGAGAAGCATGCTCCCTGTGGGGAGCCGGATGCAGTACTCAATCCCAGGACCCCAGGATCACAACCTGAGTGGAAGGCAGACGCTCAACCACTGAGCTACCCACGCATCCCTGCCAGAAGTTCCTAAAGGACTGGCTGTTGGGTGGAGAGACAGAGAGAGGTCAGAGATGGCCCTGGGATCTTTGGCCTGGTGCAGTGAAAGGACGGGGCTGCCGTCACATGAGACACTGGAGGAAAGATCAGGAGTGTGCTTGTGAACAAGTTCATCTGAGAGGCTTCTTGGACAGGCAAGAGAAGATGTGGAATAGACAGCAGAGGTGTAAGGCAGCTGTGAGTGGAGAGGCTCAGGCTGGAGCCATACATCTGGCCTGGTGTTTGAAGCCAGAGGACCAAGGTCTCAATCACCAGGGCAGTGGATGCAAATGCAAAAGGGAGAGGCGCTGGGGCCTTCTGACATATAGCAATCAACAGAACTGAGAAGAATCAGTGAAGGAGACAGAAGAGTGAGTGACAAGCGAAGGACACGGAGAGCAAGGTGACCAGGAAGCCAAGTCAGGGCAGAGGATGCCGAGGAAGACTCACTGAGGAACTGAACTAAACACCGTTAACCCAGTCAAGGGAGATGACGATAGAGAAGTGGCACTGACGACCTCGCTGAGCACATTTCTAGTGGAATGGTGAGGACAAAATCCCATGTGAATTGGCTTACAGAAAGAACATGAACACCCTTTTGACATTTTGCTATAAAGGAAAGAAACAAGTAGTAGCTGGAGGGAGACATGGGTAAAACACTTTTTTTTTTTTTTTTTTTTTTTTGCTTTTTGGGTTTCTAAGCATTGGGGGATTCACAGCATGTTGGTATACTGACAGGCCAGATCCAGGGGAGGGGAGAAGACTAGAGAGAGGATGGAGCTCCAACAATTGGTGGTATAATGTCCCTGAGAGGTGGGAGCGGGGAGGGGCCAACAGGAGAGCCAGGAGAAATGGCAAGAACCACCTGAAGCAAGGGCCTCAGCAGCGGGAGCTTGGGAGTAGGGCAGGAGCTGCAGGAAGTCTGAGGACAGAGGAGAGGGTAAGAATTTGCCCCTGGGGGGCACCTAGGGGCTTAGTCTATTAAGCATCAGATGTCTGTTCTGGTCAAGATCCCGGGTCCGGGATGTAACCATACATCAGACTCCCTGCTCAGGGAGGAGCCTGCTTCTCCCTCTCCCTCTCCCTACCACTCCCCCTGCTTGTGCATGCTCTTTTGTCAAATAAATAAGCAAAATCTTAAAAAAAAAAAAAAATTCAAGAATTCACCCCTGGGACAAGGGGAAGGCAAATGGGTCTAGGGAGATGCAGTAGCAGGGCTGAGTAGCATTAAGGCTCATGTGAGGTTTATGACCACAGTTTTATTTTTTAAAAGATTTATTTATTTGTGAGAGAGAACACACGCATGCTTGCGTGTAGGGGGAGGAGCAGAGGGAGAGAATCTCCAGCAGACTCCATGCTGAGTGCGGAGCCTGACGCTGGGCTTCTGGGTTTTTCAATCTCATGACCCATGAGACCACGACCTGAACCAAAATCAAGAGGATGTTTCACCAATTGAGCCACCCAGGCACCCCTATGGCCACAATTTTAAAATGAAACCATATAGCATGGCTGTGTTTTCCTCCAAGTGCATGGATGGAGAGTTCACTTTGACAGGGCTGGGGTTTTCCCAAGTGGGGGTGGCAAGGTGAAAAGGGGCAGGGGAGCCTCTTCGTTGTAATGGTTACCTATGAGATACCATTGGGGCCCAGGAAGTGGGCTTTCTCTACAGAACCTGCACTGAGTGGCTCTGAGTCTAACAGCTGGGGAGTGGACAACCAGGGCCCAGCTGGAAAGCCTGTGACCCATTATGCCATGCTAAAGCATTTGGTAGAACTGTTGCCCAAGATATAGGAGAAAGCAGGCCACATATACATCCAAGCCCACAATCCAGGTCTGGGGCCAGGGGGACACAGTAACCCCCTGAGAGGTAGGACAGTACGATGGCTGCGTGGAAGGAAGCTGGGATCAGGAAGCAGGCTTCTCCACGTGATGGATGGCCTGGGCAGGTTACTTAGGCTTCTGGAGTCTTGATCCTTTATCTGCAGATGGAGGCAATCCTAAGGCTTCTTCCTCAGGCTACTAGGGAGGCTTAAGTGAGATACTGTATGCAGAGTTCCTAGCGTGGTACTAGACCCAGATGCTGGTCAGGATGGGGACCATCCTGGGTGATTAAGCAGTGCAAAACAGACCAGGGATTTCCCCAAACCCAGCAGTGTAGGGAGACCACATGGGAGCACACAGCCTTTCTCCTCATGTTCTGCTTCCTCGCCTGCTCCTCTAGCCACCAAACCACGGCAACCCACAGGATGCGGGAAAGTAGATTTCCCATTGGCCACAGACAGAGACAAGCCACAGTGGGATGAGCGCTTTGGCTGCTGCCATGGCAACCAGCAATGGCCAGACTTCAATTAGGAAGGAGGAATAAAAGACATCCAATTAGGAGAAGAAAATAGGATTCTCTTCTCATTGAGGAATTCCCAGAGCTGAGGAAATGCTTCACCAGAATAGCCTGGGTTTGGAAAAGCTTCCTGCTCTAACATCCAGTGTCTCTCATGCTCAACAGTCTTCAGCCACGATCCTACCTGGGGGTCTGGAGAGCACCATGCTGGTGAAAACACGACAGGGCTGATGTGGGTGGGCTGTACAAGTAGACCTGCCTCGGTTCTAAATGTTCCTGCCTCTTCCTGACAGTGTGACCCTGAGAAAGTTCTTTTACCTCTCTGTGCCTTGGTTTCCTCACTAGCATTAGAGTATCTATTTTATAAGATTATAGTGCGGGTAGACAAACTACATGGAGAGAGCTTAGCTTAGTGCTCACCACATAACGTGCATTCAATCTATGAATCCTATCGCATTATGGCCAATAATAATACCAACCACGTAAATGGCAATGATGTTGTTCTGTACCCCAGCGGAGGGGGATGGGGTGGAGAATGACAGCCAGTGAGCATCGGGTATGTGCAGACACATTACTATTTTCATCCTTGCTATGAGGACCAGCAGCAATCAGCAGCACTTAGGAGCTTCCCCAATGCAGGATCCCCTGGTGTCTTCCCCACTCCCCTGCCCCCAACCAAACTTGCTGAATCAGAATCCGCATTTTAGCCAGAGCCCCGGGTAACCTGTGTGCATGTTCAGTTCCAGAAACACTGCCTTAATCCTCACTTAATCCCCAGAGAACCATCCGTGAGGTAGCCAGTGTCAGCTGGATTTTATAGAGAAGGAGACTGAGATGGAGTCTGAGGCCAATGCAGTGTTAGGCACAAGGGATGTGGCCTGGCAATCGGTCAACTCAGAAAGGAGCTTCCGGCTTCCTTGCCCCCTTCCCAGTAAGTGCAAGAATGCCGTTCACCTGCACAAGTCCCTGCTTGGAACCCGGATGAGCTTCACTTACATTACAGCCTGCGTTTTCTCCACGCCTTCTCCCTACACTGCAACGTGCGCCCATCCCCAGAAGGACAGAAGGCGGCCCAGATGGACAGACAGACAGGCATGGCCCTCACCAGGCACTCCTCCAGATGGCTCCGGTCAGTGGTACACACGTCGACTCTTAAGGTCTTCTGGTGAAGGGCTGGATAAGACATGGACACCCAGAACATCTCATTGAACACGAGGGTGTCTGAGGCGTCCAGGGGCCGGGTCCGAAACAGGCAGGTGGTGCTTTCGGAGCAGGGAAGGATAGCTACACGAATGTTCCTAGAGGGTGACAGAGGAGAGCCTATAGGTCAGCCCAAGTGTGGGCTGATGTGCTGGGCTCAGCAATTGCCACAAATCCCTAAGAAAACAACAGTGGGGAAGTCTGTACATTCTCCAGTGGCTATGCAGGTATTTGTAAAGGAAGCAGAAAGGGCCCCAAGGATAATGAATTGCTCTTCCTTCTGAATCCCCCAATCCCTAGAACCTCAAAGTGGGTGGAGCCGGAGGCGAACCATGTGCAAACTTCCATGAACAGAAGGATCGGCAAGTCTGCTTGTTAACACTCAGGAATCCTTACACACTGCCGGTCAGAAGGCAAAATGCTACAGCTCCGGTGGAGGGGAATGTGGCAGTCCGGACAAAATTATAGATGCACTGACCCTGTGACCCGTTCAGCTCCCCTCTAGGTACTCTCCCATGGGTACCCCTGAACAAAGACCAGTGACATATGGAGAAGCTTATTCATTCCGGCACTGTAAGAGCAAAAGGCTGACAACAAGTCTACTGTCCAATCTTGTCCTCCTTCTGCTTGACATGCTTTCCTCCTGCCTTTCCCCTTCCCACATGTGGCAGCTCCAGATGCTGGCTGGGTACAGACCACAGAAACAGGAGCTCCTGTTGCTGCCCTGAGTGTGCTGTCTAGTTAAAGAAGGAGCATGTAGGCAGATGAAATGCAATGAAACATAAACCCGGTCTGCAATGGGAAGAGCCAATAAGCCAACGGTGCAGGTGTTTGCTGGATCGTCCACTGTAAGCTAATACCCCTCACACCCTTCCATAGAAGCACAGTGGCAGGCAATGACTCTCGAGAACAGCAGACCTATCTCTTTCTGTGTGGCATACTTGAGCTTAGAGCAGATAAAAGGGGCCGTGACCTTCTTTTTCATGAGGCTTCAAGCTCACAAGGGCAAGGATTTGCTCACTACTCCATTCTTAGTGCCGGCACAGCACAGGTGCTTATGACATACTTGTGAAGGAACTGAAGCTGTTTAGATGCTTCTCTTTATAGTCAGTGAGTTTACCATTATGCCTGTATCCGCATTCACAGTACTGACACTTTGCATTACGGTCATATATATTAAAGACACACAGGGCCCGTTGTTGGAGCAGGGCAGAGCAGGAGAGTACTCCCGGGGACGGCCACAGAGGCTGAGAGGGTAATCTATACCCTGTCAGCAACGTACTCACACTTTCTGGTCCTGTTGCAGCAACAGAGCAGAAAGGTTACTGAGCTGGATGATTAATATTGCAAATTGCTTATTCTTCTCCTCATACCTGAAATGGAAAGGGGCAGATGGAGCACCTATGAGTGACACATTTCTCTGTTTCTTAATGATCACAGATGGGGCTGCTGGCTGCTCTGGGGACTCTGGTGAGCTTGAGAGCATAGGGCCAGGGCTTTGCTGCCATGCAGGGATGGAGATGCAGAGCCTAAGTCTGAATTTTTAAAGAGAAGCCAGAAGATTTCGTGTGAAATTTCTTGATATTTAAATGTCAGCAATTAATTTCCAGTGAAAATAGTATTGAGGCCCTCCTGCCTCAAGAGAAAGCAACAAGAACAGCCAATCTGGGCTGTAGCCTCCGGAGGGTTGAAACCACAGTGGGATGATGGTAACACGAAAAGCCACAGCTACAGTGGCCAAACAGATCAAGATGCGGGTCTTACGCTCTGGCTCTGCCACTAGCCAGCTCAGTGAGTTCAGGAAAATTAGAAGGTCTTCAAGACCTCATTTTTCTCTTTGTAAAATGTGGAGTTGAAAGGGAGGGAGAGGGTGGCCCCCTTTAGTTGGGAGCCCACACTGTTGGCAGGTCCCGGGGCAGCCGTGAAGGTCAAAGCTGGGGAGATGCTGCTGACCACCCCTCTGCGCTCGTGCTCCCAGTCACTTACTTCAAGGCAATCTGAACCCGGGTGGTACCCACTGCTTCTGATTCATCACTGTCAAAAGCAGCAGCTTCGGAAGCACCCAGTCTGGAAGGCAACAAGGGGAGGAGGGTCAGGCTTCCCAGCAGTTACCCAGGGCCAAAGCCACTTTCCAGAAACGGGCTTCTCTCTGGCAGGGTGCAGCTGGGTCCTCAAGGAGGAAGGTTTGGGTCTGCTCAGACTCCCGGCAGACACCTGCCTTCCCACAACTGCTCGGGATTCCTCTCTGAGAAGGGCTGCTCTTTCTTTAGGACTTGCACCCCTAGCCAGATGTCCTTCGTGGCAATCATGGAACCAGCATCCCTGCACACATGCCATGCCCCAAGCCCCAGGGGGAACAACAGTGCTGTCTGCATCTCCAACACACCTCAAACAGGGTTCCCAAGGGGAAGATGGGGTCACCTGGCTATGCCCTCCTATGGACCTCTCCCATACCCCTGAGGGGGCCCAGGGCTCTGCATTCTCAGACGTCCCAGAGAGAGCCAGGACTTCTATGGACCCACCTCTGCACGGAAGCCTCATACACACCACTGTCCCCAGCCACCGATTCATCCGACACAGCTGCTGAGACACAGGCCACTTTCAGGCTGCACCCCTGGGCTGTATTCATAGCTGGAGGAAGAAGGTGGAAAAGGAGGGATGGCAAGGCAGGGTTCAGAAATCAGGACAGTCTTTGCAACACACACTTTGATCCACCCTTTGTCCTTAGGCAGTCCTGCCAAATACCACCTCTGAATTCGACAGCAAGGTCCTGCCTTGCTTTGGGGTACGTAGGATTCTTTATTTAACATCCCAGATTTGGAAGCCAAAGTGCCTGGATTCACACCTCAGCTCCATAACTTACTGCTTCATGACAACTGGGACATGGATTTCAGCTCTCTGGCCCTTGGGTTCCTTGTCTGGAGGATGGAGAGAGTAACACCTACCCCGAGGGGCTGTCAGGAGGACCCAACAAGACATTCTAGAAAGTCCTTAGTACAGAGGCTGATGCAGGAAAAGACTGAAATTTAGTACCACTATCCTTACTGCAATGGTCATCCCCATCACTGTGGTGATGCCTTTGAGACCGATTCCTACACATCTGGGGCAAAATAATAGCCCCGGGACCCTTGGGAGGGTCAAGAGGAAGAAGAGAGGATTTCACTACTAGCACTCCCACTCGGCCTACTCCATTCCACTCTTTCTTGGTTAAGATTTTTAAAATTTATTTGAGAGAGAGTGAGTAAGGGTCAGCAGGAGAGCACAAGCAAGGAGGAGTGGTGGAGGAAAATGGCAAAGCAGCCCCCCCCCCCGCCCCGAGCAGGGAGCCTGATGAGGGGCTCCATCCCAAGACCCCAGGATCTGACCTGAGCCGAAGGCAGACACCTAACTGATGGAGCCACCCAGGCGCCCCTCTATACCACTCCTAACTCAACTCCTCAGCAACCCTGTCCTTCATGGAGGCCCTCAAAGTATCCAACCCAGGGCTCCAAATAGGCACTTGGCACATGCTACATATTCCTTCCCTCCTTAAGTCACAAGCATCGATGGTGTGCCAGGCCCACTGTCAGGCTCAGAGCTATCAAGATGGATAGGACAGTTCCTGAGCTGCGTGCAGCAGGTAAGACCAGATTCAGGCTCTTAGAGCTCACAGCCAGCACTTCTGAGCGCCTGCTGTGTGCCAGGCACCAGGGCAGCCTGGAGAGGAGACTGGAGGGCAGGCCAGTGTTGGAGGGACACAGCGAGCCGGGAGAAGCCAAGCAGCTATCTGGGTGCGGCCTTCCCAGCCTGTGTCCCACGCCTGCTGCGGCCAGCGGAGACCTCCCGCCTTCAGACCCACGCATCTCCACCCTCCACTAAACCACTTAAGGAGATTAATTTGTCTGCTGACTGAACAGCAGCATTAATCGCATAACCTGCTTAGTGTCGGCGCTCAGGCTGGCATCGTTCACTGCAGGGATGGCTTTTGGAGATGGCACGAAGGAAACGCCATCCTGAGACATGTGCGGTCCTTGGCCCAAAAGCCCTAAGGGTACTCGGGGAGGAGGGGGTGGCTCCCAGCACCTTGTTGGGTCCCTGATTTGGCTTATTGCCACCTTTGACAGAGTGTCAGGAGCTCTTCTGCAGCTTCGTTAGAGGTTCCACCTGCACCCGCTCCTCTCCAGGGGACAATTTTCTGAAGTTTGCCACCTGCTATAGTATGAAGCCTGTTTTTATTTTTGTTTGAGAGCACTCAGCAAGACTCCCTTCCTGATGAGGGAGCCCCAGGGATCTCTCGGCTCCTCTTCTAAGGAAATGGCTGGCACTCACCCAGCAGAGCCTTTAATTAACCAGGAAATCTCGTCTTCCCCCCACATTGCTCCCACTGGCCCTTGGACACGAATGGATAATTCTGGTCATAGCAGCAGCCCTCCTGCCTATTTCTGGAGCCTTAAGGCTGAGATGGGTTCAGCTTTTCCCCCCCTGGCCTCATGAGGAGCCAGGAGCATGAGCCCTGTGCATACATAGCTGGCACATGTCTTAGTGTGGGATTTGGACAGGTGGTCCTGGTGCCAATCCTGAGTCTACTACTTCCTAGCTGTGACACTGACCCTACTGGGCCTCACTTCTTTTGTCTGTAAATGAGGATAGAAGTAGCACCCATTTCACAGAGCTGTTATGAGGCTTAAATGAGTCAATACATAACAGTAACTGTACCTCGTATACCTACATTCAATAAATCATAGCCAGGAAAGCCTGGGAGCCCCAGGTGAGCTTCCTGGGCACTCTGTTCCATTTTGGCCTTCATACCAGATAGGCATGTTGGGCCTGGGAGCCCCAGAATATCTCCAGAACAGACACACAGAGCTGCCTCACATCCTGAGAGGAGTATGATGATGAAGAGGTTAGGTGCTGGGTCAGAAAAACCCAGGTTCCAATCCCTTCTTTCCCCACTTGCTGGCTGGGAGACCTAGAGTTAGCAATACCATCTTGCTGAATCTGTTTCCTCATCTGTGAAATGGGCATAATAGAAGTAATCTACTTCACTTTATAAAGCACACTGCCCACCACATAATATACCCCAATGAACATTATTATTATCTAATACGTGGTTGCTGCTAAAAATGAAGAATTTCTCTCCTGATAAATCTTAGCTGTCACCATCAGCATCTTCTGTTTTGAAGATTTCAAATTGCATCTCAATCCACACCAAGATGTTCCTTCTGACCCCATGCAGAATGGGAGCCAGACCATATCATTCCCTTGCTCCAAATGGCCATATGGGTCCCTGCTGCTATTAGGATAAAATCCAAACTCCTTACCATGGCCTGTTAGGCCTTAAATGACTTGGACTCTGCCTGGTTCTCTGGTTTGGTGGTGACCTCTAAACTCTGGCCTCACAGATTTCGCTCTTGCTTTTCCTAAGGCTAGTTCCTTCTCACTATTCAAGGACCTCAAATATCATCTTCTTTCACAACTCGCTCTGAACTGGCAGTGCCACCCCAACCTGAACGGCCCTATCATATCCCATCTTAATTTCCTTCTAGGGCTTTTATTGGTCTGACTGTACAGTTACTGTCTGTGCCTTCATTTGCATGTGAGCTTCATGGGAACAGGTACCCTGAGCTTGCCCGTCCTCAACACTGTATCCTTGTGACTAATCCTGTGCCTGGCACATGGTCTATCTGTTGAATGAACAAATGAAGGAATCCATGTGTATCCATTAGCACAATACCTGGCATTTAGTTTTAACAGATACTTAGTATCTGTTAAGTGAAGGAATCCACCACAGATAACACCTAAGCCCAAGACCTAGAACATAGTAGGCACATTAAAAATGCCTACTGAATGACTAAATGAATTGGTATACACGTAGAGGCCAGGCACACAGAAAGCAGTCAGTGGATGACCATAGTCACCATTGGGGTCTGTGCTCAGGCCTGAGTACAGCTCTAACCCTCCTCAATCCTCGTGGTCCCCCTTTCCCCATGTGATGCTCTCTACCTTGGCCCAACTGTTTGCCTTCTGTTCCTGGTTCGTCCAGTTGGTATTTTTCTTGGGTGCTGCTGCCAAGGCTCAGTTCACAAAGAGTGGCACTCAGCTCCGGGTCTTCATACTCCAGAGGGCTCAGGAAAGCGTCTCCAGCCAGGAGGGGGTCGGCAATGAGAGGGGAGCAGGGTGGGGATGGAGAGGAGAGGGAGGAGCGGGGCGACAGGGAGGTCATGGACTTCGGGGTGCCAGATAGGGAGCGCAGGGCCTGTAGGCGGCCGCCCCCCTCCACCTTCTGGGTCTTGGCCACCTCATCCTCATGGATGGTGGTGATGCAGCCCGAGGGCCGGAAGCCCGTGGCTCCCTCCAAGAGCAGAAACTCCACCTTGCTCTGCAGTTCCGAGTCCAGCTGCTCGAAGGGGTCGTAGTAGAGGTCAGTGAAGCTGGCTGAGGTGGACGAGTCCAGGCTGGAGGCAGCCAGGGAGCCTCGGCTGGACGTAAGGGACCCAGGGCTGCTGCCTGAGGACAGGGACTGCATGCTGCTTGAGAGGCTGGGGGGCAGGGAGAGAACATTGGGTGAGAACACTCAGAGCGCAGTGGGCCACCCAGAACCACCTTCCACAACGGCTGCTTAGAACACTTCATTTTGTTGGGCCCTCTTGACAGTCTCCAGGGGAGACCATGCACCCCCATTTCACTAAAAACGATACCCTGAGAAGGCCACATAATCAGAGAGTGGCAGAGCTGGGATTCAAACCCAAGTCCTCTGCCTTGAAACTCCACTTTTTCCTCTGTTTGCCAAACCTCCACTGGCCCGAGTCCAGCTTCACACTACTTTTCCCTGTGTGAATCCAGCCTTATTTCTTGACATTTTCCTTCAAATACACTCATTCTTTACTCTTCAATACATTCATCTTTTTTTTTAAAGAGATCTTATCCATTCATGAGAGAGAGAGAGAGAGAGAGAGAGAGAGAGAAAGAGAGAGATGCAGGTTCCTCTCTGAGTAGGAAGCTTGAGGCAGGGTTGGTCTCAGGATCCCGGAATCATGATCTGAGCAGAAAGCAGACGCCTAACCGACTGAGCCACCCATGTTCCCCTAATACATTCATCTTAAAAGGAAACTTTATATTCTAAGTGCGACTTTATATCCTATTGCTTATTGCAAATAGAAGGCAAACATTGCAAATCTCTGACTGAACAAAATGTTATTAAATCCCAGTTCTGTGCTGCTGCCCACCAAGGCTCAGGCTGGGGCCTGCTGTCTCTGTGTCGGGAAAGCAGATGGGCAGGTATTCGAGACTTCAGTGAGACACATCAGCCTCTGATGGGGGCCTTTTCCTCAGGGCTATCAGGACTGAATGCCACAGTCCAGAGAAGTGAAGAACCCTGCCCCTGGCCAAGCCCGGCCCGGTCCAAGGCCACCAGCCTCCCCAGCTGCCTGCTTGGCTTCTAAATGTCCACATTCAAGCTGTGGAAGATGAAGGAAGGGCAGAGTCTGGGCTACCTGGGGATGCTGGCATTTGGCCATCCTCAAGGCCACACTCATGGCCCACCACTCACCTTTTCAGCTGAGAATGTAGAGCTGCTACTTGTCGGGTGGCTTCCTCCAGTTCTCTCACCAGCTGGTTCCTCTTACTGTTTAATTTTAACCTGAAGGGACAAAGAGCATGAATGGGGAAACCTGAGGAGATCAGCCTCTGTCTACTTGAATGGGGAATCGCAGGCAGGTACTTGTGGACAAGTACACACACACCCACAGCCACACGTGCAGGAATTTTCCAGAAGTGTTTTACTGCAATATTTGGGGAGATATGGCCTCCAAAAAGGATCCTATAGTAACTGCTGTATTCATCTCCTACTATATATGAGGTGCCATGCTAAGAAACTCATAACACTGTTTTAATTCATTTGCACAGTAACCATGCACAGCAAAAATGCTTTTACCACTTTATATACAAGGAAATTGAAGCTCTTAGAGTTAAATAATTTACTTAAAGCTAAGGAATTAGTGTCAGAATTAGAATTCTACTCAATCATCCCTCCCTCCCTCTCCATCCTTCCTTCCCATCCATGGCCACTACCCATCCACCAATATTTGCTGAGTGCCTACCTCATACCAGAACCTATTGTTGGCCCCTGGGGATAAAGATGTGAACAAAACAGAACTAGTTTCTGCTCTTACAGAGCTTACATTCTGCTGGGGAGAGTGGGAGAGGACAAATATGAAGAAAGTAGTCAAATATCTAATATCTAACACAGCATGTGTCAAAGTTAATGGGGAAAAAGTAGAGAATGGTAGGAAAGAATGTAGGAGAGACCCAATTTAGACTGGCAGGTGGGTCTCCTTGAGCAAGTGAGTTTGTGGCTGGCCCTGTTGGTGCTCCCCTAGATCTACTGTGTCTTCAGCTCTCTGAGTCCCCTGCTGGACCCCTTCACAGCTTCCCTTGCAGCTGGGCATCTGGGACAGGGTTCTGGCCAGTAGGATGTGAGTGAAGAAGGCACATCAGGCTGAAGTGGATCTTCCCCACTGCTCCCTGGAAGGCTCTAAAAGTGGAGGTGCCACAGATGGGAAGAGCCTGGGTCCCCAAATGACCAAACACAGACAGGCATACTTGACTGCACACCATGTAGGCAAGAAATAAACTTCTACTGTGTTAAGCCATGGAGATTTGGGAGGTTGTTTCTTGCAGTAGGTGACCTCCCCTGACTAGCAGAGACATTTAAGCTGATATGAAGGATGGATAGGAGTTGGCCAGGAAAAGTACAAGTGAAAGAACATTCCAAGCAGGGAATCACAGCAGGGACCTCTTTCATTTTAAGGTCACCATGGCTGCTGTTAGGAGAATGGGCAGAAGGTTGTGGACAGGAGGCAGGGACAAGAGTTGGGGTGGCTACAATATTTATTGAGATGGTGTGGGCCATCTGGAGGAGACCAAGAAAGGTCATAGGCTGGATGAAGGTCAAGGCTGAGGCATTTAGGAGAAAGACTGGGAGGTACCTGCTACTAGCAACCAAACAGATCTGAGATGGCTTCTATAGTGATGGAAAGGTGAGGGGCAGAGCAGCCCAGGAGAAGAGAAGAGTTCTCTTATGGATGTGTGGGCATAAATGTTGAGCAGGTGGCGGTTGTAAAGGTGGGGGATCCCTATCACACAGACCACCACATGAAAGAGAGGACCATATGCTATGAGTTAGACTGTCCCTCTACCCCAAAATTCATATGCTGAAGTTTTGGTAACCCAGTGCCTCAAAATGTGACTGTATTTGGAGAAAAGGCCTTTAAAGAATCAAGGTAAAATGAAGTCATGCAGATAAGCTCTAAGCCAACATTCTTATAAGAAGAGATTAAGACACAGACATGCACACAGAGCAGACCAAGTGAAGTCATAGCAGACGTTCATGTGTGGATGGCCATCTTCAAGCTAAGGAGAGAAAATTCCAAAGAAACAATCCTGCCAACACCTTGGTCTTGGACATCAGCTTCCAGAACTGTGAGATAATACACTTCTGCTATGGAAGTCACCCATTTTGTGGTATTTTCGCCTGGCAGCCCTAACACAAGAATGCACTACTGTAGGGTAAAATATAGTAGGGGAGGAAAAGGAAGGCCCAGGACTAAGCTCTGAGTATATACAGCACTCCCAGGTTGAATAAACTGGCAATAGTAGGCAAAGGAGCCTGAGAGAATGGGAAGAGAAGAAAGCAGGTGAGTGTGGTGGAATGTTCTGGAACATGGGCACAAAGATCTGCATGGAGGCATGTCTGATAGCTGATACTAAAGCCCATTTCAGTAATGACTCTGGAAGCAAAATCCTTATATTTAGAAGAAACTGCTGGATATAGGCCCAACCCTTAGCCCCAGCCTCTCCTGAAATCCCACATGGAGGGCAGCCTGGGTGGCTCCCTCTAACCACTGGAGTGCCCACCTTAAGGTCCCAGGATCTGACAGGGAAGGGGTTCCATCAAGCAAGGCTATGCCCTTACAAACTCATGACGTGGGTTGCCCTCAGGAAGCCACTACATTTTTGGTTCTCTGTGTGTGGTCTGCAGACCTCCTACATCAGAAAGGGAGGAGCACTTCCTAAATGCTCATTCTTGGGTCCATCTTTGATAAAGTGAATCAGAGAGTCTGGGGCAGGGCCCATGCATCTGCGCCTCTATTCGGGCACACAAGTGATTTTTAGGCACACTAAGGTTTCCAAGCCACTTTTCTAGCACCTTGCACGGAGTTTACCACATGGCTGTGGCTCAGTATTTGCTGCATGGATGATTTTTTCCCAGTTGAGACAGGCAAAATTCATTCTCTCTGCTGAAAGATCTGGATGTTATATCTCCCACAGACAGATGTGTTCCACTGTGGGGCTCATATCCCCTTATGCTATCTTGCTAGAGAGGGACTAGCTGACCTGTCCCCAGAGTATAAGCAATCCAGCCTAGGGCCTGGGAGAAAGAGTTCATTCTCATGGAAAAACATAACCATGCCCAACCTCTACCTGTAACACACCCAGACCTCTAACACAGGTTCTGCAATGAAGACCAGAACTTGCTCTAGACAACTGAGCAAGGTGGTGAGGGACTCAGTGTGGTTCTTGGCCAGTTCAATCCCTGGCACTGTTCTTTCAGAGTCTCGCCTGGGGCTGGCGGGGCAGGCAGCAGGCCGGCAGATGGAGTACGTAGTGCACAAAATCCTTGACTCTCAAAGGAATGGATGGAACTGTAGAATCTCCTCACTCCCCTGAAGAGCGAAGCCCTAGAAGGCTGTGAGGCTGCAGAGTCACGAGGCAGCTGGGGCTCACCATTTCTACCTTCACTTTCCTGCTCTTTGGGAGGAAAGTCACAGAGATGTGTTCTGGGAATCTACAGAAAATGCAGGTCCCACTGGAGCCCTGGAGCCCTACCACAGTGCCAAGGGGACTGGGATTTGGGTGGCTTCAACTTCCCAAGCGTGGGAGTGTAGCCACCTGCAGCAATACACAGGTGCTGAGGCATCCTCAGAGAGGTGCTGGGCTCGGCAGGCCATATGGCATTTGCGTGTGATGCCTGGCACATGCTGGGAAGCCATGAACACATCAAGCATGGAAGAACAGAGAAGATCCAGAAGGTGGAGCTGGAATTCCCACAAGCTGTAGCTCAGTACCTGGGGTGCTGGCTCAGACTGCAAGAGCTTGGGCTGAATTGCAGGCCTGGGGAACTAGTCCCTGGGGAGAGGCCAGGGAGTCTATGCTCTAATCAGTCTCCCATGTGACTGTGCAGCAACTCTCACAAGTAGTGATGGTGGGTCCATGGAAAGGGGGGTTGGACATGGGGTGCTAGGATGTCCAACTGTGAGTGATCTGTGATTGAGGTCTGGTGGGCCTGTGGTGCCCTTCCTGGACGTGTCTATTCCCATCCTTCTCAAGACTGTGCAGCAACTCTCACAAGTAGTTATGGTGGGCCCATGGAAAGGGGGGTTGGACACGGGGTGCTAGGATGTCCAACTGTGAGTGATCTGTGATTGAGGTCTGGTGGGCCTGTGGTGCCCTTCCTGGACGTGTCTATTCCCATCCTTCTCAAGACTGTGCAGCAACTCTCACAAGTAGTGATGGTGGGCCCATGGAAAGGGGGGTTGGACACGGGGTGCTAGGATGTCCAACTGTGAGTGATCTGTGATTGAGGTCTGGTGGGCCTGTGGTGCCCTTCCTGGACGTGTCTATTCCCATCCTTCTCAAGGGCCCCAGGGGTGGAGAGGCTGATGTGTGACAGTGAGGAACATATTCCCAGTCCGAGAGAGAGACAGGAGAGAGGAACAGAAGAAATAAAGGGAGAGAAAGTGACCCAGAGAGAGAACAATAGAGTCTGGGGAATGAACACAGACACAGGACTAGAAGCAAACAGCCATAGACACGGACAAAAAGGCAAAAAGGATCAGTGGGATGGCTTTCTCCTCTCTCTTCAGCAGGATGCTTGCAGCCCTCAGCACTGTCCCTGCCTGTCCTGTGACTCTCTACTCCTCCTGCCCCCAGGCTCCCTGGCTTCCCCTGTCATGTACCTCTGGGACCTCTGAATTGCCTGGCTGTGACAACTCGCCATTCTGGGGAGGGGCAGCAATCAGACCTTGGAAATACAGGATTGAAGGTGATAACAAAAGCCCTTCTGAGTGGGCAGCAGCCTGAAGCAAGCATGGGCTCCGGAGTCAGCAACCTGGGTTCTAATCCCAGCTCTACCATGTGGTGGTATTGGCTGAGCCTCAGTTTCCAGACCTATAAAATAGGGATTGGCCTCCAGGTTGCTGGAAGGTTTCAACAAGATGATGTAGGTTATAGGGTCTGGCACATAGGGGCAGCATTTGCATGTAGCACACAGGTCTCTAAGAGAACCTCCAATCCTATTTTCAAGAAATCAATAGTATTAGAGCAGGGAAGAGCATCAGTTCACAATCTGGTGCAACTGCCTATCTTCAGACCATATAGGTACTCAATGTAATTATTTTTTTCCCTACTAGGCAACTAAAGTCCATATTGGTCAATGACTTGCTCAAGGTCAGCAGTGGGAAGGGTTTCTCTTTTGGTCCAACAAGGAGTGAGGCTGCCACGAGTCTCTTCTCTTCATTTGCGGTCTATGAGCATGATGAACGGCTAAAGGCTTCCTCATGGCTACTATAGGGCCTGGGAACAAGTACAAGACCCAGGGGACTGTTAAAGGAGGCCAGAAGACCCATGTAGAAGTCTGTGAAGGGTCTGCTTAGGCCAGCTAACCATTTATTCTTTCAACTGACACTGAAGGTGCAAGGGCATATAGACAGGCCTTCTCCCCACAGTGTGTAGCCCCAGGGAGAGTCGGATAGAGAGGTGGGGCTGAACATTTCTAGCAGGTACTTCCAGGGCTGCAAGACACCAATTACTGAAGCTCTGTCCTCCCCCTCCTCCCACCTGTGTGGTGGTGGGTCAGTCTATCAGCCACCCCTCCAGGGGATGGTGGAAGGGAAGAAAGCAACAGGTCTCTTAGCCATTCTGAGAAGGGGGTTAAGGATAAATGGTCTCTGATGTGCTTGCTTACAAGAGGCCAGGCAGACACTGCTCAGCTTGATCCATCTAACGTCCCAACACGTGCAAGTGGGGCTTATTCAGGTGCCAGGGCATGATTGCGAGTTGAGTGCTGTAGAGCTCAGAAGGTTCCCCGAAGGTGTCTTAGGACTCATTACGAGGTGACACAGAGAGCAAACACCCAGGCACCTAGGATGCCTGGCCTACTTCCACTGGGGTGCAGGCAAGTTCACCTGCTTTATAAACTGGGCTTCTGCCTCTGATTTCACTGGAAAGAGGAATTCCCTTGCTCATCCCTGCCCCAAGACACACACACACACACACACACACACACACACACACACACACACAAATCACTACCTTCACTTCTAAGTTCCTTAAGGGCAGGGACCTTACTCAAAGTCTGCTGCCAAAAAAAAAACAAAAATAACTAGGATAGATGTTAAGAGGCACTGGAGCAGGGACTGTGACCTATTCATTTCTGAATCCTCCAAATTGCCTTGTACAGAGAATATGTGCAACAAAATGTTTCTCAAATGAATAAATGATGGGCTGATGGATAGAATGAATGAATGAGATCAAAGGATTACAGGGCCTACTCTGAACACAGGGCTGTGCTCTGTGCAATGGTGGGTGTGGAGCTTCGTGGGACACTGAAGGAAATAGTCTGTTATCTAGAGAACATAAGCCAATGGCTTTTGGGTTACACCACGCACATGAATGGAGGTGATTAAGCCTTCACAATATTTTTTGAAGTTATTGCATTAAGTTGCCGATGGTTAAAAATTAAAAATACAAGCAACTCTTTTCTTGAAATATGAGGACGTCTGGCAGCCCAAGGCCTGAATTCCCATCTGCTGGAGGTGGGAGTCAGCACCACGTGAGGCAGACAAGCGGGGGTGGGGGGTGGGGGTGGGGGTGTATTCCAGTCTGACCAAATCTCCCACCATGTGGGCCTCCAGCATTTGTGCTTGGCCCCTATAAGCATCTCACTTTGCAACGCCTTGGCCTAAGGTGAAATCAGTTCAGTGGGTCATGACCATCATGAAAAGAAATGCAGTATGCAAGAGAGCGTATTGGAGGGCTATCACACGTACAAAGGGTATGCACTGCTTTGTGAAACTTCTCTATCATGTGAGTCACTGTCACAAAGTTGGCAAATGACTGCTCTACATGACAGAGGGTTATGCAGCTTACCTTAGGCAGAAGATAATTTCTGAAAACCTGCACCTGAGCAGACGTTTTGGTACTGTGATTCCCTGTGTAAACTCCCAGGGCACTGGTATTCTGGATGGTGAATCATTTCTCCCAATCTGCTACTCTGGGGAGTTGGGAAATCTTTACACTGAGTGTTCTTAGAGGGGAGCCCTTGTGCCCCTTCCCTTGCCTGGGCTGGAGGACAGACTGGCAGTGAGGGTGGGGTCCCACGCCCCCTCCTGGCCCCAGCCCAGCCCCACCTCTCTGTCAGTGCCTTGCTCTGGGTGTCCCGAGCTGCCTGCAGGTCCTTCTCCAACCGCTTCCGGGCCATCTCCAGCTGCTCCACCTCCCCCTGTGTCCACTTTCGGGGGCTGATGAAGCGCATCTCCTTCAGCAGCTCTTCCTTCTCATTGATGAGGATCAGCCGGTCCCTTTCCGAGTCCAGCACTCCAGGCCAGGCTTCACTGTCCAGCTTGGCCAGCTGGATCTTCAGGTTGGCGATCCTGTGGGCAGAGAGGCGAGCATGACAGGTGTGCCCAGTGGCACTGCGGGAGCAGGGTAACAGCCTGTATTTCCAAGGTTACGTACTCTGAGCCATCTCTGGCAGCGACTGTCCTCCTTTGGACCAGCATGTCGTCTCAAGGAACATATTTTTATCTAACAAACACATGTGGTGCCTATCGTGTGCCAACAGTGAATAGGCTCTGCAGGGGTGGGGAAGAGATATAAACAGGGCAATGTCCTTGCCCTGAGGGACACTAAGCCTGATAGAACAGAGAGCTGGATTCATCACCAGGCAAGAGCCTTCTACAGCCAGCTATGTGACCTTGGGCAAGTCGCTTCATCTCCCTGAAGGGAGTAACAAACGTTCCTTTGTCATAGGGTTGTGGTGGAAGGCTTTAGACATATTCCATGAACTCTCAAAGCATGGTGTTTGGCACACAGTAAGCACTCAAATGAGTGTTTCTGCTGCTACTGTTTTATTCCCTGGTTTGGTCACTTCCTAGGTACCTAATGTTTGGTGAACTCCCTGAGTCTTATTCTGAAAATGAGTAAGAATGTATTCAGAGTAGCTGGCACATAACAGGTGCTCAACCAGTGGCAGTCAGAGGCCCACCACAATGACAGCAAATAATGCAATTGCTGACTGTGTATTCCCAGTCCAGAGAGTGGGGGCAGCACTGTGTCACCAACTGTGGATATGGAGTCAGAGGCCTTGAGCCAGAGAGTATTGGCTCTGGCCTTCTCAATGGGAGGCACCATTCCTTTTTTTTTTTTTTTTTCAATAATTTAAATTCAGTTTGCCAACATATAGTATAACACCCCATGCTCATCTTATGGTGAGAAGGCACCATTTTTCAATCATTTTGGTATCATGAGCTTCTAGCACAGTGCCTGGTACACTGAAGGCATTATTAAAAGGAAGGAGTTGGGAGCTCTATCCCTTAACTTCGTTGAGACACAGTATCCCCTCCTGTAAGGTTGGGTCAATGATGCAATCTGCAAGGTGGGTTATGAGAACCAAACGAAAACTTACCATTAAGAGCCCTTTATACATTGTCAAGTGCCACATAGATATTAAGTATAATTATCTTTGGATGAAAGTAAGATTCACAACATAACTAAGATGAGTGCTACAAATATCTCAAAGGAATCATGATGCAGACCTTTAGGATTTAGCCTTCCCAAAGACTTGCAGCTATCATATCCTTGCCCTACCGGATCCCTAAAGCGTGGATAAGATTTGGCGGTAAAGCTGCTCGACAGATGTCTGCAGAAGGTATGGTTCACCTAAGACTGCAAGTCATAAATATGGTCAATACTTGTTGAGAGCCCAGGCCCCTGGACTCCCAGTTTGATCTTATCTGCAGACATGTGGCCCGACCCTTTATTTATAAAAACATTGTTGGAGACAAAATATCCACAGTGTATCTTGAAAATTCCATGCAGACAAACACATCTAGGTTTGCTCATTTCCCAGCCAGGTGCATCAGAGGGATTCTTGGAGTTGGTTAATTTATATTTCACATTCACAAAGAGAGTAATCTGGGACAACTCTGTAGCTTCCACCATTGAGGATGGAGTGATATGTATAGGTCTGGCAGGGGCTCCACTTTGAAGGAGTACATTGAAGGGGTGATCGATGCTTAATGCTTAGATGTACTTTCTAGAGGCGCCTTCCCAGGGATCCTTAACCTTTGGGCCAGCCATCTTTTGGCAAATCTGATGAAAAGCACTAGACTGGCTCTGCAGAAATGCACACATGACAAAATTTAGCATGCAGACTTTTCACTACAGCCACCTGCCCTCGTTTCTTCAAGCCGTGCAGCCTCTGCTTTCTACTCAGCAGGCTGCTCTACCCTTGACACTTCAATGACCTCTGGGTGAAAAGGGAGGCCTGAAGCTGGGTAACTGCAGATGAGCCAAGACCCTGCAATGGGAAGTTTAATGGCTCAACCCCAGAGGGAAGATTTCAATCTTTGAGTCTCTCCAGAACTGATCCTCTAAGATAGGCATTATTGCAGGCTGGAATAGATCCAGGGTTCAGAGTGGTCCCCTTCGGAGGGGACAAGTGGCTGTCCAAATGCAGAAGTCCTGCTGTTTCACTGGGCCTCTAGGGGGAGCTGAAATAATGCACAGTGTTTTTTCTATCTGACCAGTATCCAGTTTCTCCTTCTGTTAACAATGCTCCAAATTTTCTTTGGGAAATCGCTCCTCCCATACTTAAGTCACTTGGTTCCCACAAAGCTGATCTCAATCCCCCTCCCAGAGTTAGGCACATGACCCACGCCTGGACCTTCAGAGAATTCTAATTCCTCCAACTCTGCAACAATGATTGGTTCACCGGGAAAAGCCAGTGAGCATCAAACTCAAAACCCGTTAAATCTATTGGGAAAGGTAGATCCTCCTTCTGCTGGGGTGGCTAACCTGATAGTATATAACTCTAGAATTTCTGGGGGTCACCTTTACGTTTTGGTAGGAAAGTCTGTCAACACAAAGGCAAGCAGGGTAGAGAAAAGGGGAGAAACTGAGTCTGTATAACATGATTTGAATCTCTGGATCCAGCTGTGCCTGAACCTGCTTTATCCTCAGACTTTGGAATTCAATAAGCCAACAGATTTCCTTTTCTACTTCTCCTAGTTCCTGTAGGATTTCTGTTACTGCTGCAAAGGTTCTGCTAATCACACAGAATTGGCAAAGAGGCAGAGCTGGGCACTGCCACACCTTTATGTGGCCTGGCTTAGAATGTCCGTGGGCCAGGCAGCAGGTGGCCTAAAGAGGAATGGATGCAATATGCCTGACTTCATTCGCCATCACACTCTGTGGGTTCTTTCCCAGGAAGGCTGGCTTTGTGTACAAGAAGATCATGGACTTGGAGCCAGACTGTTCAGAGTTCAAAATCTGACTCCATCATGTTGAAAAGTCATAAAACATCTTAGATCTTACCTTTCTCTTCTCTAACATGAGATAATACAAACTATGCTATAAGGTTGTTTTTAAAATGCAATGAGATGATACACATACAAATGCTTTTATACAATACCTGGTGCATAACAGATGCTCTAAAAATAACAGCTTTGATTATTGTTTAATTTGTTCAGTTGGCAGAACCCAACTGAAGCCACGGAACAACAGAACTGTCACTGGGGTCTGCACAGTTTGTAAGCACAGCTTGCTCCTTGTTGGGCAGGAGACACTGAAGTGTTTAGTATCCAACTTCTTTTTGGCTTATCACTAAAACCTCGGTTGTGCTTCTTCAAACCAGGCTACTTATAGGACTACTGAAAAATCCTGATTATAGAAACTGAGTCCAGTAAGTGGAAAAATAACTAGGCTCGAGGATTCACAGATTTGGGTTCAAAGCACAGTTCTACTTTTTACCTAGTGAAGCATCCCTGACTCAGTCATTTCCTTTCTGAGCTTCAGAGGGGGGTTAAAATATAAATATCCTAATACTTATCTTCATAATCTTAGAGGATTAAAGAGAAGGAGGCGTGTGAAAAGCCAGGCATAGAGCAGACACTGTGCAATGGTAGTTATCATCATCGAAGCCATCCCGCCCCCAGCCCCTAATTACCTTCTCTTAGCCTCTTCATATCGAAGGCGCAATCTGACCTTCTCTGCCAACTGATTGTTGCTGCTCGTGCCAAACTGGGGGAAAGAACAAAGTCGGGAATTATAGGGCCATTGTGGCCGGTGCGGAGTTGGATTTCAAGAGCTCATGAGAGACTTGACAGCTTGCGTGGGAAGTAGCTAAGAATAGCCCCCAATTACCGACTTGGCTGTGTGATAGCAGGGAAGCTAGTCAGGCAAAGACGCTTTCCTGCCTGCAGGCTGTGGGAAGACCCCCAAACTCAGACATCTATCACTTCTAGAAGAGAAGATGAGAGCCTAGAATATCATCTCGCAGCCCTGAAAGGCTTGGAGCCCATTCAAGCCCCAGAAGTATGGAGGACAGCTGGTCAGAAGGAAACGGGGGGGGGGGGGCAGCCAATATACAAGAAAGACATCGTCAGGAAGCTGCAGATGGGCTCAGCTGAAAACTCAGGGAGGACTGAAACACGGAATGATTGAGGAGAAGGCCCTGGAACTGGCAGGGAGTCCTACAGGTGGCTTGTAGCTGGAAGCATGGGTGGTTTGGAGAAGAAGGGGAACAGCCCATAGGACACCATTTGTCAAGAGTGGCAAGAAGCTACAAGGCTCACCCAAGCAGACATGGATATAGCTTCTCTTTGTAAGTGGGGACACACCTATTGGAACCAGAATGGAATAGCACTGGGCCACGGAGGCTAGGAGGCAGGTCTGCTTAATGTTACTTGCTCTAAGAAAACAAAAGTGCTCCAAACATGCCAGACAGCTGTGGGTCAGTCTTGCTCTAAAACTTTCACGGAGTACATCTGGATGGCAGTCTCAGTGTTCACTACTGTGACCAGACTGAGCTTTTGAAGAGTTGCTGTCTGAAAGCTGCGTGGAATGTTTTGGGAGGAACAGAAGGGAAATATCACCTGCTTTACAGCTAGTGAAAGAAAAACAGGATGGTGTTACAAATCCACCAGAAGGGAACCCAAGAGAGATGCTGGTCCTTCAGACATGCTCTGTGTGCAGCATCTAGAGATGCAAGCACATGGCCAGGTCACACTCAGGACCATGGAGTCAGTGCTGGCTTTTCCTCCATACCATCACACCATGTCATCCTGGGGCCGAGAGGTCTGCAAGAGAATGGAGCTCCAGAAGGCTGAGTTAGCAGCCGGGCCAACAGAGAGACACTGGTCAACTCCCCAGGTGAGAGACGAGGAGGTGGCTGCCTGCTACAGCAGCCTCCTGGACGCACTGACTACTCACACTTCCCGAGATGTCCGTCTGGGAGCTGACATCCAGGTACTGTTTTGGCAGTGGGTAACCTGAACTCTCCAGAGAGCTGCTGCTGGACCACAAGTCAGAGTGGGACCCTCTGTCTGTGCGGAAGCCATCCTTCAGCATGGCGAGGCTCTAAGGAGGGGAAGGCAGGGTTAGCAACACAACTTCCCAGAAGGGAGCTCTGGTCTGTCCCCCTCTGTGTGCTATCCTCTCCACCTTTCATAATTCAGTAAAAACCCACGCTCACTCTGGTTATTCCACTTACCTTATAAAGAGCTAGCAGCAAGTGGGTAGTTGCTCAATGCCGAGTCTTTAACTTGGGAGAGAATGGTATGGACTCTGGCTGTGGAGCCACCTGCCTGACTTGGAATCCTTGCCCTGCTACTTACTAGCTGTGTGACCTGAGGTAGTTGATTAAGCTCTCTGTGTCTCAGTTTCCCCTCCTAAAAAAGAGGAATAACCATAGGTCCTATCTCATAGGACTATCATACTGATTTAATGGGATGACCAATGTAAAGTGCTTATACAGCCAATACTCAATACCTGTTGGCTTTATCATCAGCTTGCTTAATCCTGACATCAGTCCTGTGAAAAATGACCTAGGATTATCTCCATTTTATTGATAAGAGAGTTGTTACATGGAAAGGCTGGCAAATGACATAGCAGCATTTGGTTCAATCACAATAGGAACGGGGTTCCCACGGCACTAGGGCCTAAATGTTTTCATTGGGTTGTTGTCCTGGACAGGAGCTTCAAAATAATTTTGTTTGCCATAGAGCATAAAGCTTCCTTCACTAAATCAGTTATAGCACCTCTGAGCCCAACTCTTAATCTGCCAAGGGGAAAAACAAATACAGGATCTCAGAGGTCAGGGTAGTTCCTGTGGGGAGAGGTGGAGTGTCCAGGGATGAAAAGAACAGGCTTCTGAGACAGTGTTCACGGGTTCGAATGCTGACTCTATGACTGACTCTGAACTGTACAGTCATTATCTGTATGAAGGGGATGACCTCGGGCTGGTATAAGAGGTAAGTGAGGCGTGATACACGCAAAGTGCTTGGCCCAATTGCATGGCACGTTAAATCACAGGGACTATCATTTGTTCGGTCCTCAGCACAGACGGAGAACATGCAAATACAATACTTATGAAGATGTTACATTTTGATGTTGGGGCTACTGATGTCAAAACCATTCCCCTGTTTGGTTCTTTGAAAAGCAAGCCAGGTAGCTAGAACCAGTGGCAAAGACATGACCTTTGGACTAGAACAGATGGCTCCTGTTACAACTCTGCCAGTGATGTGACCTTAGGCAAGTCACCTAATGCTTCTGAACCTCCTTTTCTTGCTCTACAAGATGAGACTGAACACCCAAGAAGACCAATGATGAGAACTCAGTGAGCTGTGCAGCACGCAGAAACAGCATGAGTCCCGGCACAGAAAGGTGCTCGGGAAAAATCGAGGTAGGACCACATCACAGGAACTCCCATACCTTAATGAGATCTTGCTTTTCTTTTTCTCCACACGTGATGGCCTTTTTGATGGCTTTTGTTTCTCTCAAGACAGCCTGAGCTTCATCCAGTTTGTAGCTGCCCTGAGCATCAGACATTTTCTTATCGATTCTAGGAAACAGTCAGTGGGAAAGGTCAGACAGAGATAGGGTGAGGGATGGAGTCTCCCCAGGGGAAAAGCATGGAAGACAAGCTTCAGTCCCATAAGGAGGCTCCTCTGTGTCCTACACTTCCTCCCTCCCCTTATCCTAAAGTTTCAGTCCCATAAGGAGGCTCCTCTGTGTCCTACACTCCCTCCCTCCCCTTATCCTAAAAGTCCTGCCTTTAGGATAAGGCACAGTAGGCGCCTGTGAAATGTCTTGCAGTGTGGGGCTGCAGAAGCAACACCACCCTTGAAGTTAAGGATCCTCTAAGCACCAGCTCTTTCAGGAAGCTTTCCCTGATTACCTCCCTGTATCCTCCAGGCTGGGCGAGGTGTTCCCATAACACTGTGTGTAGCTGTGACACTGTAACCATTAACACTGTGTTCTAGTTAGTGGTGTATGTGGTAGTATCCTTGACTGGTCTCTGGCAGGCTTGGGACAGGGGTGGGACTGAGTAAGTTTCAGTAGTTTTATTTTATTAAAAAGATTTTATTTATTTATTCATGACACACACACACACACACACACACACACACACAGGCAGAGACATAGGCAGAAGAAGAAGCAGGCTCCCTGTGAGGGGAACCTGATATGGGCCTCAGTCCCAGGGCCCCGGATCACAACCTGAGCCAAAGGCAGATGCTCAACCACTGAGCTACCCAGGTGCCCCAGTTTCAGTAGTCTTAGAACGTGGTATAGAACAGTCCTTTAACTTGCGGTCTCTCAACCTCACCATCTTGACATTTGGGGAGGATGATTCATGGTGGGGGGCTGTCCTGTGCATTGTTTGCTGTTTAGTAGCATCCCTGGTCTCTGCCATCTCAGTGCCAGTAGCATTCTGACCCCCAGCTGTGACAACCAAAAACACCTCCATACTTTCTCCGATGCCCCCTGGGGGACAGGAGCTGGATGATTTGCTGAGCCAACAAGCACAGTGAAGGTGAGTTGTGAATGATGAAAAACTCCTAGCCCTGCCCCTCAGTGGCCTGGCCTTGGGCACAGCCCTCAACACTAGGAGGCTCAGCTTGTTCCTCTATAAAAAACCTGGGTAATGTCACCTGCCCCACCCATGCTCCCGAAGCTGCTAGGAATGTCAGATGGGATAAAAGATGGATAGGCAGGCAGTGGACTGGGAAGGACGGGACCAAATCAGCTTATCTAGGCCCCACATACAGGACAATGTTGCTTTCTGAAGGACAACCAAGCCGGAGATGGTGGAGGTCCAGGCTTTCTGGGGAAGGAGGCCGTGGTGTGGAGAAGCTTCGGAGGAAAGAAAGAAAACTTCAACTGCTTCGCACTTTCCCCAAAGGCTAGGCCTGCCGTTTCAGTCCCCAAAGGAGAAAAGGAAGTCTTACAGTCTGAGGGAACACCAGAAACCCATTATTTCAGGATGAGAAACTGCTCGAAGGCATTCCTCTCTGGTTTCCTGCTTGAGGCCAAACTGTCCTAGGCTAAAAATAACCTGAGTGGGGAATCACTGAGGGGGTGGGGGGCAGGTTTTCATCCCCGTCTGTCTGTCTGCCTCTGAGCAGGAGAGAGGGAGAGAACCGGGGTCTCAGCGCGGCCCTCCCCCTGCCCTTCCGTTATTTCAGCCTCCGTGGAGAGAAAACAAAGCCCCATTTATGTCTCCCCACTAAAAATAGCCTGTCTATTCCTTTCGAGGACTTGGGCCTGAGCAGGCCTGCCAGGTTGGCTAAGACTGGTCTCAGATTTAGTTTGAAAAATTAGTCTAAAGGGAGCTTTCTGTAGCAGGGGCCGTGCCCAAGATGCTCTGTGGAGAGGAGGGTCCCCCAGGACTGGAGGTGGCCCTGCCCTAGATGTGGGGGGGAGGGGTGCAGGAGAAATATCATTTGCTTGAGCAGGGCTGGGGGCTCCAGGGAGGGGGGCTGTGCCCTGCTGTCCTCTGCCAACAGGGTGAGGATGGCTTTGAATCCTCAGCAGGATGAGACAGAAGCGGTTTGTCTGCTGTGCCCTGGGCTCCTCAGACAGCCTCTACCTGATTTCCCTCAGGGGCCTTAGCAACCCAGGCTCTGGAATTTGGCTCCAGAGAGGAGCTCCAAGAGGGAACACTCTTGGGATTGGGGGGTAGGGAGAGGGGAACAAAGGGTCACCATTATGTGCTCAGTGAATGAATCTTTTTTTTTTTTTTTAAGGGAAAGAAAAGTTGTGTGGTTGAAGGGGAGAGGAGGGTGTAGTGGGCTGCGTGTTTTAGAATTTCTAAATTATGCAGCTGTCCAGAGATTCACACACCCGCTAGTCACAGGACAGCCACAGAGAAGCAGGGCAAAGGTTCTGACAGCAGCCAACTCCCCTTGGTCTTGTCCAGACAACTCTCACCTGGGCAGGGCGGCTTTGGGGACATGCGGGAAGATGCTGCATGGCCCTTCTCCCACAGGGATGATGTGCCAAGTCTCAACTCTTTCCTATTTACAAGGGCTCCAAGTGGCTGACAGACCAAGTCCCAAGCTTTCATCTTGATTTTTTTTTTCAGTCTCCAAAGATGCATCTTTCAATCCTCATCAACCTTTCCTTTTTTTAAAAACTAGGGTTGCTGACCATAAATATGGTCATGACAAGGGAACAAGCTTTACCTTCTCCCATGCTCTGCAAAGGGAAGAGGCTGAGAGCGGTAGAAGTGATGAGATCACCTCCCACCACTGGCCTCTGCAAAAGATCCCAAGGGACATGGAAAGAGGCCTCCTGTTTTCTGGGGATGAGGAGGGGGTTATGAAGGATGAAGCCAGGAAGGAAGGTATTAGCACATGAGTGGCAAAACCCAACAGTCCTGGGTTCTGACCCCAGCCCCACTGCTTACTGGGTGAGGGAGCATATGGTAGGTAGGTATATTTTCAACCTCTTCGGTGCCTCATCTGTAAAATGGGGCATGACAAAAACCTCTCTTAAAGGGATAGAGACAGTGAAATGAGGTGAGTGATGCATAGTGCTTACCCAGCACAGCCTTGAGCCTGGGGCAAACGAATTCATCTGAGTCCCTCCCCAAACCCAAGCCAGCAACTAGCTAGAGGTCACCCCCCCCCCACACACACATCCCTCACCCGATCCTTACGCTCACTGCCAGGCACTGTCACACACTTCAGTTTAATCTCCACAATAACTTATTTTTCAGGTAAAGAAACCAAAGCTCAAGGGGGCTAAGTCATTTTTGGAAGGTTCCTGGGAACTGGGATTTAAACCCAGGCCATCTGCCCCTCGAGGCTACATTCCTAACCCTCTCTGCCAAGGTGTGCATTAAAGCAGATGCCTTCCTCCATACTGAACATGGAGCTGGCTTCGGGTAAGGAGTGTGGGCGGCCAGAGCTGCCATAGGTCCTATCTAGGCCTGATATCAAACATCAGTTGGGCGGAGGGAGGAGGAAAAAAAGGAGGCTTGTCTTTGGGGTTTCAGCGTCAGCTTACCAAAGAACAAGAATTTTCAATGCTTCTACAGGGTGACAAAGTGGTAAAACAGGTTTGTGGTGGCTCAGAGAATAATGGGAAATGTTCTAACCAGAAGCTCCTGAGGATTGCAGGAAAGGGAGCGGGGGAAGGCCCCTGCGGTAAGATGACGTGGGAGTGAGTAACCTTTAAACTATGTGTTCAGAATCTGGAGGGCTCATGAGGTTATTGGCTTTATAGATCACAGATAGGAGTTTTCTAAGCTCATATTCATGCTGTCGACTGTCACATGTATATATACGTCTATTAGTAACATATGTACCTATAGAAGCACACATATATAAAATATCCTCCTCCTTGTGTGGTGGAGGATTCATGTAGCTCCCCCGTAGCTTTGGAGATGCGAAGATGTGAATCAGAACCAACCAACCCCTAAGAGTGGTCACAGTCCTCTCGATTAATCAAGATTGGTGACAGCCATCTCAAGGCTTGGAGCTGTGGCCACAGAGTAGTGGGGTGGATCTGAGGTTCAGAGGATGAGGAAAAGGTAGAGTCAGAGAGAAGGCAAGTGACTAGAGAAGCAGCTGTCTGTTGGGAATCTAAGTGAGATGTCCCTTAGAACAGAGTAATCGACTGCATGTTCTCCCTGGGGCTTCCAAGAGGGCGACCAGGCACCTCTGTCATGACTGTACACTGAGTTCATCAAATATACTGAACATGACTCAACGCACAAGTGTTCACTGCATGTGTGATTATTCATAACAATAAGCTAAGGCTTGCTGAGCACATACTATGTGACTCAGTTTCCTCTCCTACAAAGGGGAGTTAGCTAAAAGAACATTCCTTATAGAGTTGCAATGGGAATCAAATGAGGTCACCCAAGCAGAAACACTGAAAGTGCTGCTGGGCAGAGTAACTGCTCAATAAATCTTAGCTAGTATGATAATGATAATAGGGATCAATGCACCTGCTCTAAAGAAACAACAGAGCTATATCTTGGTGGCAAGTCAGTTTCTAAATGTGAAAATTACATTTGGTCAAAGTTATCCTGGAAACTCTGTAAGTCACCCATAGAGTACAGTGGCCATGACATGATGCATGTTTTCCCAGTGCTCTGTGTGTTGTGGAAGAAATCCTCGTTCCTTCAGTGGGGCACACTAGCTGCTCATCTTTAGGGGCCATGGGAAAGCAGAGTTTGTTTTATTTGCATGTGCATCAGATCCTACTGTATCTCCTGGAGGAGATGAGACAGGTGCCCAGAAATGCCCAACAAAACTTGTTTCTGTGACTGGCTGGTAAAACTGGCTTCAACGGCTTCAGGAATTCAGAGGACAATGAGAACTCTGGTTTGAAAGGATTCCCTTTGGGGCATCTCGGGGGGCTCAGTTGGTTAAGCATCTGCCTTCGGCTCAGGTCATGATCCCAAGGTCCTGGGACCAAGCCCCACATTGCATCGGATTTCCTGCTCAGAAGGGAGTCTGCTTCTCCCTCTGCTCCTCCCCCTGCTTATGCTTGTGGTCTCTCTCTGAAGTAAATAAATAAGATCTTAAAAAAAAAAAAAAAAAGAAAGAAAGAAAAAGAAAAGAAAAGATTCCCCTTTTCTCTTTCTATACCGCAACGTTGAGTGACAATATCTTCAGTCAATACCAGTGGAACAGAACTGGAATCGAATGGTTAGAGTGGCCTTAAAGGAGAGACAGACAGAGGGGCAGGAGGGGGAGTAGGGGACATCCCCACGCTCTGCACAACAGGGTGGACTTACTTCTTCAGGGTCTGAAAGCCACGCTCTTTGAACTGCAGCTCCTGCTGGAGGTGAACCATCTCTCTCTTTAGTTTGTTGACCTGGATGGCAGAAGACACATGGGGCTAGATCCAAGGTTGATAGGGAATTGCAGGCTGCCTTCTCTCTAATGGGAACCCAGAGCCCCCCAGGGCTCCCGCATAATTACTCAGGTCGTATCCCTTGGGCCACGTGGTCCCACACCTTCCCCTCACTGATGTTGTTGGTCTCTGCAGCTGCTCCTGCAGTCAGCATCCCAGCCTGGTTGGGATCAGGTCATTCTTGGTCAGCCCTCACTTGAGGCAAGAAGCCTCACTTGAGGCAAGAAGTGGACAGGTGCTAGCTGCCCTGAGACAGAGCTTAGCCTTCCCACTGCCTCGCTGGGTGACCGCTCACAAGCCACCTTACCTCTCTGAACCTCCCTTTCCTGTTTAGACAGATGAGAATATGGTAATTTGCAGGGCTGTGCATAACTTAAAGCAGGTGATGGGTTTGGGAATGCTGTGCGTGGAAGAGAGAGGCAATGTAGTAACTTTAGAGGCAAGACAAGGCACAGGAGCCAGATTTGGCCTGCAGGAATGCCTTGTTTGGCTTGCAGTTATTAAATCAAAAAAGTTAATTGTTAATAATGAAATACTGAGAGATTTTGTATAATAAGCCTAAGTATAGTTGTTTTCTAAAATTAGAAGATGCACCAACCACTGAGCCCTCATTCCAGCATGGCCACAAGAGGGGAGGGGTTAGATTCAACTACCCCTTTAGACAGGGCCCACCTCTCTAGGCTACACACTTCCCACCACTCCCTACTGCTTCACCCAGAGCTCTCATCCCCCTTTGACGTTTTTTTTTTGCAGGCATCTGAATTTGGAGAACCTTACCTGAAGTGTAACTGAACCAGTGTTCAAAATACTGGCTTTAGTTGAGCAAAATACTGGTTTAGTTGAGCACCACTGAACTGTGGTGTCTTAGTTACACATCAGTGAAATGGGAATCATAGCTATCCCCAAGAAGTCGTGAAGTAGTTAAATAAGACAACGCAGGAGAAGCTGCAGCCAGGAAGATAGCACATTACATTAAGCACGTGGAGGAAGCCCTGAGGCCTTGTGACCCTGGGCAAGTTCTTCAGCTCCCTAAGCTTGCCTGTGCTCATCTTTAAAGCACAGACGCTGACAGCTGCTTCTTGGGTCTGCTGCAAGAACACGAGACAGCCCTCATGGAGCCCTGAGCGCTATGCCAGGGATATAGTGAAATGGCAGCTGCTGTCACCTTCACAATTACTCTGACAACTGCTACCACTGCTATTATTCGGGATCCTGGCAGTCAGCACTGGCCGCCACTGCCTGGTGGAAGCACCTGCTCTAGTCTTGTGGGTGAGTGAGTGGCCTGTGGCTGCCTCAGTGACCCCCTTCCACAGTATAGGCAAAGAGGCAGGCCCTACCCGGGATTTCGCAGTGGCAATTTCAGCTTTCAGGATCTCAGGGTCATACTTAGAGCTGGATGATGAGCCTGACACCACTGCAACGAGAAAGAAAAAAACAGTTCTGTAGAGGAAACGTTTTGATAAAGATGGCTTGTTTGGCCATCTACATAAACCCAGAAAGGAATGACTAATAGTGAACCACCTAAATGTCCAACGCGGGGGGGGGGGGGGGGGGATGTGCTAAATAAATAGGACGCATACATAAATGAGGACGATACGACTTACTGGGATTTAAAATGATGGTGCAGGGAGCATCTGGGCGGCTCAGTCCATTAAGTATCTGCTTTCAGCCCAGGTTATGATCTCGAAGTCCTGGGATTGAGCTCAGGATCGAGCTCAACATCAGACTTGCTGCTCAGAGGGGAGTCTGTCTCTCCCTCTGTCCTTCCCCCCTCCCTCCATTAAATAATTAAAAATCTTAAAAAATAAAATAAAATGATAGTTCAGAGGAATTCTCAACAAGGGGAAATGTCCAAAAGGTGCTGCTACCTGAAAACAATCATCTACAGACACTATAAAGAGTAATGTAAATTTGGAAAATGAACAGTTAACACACACACACACACACACGCATCTAAAAAAGACACAAAAAGAAATATACAGAAAGATGACATTGATATCTAGAGATGTAAGTGATGAATATTTTCATCTTTGTATTTTTCTTTTCTACATTTTCTAAGATGAACATATTTTTAATAATCAAAATACTGTTGAAAATATTTATCGTACTTTACAATATCAGCGTACATTTTTAAGGGAAAATAATAAATAATGCCATCCCCCCAATACAATGATCTATTCATACAAATTACTCTCCAATGCTTATCCATGGTCCTGTTAAGTAGCTGTAATCTTAACTGCATTTTTAAGATTTAAAAATAGTATTTAGGTCTTGAAAAGATATCTTAAGGCTTACAAACATGAAGGTTAACAGTAAAATGAAGTAAAGGAAAAATAAGAATGAGGAAGCACAGCCATAGGTGTGAGATTAGTTAGGGCCCATGCAAACATGGAAGGTTCCCCTTCCTTACCAGGTGCCACAGCAGGGCTCAGAGCTTCCTGACTGGTGATGTGAAGAGGGAAAGGGGCCCGATGTAATATTCATGGTGCCCTTAATGTAAACACAGCCTCACTGTTCAGGAAAAGGACAGGCATTCTTGGTATGGAGGCCAGAGAAGACCTTTTTCCTGCAGGACCTTCATCCCACCGTAATCGCAATTCCATCATTCCCCCACTTTCCACCTGCTGTCACCTGAACACTATGTGTACAGTGAGATCACCTACTGGGGCCTAGAGTTTTCTGAGGATAGAGACTGGTGGCAATTTTCGGTGTCCAGAGGCAGATATGGCTGTTGTGAAGGGGATGTTGCTCTTTGGATTTGGTTAAAATAGTGAAATGGACCTTCTGATTATGCACAAAGGAAGCTGAAACATAACGCTGAAAAGTTGGGGAGAAAGGAAATAAAACTGTTCTGCACGGTAACAGTAAAGATGTTTTGCACCAAAGGCGTGTTGCATTTCTGCCCAGTTTATAGGAATGATGACAAGGGGGAGGAGGAGGAGGATGGATTTTACGATAAGAGATGTGTGGCAGGAATACCTGGGTTGGCAGGGGGAGGTCCTTGTAGTCCTCCTTGTGAGCATGGAACAGAGAGACTTCAGATACCGATTTTTGTTTACAATTGGAAGCTTTCATTTCCTGCATTCTAATCCCTCTGGTGTTCGCTGGACTTAGGGATTTCAGGGTGGGATTTGGCTGGATACCTAGCTGGAGGCAGCGATTTAAGCAATATTCCCCAGACAGGGGAAGTTTTCAACAAAACTTTAAGGTTGTGAATATTTGTTACCCACTGATCAATTGTAAAAACATGGTGAAGAGAGTCACTGGTGAGGAAATAAGATGGAGCCACACTCCAAAAGGGAGGGGGTGTCACAGAATGTGAGCATCCTACCCTGCTGGCCACTCTGCTATCAGGTTGTGCCACTGGACTTGGGTCTACGCTTCTAGGAACTTAAAGGTGAGTGTGACAGCAGCCTGGAGAGCCCATGAAAAATTGCAAGACCTGACCCTAAAAGGGAGAGCGTGCTCTGTGGGCACCAGCAACACCAACCAGTGCTGATCTACAGAATGGGAGGTGGTTCTTGGGTATACTCAAAAATCTTGGAGGGAAGGAAACACAAAAGAGAACAGACTCCCACCAACTGAGTCACTGGGGGCTTGAATTCTTATGCTCTGGAGCACCACTGTGAAATGCAGTGTTTGCACCCCAAGCTGTTGAAATGGGATGTGGCCTGTTATCATTTTTTTGGTAAGCACTTTATCTAACTAAAAATGCAAGTGGAAAGGTGCACAAATCATGTGTGTAGCTTGAGGAATTTTCACAAAAGAAACACACTTGAGCCCTTTCTGCCCACGGGTCCTGTCCCTGTGCTTTAATAAAACCATCTTTTTGCACTGGAAAAAGGAAAAAAAAATGGCAGCACACTTAACTAATCAGCACTGCAATCAAAAAACAGGTACCCATCTCCCTCCCCTTGCACCCTTATCCCTTCACTATGCTTACAACAAAGGAATTACATGTATTCGAACAGAACCTTAAAGGCTAATTTTAAGTGCCCACCTTTTAATAGTTTTTAATTGTTAAGCTTTTATTCAAGGTATATATGAACGTAAGTTTAACAGTTCAAAGCGGTACAAGGTTTGCACTAAAAGAACATTCCATAGGTCCCTATCCCCTATCTCACTCCCCAAAAGGGAGCCATTTCCACATGTTCAGCTATTTTCTTGGTTATCAGAAAGTAGCAAGGTATTTTTGTTTTAGGCTTATTTACTTTCTTCTCTCTCTGGAGGCTAGGGATTAGCTCCCCTCCCTCCTCTGGCCTCTATGCTGCACATGTGTCCTGCCCCCTTGCCCCCAGCTACCCATCCTCACAGATAAGCACAGTCTTGGTGAAAGCATCTTCAGTGTTTGCATTACTTTTACTTTGTAAACACTCCTTGGGCCAGAGGCATGCAGCTGACTTTGCTTACTTTCCTTTCCAGCACATTTTTTGGGGGTTGTTTTTCCTAGAGTTAATACTTGTCATTTTTATGCTGTCTACAAACTTATCACAGATTCAACCTCACGCTCTGCCAGTTATCTGAATCTCCCCTCTTCGGGTCCAGGCCAGTCAGCTTCCTGCCCATTTCCACTTTTTGGCTATGCCTGGCCCAGGCACGAGAGCTGGTTGCTCTCTCTGCACTGCCAGCACCCTGAGATTCCCTCTTTGTCTTCCCCTCTTACCAGCTGTTTCAGTAGAACACTAGCAGCTTCCCAAGAAGGAGACCACAAAGGAAAGAAACTTTTGAAATTGTGCATGTCTAAAAATACCTTTGTTCTACCCTACAGTTGGTTAAAGGTAGTTTTGCTGGATATAGAATTCCAGGTCGGAAGTGATTTTCCTTAAAAATTTGAAGGCATAGCTCCATTGTCTTCTAGGTTTCCAGTGTTGCTGTTGAACTATTCTGAGTCCTGATAATTTTTGTGTGACCTGGTTTTTTTATTCGAAGGCTTTCAGGAGCTCCAATCTCTCCATGTTTGAAGTTGCACAAGGGTATGTCTTGGTGTGAGCTGACTTTCATGCATTGTGTTCACTGAGCCCTTTAAACCTAAAAGCTCTCCTCCATCTGTTCTGGGAAATTTTTTCAAAATTATTTTACCTGATGCTCCTTCTCCTCTGTTTCCTCTGCTCTCTCTGGAACTTTTATCACTCCGATAGATCTCCTGGCCTGGTGCTCTATTTTTCTTTCTCTCATTTTCTATCTCATTCTATTTTTGCTCTGCTTTTTAGCAGATTTCTTCGGTCTTACCTTCTAGTCTTCCTACAGATTTTAAATTTCTGACATTGTATTTTAATTTCTAAAGGCTCTTTTGTGTTCTCTGAGTGTTCCTTTCTCTAAAATGTAGCATCCTGTTCTTGTTTCATGGGTGTGTAGCGTCTCGTGAGGTTTTTCTTCTTCGTGAAGACTCCCTGGGTCCCTCCAAGGCTCTCCTGACACCACCACATGATTGTTTTCATTTTCATCTCTACTTTTCATGCCAGAGAATTCTTTCCTCGGATGTCTGGAATCTCAGCTGTCTGCTCATATTTAAGAGTGGGGCCCCACAAAAGACATGAAGAGAAATCTCACAGAGGAAGACATAGACATGGCCAACATGCACATGAGAAAATGCTCTGCATCACTTGCCATCAGGGAAATACAAATCAAAACCACAATGAGATACCACCTCACACCAGTGAGAATGGGGAAAATTAACAAGGCAGGAAACAACAAATGTTGGAGAGGATGTGGAGAAAAGGGAACCCTCTTACACTGTTGGTGGGAATGTGAACTGGTGCAGCCACTCTGGAAAATTGTGTGGAGGTTCCTCAAAGAGTTAAAAATAGACCTGCCCTACGACCCAGCAATTGCACTGTTGGGGATTTACCCCAAAGATTCAGATGCAATGAAACGCCGGGACACCTGCACCCCGATGTTTCTAGCAGCCATGTCCACAATAGCCAAACTGTGGAAGGAGCCTCGGTGTCCATCGAAAGACGAATGGATAAAGAAGATGTGGTTTACGTATACAATGGAATATTCCTCAGCCATTAGAAACGACAAATACCCACCATTTGCTTCAACGTGGATGGAACTGGAGGGTATTATGCTGAGTGAAGTAAGTCAATCGGAGAAGGACAAACAGTGTATGTTCTCATTCATTTGGGGAATATGAATAATAGTGAAAGGGAATATAAGGGAAGGGAGAAGAAATGTGTGGGAAATATCAGAGGGGGAGACAGAACATAAAGACTCCTAACTCTGGGAAATGAACTAGGGGTGGTGGAGGGGGAGGAGGGCGGGGGGTGGGGGTGAATGGGTGATGGGCACTGAGGGGGACACTTGACGGGATGAGCACTGGGTGTTATTCTGTATGTAGGTAAATTGAACACCAATAAAAATTAATTTATTAAAAAAAATAAATAAAATGGAAATTTGCAAGTCAAAAAAAAA